CCTGTGGATGTATAAGCACGAAAAATTTAGCCCCTAAAACACTTCTGCTTTTGAGAAAAATTGAATATAAAAATTTACCGGTGCTCCCGGTAAATTTTGGTAAATTTCAAATAGAGCCTACGGCCGTACAATGGTAGCTGCGACCATGAAAATTTCAGAATATGTAGTTGTGATATAGAATTTTCAACATATACAACATAAAGAGTGTATTATTTACAATTTTATAACTTTAGACTCGATTTCAACTGGGACAACGATCACCGGATATTGTCGCATAATTATGCTTCCAATATGTTCATTTGAACCAAATTCATGACCCCATACCAAAACTGTGTATTACCTTTAAGCGCGGTAATTTAGATATCAATTCATATTTTTAATTAAAGCAGTATTAATGTTTCAGTAACTCACAGACTATGCACCTGTATATAATTGAACTCTAATGGGGAAAAAGCATGTTCACACTAGTATGCACGGAGAGCAATTTTTTTAGTCATCAAACCATTTACGGTATGTGATAAGTGTACATCATACATATATTGAACGGAACTCTCATGGGAATAGGCATGTTCACACTGGCATGCACTGAGAGCACTTTTGTCTGCATTTAATCATCAAACCATTTACGGTATATGATAAGTGTTCATCATACATATAATACATGTATATTGAATGGAACTCTCATGGAAAAAAAGCATGTTCACACTGGTATGCACTGAGAGCAATTTTTTCTGCTTTTAGTCGTCAAACCACTTCCGGTACAGTATGTGATTAGTGTTCATCATACGTATTGGAACTTTTTGCTATCATGAAATTTAATACCAATTTTGTAGATACTTAGATTGTGCATGTGACATGTGTCACCTTGAAGTCCAGAAGTTGTTGGCTCAACCATGATAATGATCTTCAAGTGCCTACTTAAGATTATTAGAACTACTTGTGACTGGTTTTTAAAAAATTGCGATGCTTGATGAAATGTGTATCATTTGTGGGTTTTCTGTGTGCTCTTGCCAAATGTGTTATTGTCATGATTTAGCAGAAAACAGAGTGCACCTTTTGGGTATACTTGGGTTCTTTCTCTACATTTTTCATGAACTTGTATACCAAGTTTAAATTAAATTTAGTGACTTTATCCCCCCTCCCCCCCCCAAAAAAAAGACAAAATTGTTATAAATACATCACATGAACTATATGGTATCCATATTGTTGTCAATTAATATTACAATGTCATTGCACCCAACATCTAACACAATATCTTTATATACATTGTAATCATTAATTCAGATTGACCTCCAGACAGCTCCTCATTGCCACGACCCAATATTATCCTGGCTGATAATCATAATGATTTGTATGTAGCCCTTCATGTTAGCAATTAAGGGGAATTAAAAATGATGCTGAAAATTGAATATTTTGAAAGGAATCTATTCCCTACGGATCTCAAGTACACAATATAATTGATTTACTTTAAATATATCTAAATGAGAATAATGTCCAGACAGTTCTCCCAAAATGCAGTGTTACGACATGTATCACATCCCCAACATTATAGTTTGTATGAAGCCTCTTTTAGAAAAGTGAAATAATAATACTGAAAAGGTTAACTACTTAAAAGGAGTTTTAGTGCCCTTGTGGCTTCAGTAGATGAAACAAAATTGCGTAGTAAGTCAAAAAAAATTCCAGATAGTTTCTCTTTAAATGTTATTTAATTACTTGTACCCAACAATACTTTTCATAATAAAAGTGATTTGTATAAAGTAGGCCTCTTTCATCTGCAATCGCAGCGACTAGAAATGATGGTGAAAAGATCAAACATTTTGAAGGAGTTAAAGCCTATGTGGCTCTCGGCAGATGACACACTGTATTTGAATAATATATTTAAGATATCAAAATGAGCAGTATTTTGGGCTAACTTCCAGACAGTTAATCTCCTTATACTGTCATTGTAGCTGGTACCCAACATTACCTACATGTATGATATTATGATTAGTCTCCTTTGCTGTTACTGGCAACACAGGGAACTGAAGAATGATGCTGAAATGATCAGCAATTCAGAATAACTTCCAATTAGTTTCTCAAAATGTAATGTCACTGCTACTACCCAACATTGACTTTGATAATAATGGTGTGTTTGAAGCCTCTCTCATTTCAATAGAGAGTGAGTGAATGATAATGCTGAAGAGATCATATATATCGTCCCTATTTTCATGAAGTGACGGTAGTGGGGAAAATCGTCATGCAAATTGTATACGATTTTCATTCACTACCGTCACTTCGTGAAAATAGGGACGATATGTAAAGCGCTTAGAGACATTGTAAAAGCAGAATAATAATAATATTTTGCCCTAGGAAAGAGGGCGGAACCAGCCTAATAATGACCAGTAGTATATCATAGCACTCAATAAGATTACATTAGCATCCATATCGTCTGTTGAAAGCCAGAAGGGCATTCATACCATGTAACAGAACATGAATTAATACCCTTCTTTCTCTGAACAGATGATATACCCTTTAAAGAGAGCAATTATGGAGATGGTTTGTGCTTGACGGTTGATTACAATATAAAGGAGGGGGAAGACTTCATTTTGTAGAGCAATTTGATGTAATGTCTTGAAGTTGACATTTTGAAATAAAAAGCAGTTGATTAAAGAGCTATAATCATAATAACCTCAACCCTGGACCAAACACCATGGCCAGAATTCACAAAGGAGGTTTAAATTTAAACCATTTACATAACCCATGGTTTAAAATTAGCGCCAAAAAAAGCTTGACACAGTCAGAGGTCCAATATTAGATGCACGCAAGGCAAGGTATTTTGAGCTAATTTTAAAACCGTCGGTTATGTAAATAAGGGCTTAAACCATAGGTTAAGTTAAGCCGCCTTTATGAATGTGGGCTTACATTTACTGATTTACCAATTGCAGCCCCAGCCCTAACCATAATTCTGTATCTTTGACAAAATAGAGCTTTCACTTGGAGCAATTGTTACCAGAGCACGGCATGCATGTTTCATGCGCATACATTACAGTGTCTTTCTCATTTTCGTGACACGATTTATAACACGTCATGCTCAAACTTGTGAAGTGCTCGCACAAAGTCTTATAACATACTCCAAATCAGCTGTTAATTTCTTAATCACTTGAGAGAACTTTGAAGTTGACACTTCAAAGGTTACTTTGTCATCCAATGCAAGGGTCACTCGACTGACGAAGACACGTTGGGTCCCCAAGGTTTTCTTTTGTTCCAATCCTGTGTTATCATTCAACTTTGATGCCCCCGATTTCAGCTTAGAGAGATAGCTAGGCTCCATGAGTATTTACTTATTTATATGAGAGTTCGCACGAACTCGAATTACTGTAGATACATTAAGACCTACTTATGTCAGTGTCAGTGACCATTCTATTTTAATTTTAGGTGTTTCGAGTTTGTGTTACTTTTTCAAAAAGAAACGATTTTGGATTGAACTTGGCTGGATTTAAATAATTTGCCTATGACGTATTTCCATTTTGATCCTGTTGTGTGAATAATGATTGTAAGAAAGAAAGATAAATTCCACTTTTGATAGGGGGATGATGTGCCATTTCATCATAACAGGAATGCGTTGTTCCACATGTGTCGTCATCTTGTGGTGGTATTTTGAAAATGATGTTAGCGTAAAAAGTATGTTTGCTAACATTTATTATTATCAATATTCTGAAAAAACTACGTAAAGTCCCAAGCTATGTTAACAGAGATTGTTTTATTAGAAGATGCAGCACAGTCTTTACATGATAGTTTACACACCGGTAGTTAAAATATTCTGAAACCTTTAGCCGAAAGATAACGTACAGATATTTCGCGAATGACAGGCTAAGAAACATTTTCACAAGTCGTTGCTTTCGCAAATAGCACACAGCAGAAGTAATGAATGGGCCTGAAGTATTCACAAGCTTTCTCACGCCAACATACACATACAGACTCGTAAAGTACACACACAAGTTTAAGGAGCCCATCATACCACATACAGCCCAGTACCGTACCGGTACGTACGAGGATTACGTGCCTGCATCATGCAATCTGTGCAATATACACGCAAGGAGAGAACAAACGCGTGGGGTGGGAGCGACAGCATTGCATTACGAACAAGGCAGTTACTAGTACAGTAGCTAGGGATTGAGAGGACGCAAGCACCTAATTGCATGCTGATATTTTCGCGCTCCAGGATATGATGAGGTGCCAATATTTCCGCGTGTTGATAAATTTGCGATAATATGCAATTCGCCAAAATAAAACCCTCACATACAGCTTATACAGTAAAGGTTAAAATAAAAGTAACATTGATGTCAAGGTCTTTAAAGTATTGTGTATCGGTGTGAAATGCATCCCTTATTTTTCTTGCGTTTTTTCCTATCTGTGTCCATTAACACTTGAAAATACAAATTGATTCTTTGAATGTACAAATTTTGAGACTAAAACCAAGTAGAAAACATAAACAAAAGAAAGGAATAAAGAAGCTTTTCATGAATCGGACAAAGGTAGTGTGCAGAGATTGACGATGCTCAAGAAAATACAAAATGGCTAAGGAGAGTAATCGTATACAATTGATTTTATGCAAGCAATTTGCAAGGGTACAAATGATCTTGAAGGTGATTTGTGGAATAGTTTATGACATTGTGGGAAAATACACCATTGTGAATTTTAATGAAAATGCATCAGACAATTGTTTTGTATATATGGTGCCAATCATGCATGAAATTCAACTTTAAAAGGGAAAATGATTTTAAATTTTGCTGAAGTATCAGTCTTTGTATCAGTGGACCAAAGTTGAATTGGAGATGAAGGGAGTTCCAGTTTGCTGAAAGTTGAAGATGGCCCATGTTCAATGAAATATATTAATTTATTATGTATTATTTTATACTGTATAATGTTTAATGTTGCAAACTAATTATCAACAAAAACTACCCCCAAAAAAGGGATTATAGAGCTCATCTTTAACTTTACCATTATTTTATATCTTTCAGATTGTACTGACCGAGGTTTACTTTGACGGTTTCTACCGGTCCTTTGGCGATACGCAACCCCTCAGCGATGTCCACGATGGTGACAGCATCTATGCCGTAGAGACCCCTCATAACTCTCATAGCATGCTACAGAACAGTCAGGTCAAACCCTACCTCCATGTCCATTGCAATCGACCTGTAGAGGTCATCACCATGGTAATCATCAACCAGCAGGGCACAGGGAGAAATGGCAAGAGGTAAATTAATTGATAAGGTGAAAATTCAAAGTAGTTTGGATTTATTTCGTTAAATCTTTATCTGTTTGTGTTTTTGTCTTTAATCGGAAAGCAGATAGAAATAAGTAGCAATATTGATGATTTCAAATTGATGAAAATTATTATTATTGTAATCGAGAAGGTTAATTAGATCCATTTTTAAGCTATTACCATCAGTTAAGATCATTTTTCAGTGGTATTATGTAGGTTGTGAACTCCTGGCATTGTGTTCAGTTTATTTTATTAAATTGGGAATATATCATGCAATCTTAAAGAGCAAATTGACTAGGTTGATCTGAACCATATTCTGCTCTTTACATTTAAATACTTATGGTTATTGTTTCGGGTTCAGTGAACAGAGTGCAAAAGACATTGGCACAAACATTTCCCATGAGCAACTCACACCAATCTCCCTCCAGACTACGAAATATAAGTACTCTGTTTATGAAGGAATAAAAGTTGCCAATTTGTCTTTACTAAGATTAAATCTTCATGACTGCTAACCTCTTATTATACTCTTTTACCCATTCCCAAACAAATTCTCATTCATTGTTCTATAAGTATCTTGTTTCCAAGGTTTTTCCATCTTTGCTCAAAGCAGTTCCAATGGCAAAGTGAATTTCCCCCAAAATGGCATACAATCTACTATTTTTTGTATCAGTCCCATGAAAAATAGGATGTTTGCCTGACCTTTTGTCTCAGGTTTGGTCAGCCGGTGGTGATAGAGATGGGCAGACAGAAACGTTTCCCATGAGCAACTCACACTAATTATCCTCAAGACTGTAGGATGTAGTATGAAGACAGAGTTGCCAATTTGTCTCCCGTAAATTTCATCTCTGTTGTTAAACTCCTTCTTATGAAACTGTTTTAATGCTTTCCCAAATCTTTCTCATAGATGTTTCTGTTTTTCCAATGTTTTTCTGCCGTCTCTCCAGTAATTCCAATTGTAGCCAGATCAGGGACCCGTTTCACAAAAGTTGTCAGCGGTGACAAATGACAGTTTTTGTTATAAGCTACTGAAATCCCTGCTTCTGATTGGTTATCAGCAGATTTGTCACTGATTTTTGTCATTTGTCATTGAAAAAAGGCTTTGTGAAACAGGTCCCTGACTCGCCTGCCCTGGTCGTACACAGGCACGACTGATGCTCAATTTATTCCTATTGCAGAGTGAATAACCCATAGAACTGCATGAAATCTACAGTTATTAGATTATTTTGATTAATCACGTTTATCTTGAAGTGACTCGGTAACATTGCCTCAGATTCTAAAACAAAATCCTGGATTTAGCTCATGCTGCAGTCATATTTATAAACCTTTAGGTCAGTCAGGAATCCCATGACTTTTACAAGCCGATTGCCTGTCTGATTATCAAGATATTTATGATTGGAAATCGAAATTTCAAAAACCGTTTTCCATATGGTTTTTATATAACGCTACAGTCTATTGGGGGAAAATGAGTTAACTGGTCACTCAAAGATTTATCCTTTTCTGAGGCACTTCATGATCATTTTGACGCGCAGTTTTTTTAAGGGCTTCAATATTACACCATAGCACAGACACTGATATCACGTAGGGCCATGCATCTCAGATTTAACATTGTTAAACGATGCCTTTAAATACTTCACCTGACCTTCCTGTTCCAGGTTTGGTCAGCCGATGGCGATAGAGGTGGACAGGAACGTATCCCACGAGCAACTCACACTTATCATCCTCAAGGCTATGGGCTGTTCATCAGGCAATGCGGACAAGATCATGCAATTGGTAAGTTGTTATTTCCCTTCGTACCAGACCACAGGTATACAAGGAAACGTTTTTTCTTCTAAGGGGAGTCCACCCAGATACATGCATTTAGTTGAAGAAGCAGACATATTAGAGAAACAGATCAGTGAAGCTAGCAAAATATGTTAAAAGAGAAGAGCATTATGATTTATAGATGTTGAAATTGATTAAATACAAGTCGGCAACTCTGGGACCTACATTATCTTTTGAGGTCCTCTCCTATTTTCTCCGCACTAAAGAAATTGTAATTTTTTAATTTTCTCAAAAAAATTGTTAAAGTCATATATGCAACCTAGATATAATAATTGCAAATGTGTTTTTACACAACCCCTGTATGAAACAAATCTATATTATCTATTTCTTCATTAATATCGAGAAATTGAAAAGTTGTTACATGTTCAGTACAGAACAAATGGGAGGAACCTTGCAAGATATGTCCAAGAGTTGCCAATTTGTATTTCATTGATTTACAACTTCAAAACTTCATCACTTTCTCATCAAATTTACCAAACCCTCCACTTATCTTTTTCTTTAATTTTTCTTTAATTTGTCTGCTTTTATAAAAACCGACCAAACATCAGATTGGACTTTCCCTTCCAGTTCTAGGAGTTATTCTGGGTTATAGTATAACAGACTGAGATTATATTGACATTGCATGTCTAGCTGGGACTGAGCTGGATGCCTAATATGGAGTCAGCATTTTTGTAGTAGATAGACTGCAGACTTTCAGAAATTTTCATTCATTTCCCGAAACCCTTTTGGCAGTCAGAACTGTGTGACCTTTCAATTTTGTCTGGGTTTGTAGTGAGTCATAGCTGACTGGGATAGAACAGCTTCCACACCTGATCATGTTATGATTGGTAGGGACAGTACCCAATTCATCTCATTCCATTATTGAGCTATGGATGCTGAAAGCTATTGCTTCCAATTACATCACTCAGCCCCATTCCCACTGGCAAGAATCACTGTATACATGTAGATGTATCAATGCCGTATAGCCGTGTGATAGGGTTATCATTCTCTCTTGTCTGAATTTTCAACATTTATTTATTAAAAGGTCATACAGAGTAAAGACAGAATCTAGGTCTATCACCTAATAATGTGAACAAGATTTTGAATAGAAACCATATTAATGGTAGATTTTATTGTATTAAAAACCATGTTTAGATATGACAAGTGCCAACATCTGTACCCATTTTTAGATACCTTTCGCTTTATGATTATATTCATTGATACTTATTTTGTAGTATTTTGTCAGGCAGCCAAATTTCTGGACTTTATTTGGAAAAATGCAATCGTTACCAGTTCTAATCTTTTCATGCAGGGTAGTTTTTAGTTGGTATTATTTCTTGGTTACAATAGGATTCACACAAGTTTATATTTTCAGCCTGCAAAAGGGACACACCACCTTTAATGCCGTAATGGCTCCAAACAGATAATGTGTCTTATTTACCGAGGGTAATCTTAATACTACTTGATCCTGCAAGCCTTGCAAATTATCATCATCTGGTATTACCAGGTACCCATTTAATGCACCTCTTGCATGATAAAGAAAGTTGAATTTAATCTTTTGAATTTAAACTCAGCATATGATGCAAGAGGCCCTGGGATGAGAGGGACGTGCGTCGGTAAAAAAACCTTTCATAAAGTGTCGACAAGCAAGGATCAAATCCAGGATCCAATATGCTTGCATTGTTGCATTATATCATGTTATATTATTGAATGGTGGTCCCCTTTATTTAGCGATAGAGCACACTCGATCACTTTTGACATAGCAAGACGTTTTTTTGTGTGTGGTATTTCACGGATCACATAGAAAATGACATATTGTCATGGTGAATTACGATTGATGACGTTGAATCATTTAGTTTATGTGCCGGTATGTTGTTAATCCCAAATTTTAGAGATGATCAGTATGTCACATACCTAGGCATTTCATCCCCTGCAAGCAAGACGGCCTGTTACTATCACTGTCATAAACAGTACACAACTCTTACGGGGCTCTTGCGCTGGCAGCCAACTAGATTCTCATCATAAATCAACTTTTACAGACATTTTTGAGAGGGAGTGAAGGGCAATATCATGTATATATTTGAACTTGGCACATTCTATCAGTTAAAGGGAAATATAACCTTGATAGCAAACTACACTAGAAGAAAGGAGAAAAATCAGATAAGCATACAAGTGCAAATTTGAATGAAAATTATGGAATCGGACCCAATTAAAAAAAAAAATGTTTAATTCATTTATTTTTCCATTAAAATTCAAAGTAAAATACATAAAAAATGAACAACAAAATCGGAAGGACCTCAAGATAAGCAAAGCTTGTGAGAATGGGGCCCTGTACAAAAATGGGGGCCCTGTACAAAAATAAATGTACAAGCAAATTATAATAACAAATATTGTAAAACTTATTAAAACAAACATACACCCACCCTCATTCATGAGAAAGTTATGATTTTTTTGAAAGTCTTTGGTTTGAAATGTCTCTGTGAAGTAGTGGCAGACAACTTTCCCATTTGTTCCAACACAAGAAATGACTACAATTTCAATTTTTCAAAAATGTATGACTCGGGATGGTCTTTTCATTTTGAGGACCTGTAATAATATACTCTCTGTAGTGTATTTTTGTACAGGACAAATGAGAGAGTTGTTGCAAGAAACTCACAAGTCTTTTCTTTTCGCTACATTCGCGAAAATACATTACATGCCAAAGTCTTTTGGCAATTAGTGGTTGGCTTGTTTTCCTCAAGCATCACATATTGTCTCCACTGGATGACACATCCTAGGAATCTATTTTCCACTAATGGCCTGTTCAGACAAAAAAAAACATCGTTTAAAGAAACGTCATATATAGAAACTAGATTTAAAGGTGTCAGTTGACATGACAGCTGGCTCACGATAAGGCCCACCCACTTAAAAGATTATCATGTGACACAACATTCAGACTAGAACGACATCCTGATTCTTCATGAAGTTTCATTCAAAATGATGCTCAAACATGCATTTCACTGTATGACGTTAGCTGTTTGATGTTCAGACTAGAAAAAGGGTAATAACTTCTTGTATACTTCTTGTGTACTTATCGTATACTTATGGGTACACTTATCGTATACTTATTGTCCACTTACCGTATACTTCTCGTACCTTTACCGTATACTTACCGTATACGTACTGTACACTTACAGTACACTTATAGTATACTTACCGTACACTTACAGTATACAGTGTACTTATAGTACACTTATCGTATACTTATCGTATACTTTTCGTAGTTCTTATAGTCTGAACGCAGGGTAAGGTTCATGGACCCCTGTCATCATGCCTGCCAATAATGGCTGAGCTGGGCTGGGCTGTAGTAGGGTTGTGGTTGACCGTCCTCTCAGTCTTCATCAGTAAGAGATCGTCTTCTTTTTCATTAGAGAGCTTATATTATCAATCTCATAGAATGGATGGGAGTGGATGGGGTTTCTGCTGTCACCCCCTGTTTAGACTAGCAAAATTGTATATCTAGTATAGCATTGTATAGCTAGACAAAAACTGTTTAGCTATACAATAATCTTTTCCTAGTATAAATGTCAAATGATAGTAATAATAATGATACAATTTTCTCGTATACACATAGTACAATTCAACTCAAGTGGGTTCTTAAAGCGTTTCACAAACAAATGTAATGTGCATTTGTTTGACTTGGTGTGGCTTCTGCTGAGCACATACTCCTATTTTTTTTATATATGACCAGCCAGCTTCCATCATGTCACATTAACTGTTTGTTTGATTTTATTTCTACATTGTCAACATGATAAAAAGTAATATCCAAATTATGTACATATATTATTAACAAAAGTCAAAACATATACGGTATACCTTTCAAACTAAAATGCAGGAGACTGCCATCTTAAAGGTTAAGACCAGTTTTGAAACGCTCCCCTCTCAAATGTTTGGTGTGCTGACTTCTTGAGAACTAGTTACTCTATACACTACTCTTTTGTGCGTGTTCGCTCTTTTGATTTAAGATGATTCTCGATTTAACCATTTTGTTGTAAAAGTTTTGCTTAAATTTTCTATAGTATGAACAGGGTATCAGAAGAGAGTAGGTCTTTTGCTCTCTGCATTTATACAGATTGAGGGATTTTTACCTCCCCTATATGAATTATGCAAATGAATTATTTCAGCCCGAGTATCTAGGCTTTGTTGAATACATCCTTTCATGATTACAACTATTTTGAAATGAGCAAGGGTAGAACTATTTTGTGCTGTGGTCCATTTGCAAGATTGATCTGAAAACAAATTAGTTCCAGGGTCATTTTGTTTGTATTTTTTCTTCTGAAACATAATTTCATGATAATTAATCTGATCTGTAAAAGATCATACGTGAAAGAAATTGGGTCAGAAATTACAGAACCCTCTTACAAAGGATAGTCTAGTAAATTATGAAATGGTATGCCCGGTACATTATAATTGTAAGATCATTTCCTCCTGTCCCCTCTCTTTCTCTCTTTCTCTCTTTCTCTATCTCTCTCTCTCTCTCTCTCTCTCTCTCTCTCTCTGTCAAATATTTCTGTTGGTCTCTCTCCTTTATTTCTTTTCTCACATTCATCTCTATTCAAATATTTGTAACAGTGTTACAAAATATGATTTCTATAGCTTTGAAAAGAAGCCATTATGTTTTTTTAAGGGGTTCGGAGAGGGGAAAAGCATTGCACATGAGAAAGAAAAGGAAAAACCACAAAGAAATACACATACTGATACACATGTAGCTACATGTATATGTAGGAATGATCAAATTGAAGTTGTCTTTAAATGAAGACAATAAGGAAAACCCTTGAAGCATTTATCTGATTTTACCTTTTCATTTAGTGTGCTTCTCCCTAAACATGAGTCATACAAGTTGATAATGAAATGTACTAGTAATCATTCTTGTTCTCTCCTTCTCTCTATATTTCTCTGTCTCTCTCACTCTTCCTCTATCTTTCTCTCTCTTCCTCTCTTTCTCTCTCTTCATCTCTCTCTTCCTCTCTCTCTCTCTCTCTCTCTTCCTCTCTCTCTCTCTCTCTTCCTCTCTCTCTCTTCCTCTCTCTCTTCCTCTCTTTCTCTCTCTTCATCTCTCTCTTCCTCTCTCTCTTCCTCTCTCTCTCTCTTCCTCTCTCTCTCTCTCTTCCTCTCTCTGTCTCACTCCCTTCCTCTATCTTCCTCTCTCTTCCTGTCTCTTTCTCTCTCTTCCTGTCTCTTTCTCTTTATCTCTCTGTATAGCTCTCTCTGATATGTATGCTGTCAGTCAATAGTGAATAATGAGAGATACACTGACAGTAGCAGACAACGTATTTCTTACCACCCCCTTTTCCCTCTTATCTCTCTCACTTTCTTTTATTTTTTTGAAATCTTTCCTTTTATCCCCCCCCCATCTTCATTATCTCTTTTCTGTTTGTAAGCCTTGCTGTCTTCCTCGCGTATGCTTCCCAATCTCGTACTGAATAAGCTTACATTATTATTTTCGTCTTATTCTCTATCTCTCCTCTCATTTTTTTCCTCAGGGACGGATGTTACGGCTGCATACATGTATGCGTTGTTCTAGATACTAAAGAGATGGCCCTTTCCCTCCACCCAAGAAACCCCTTACCCTCCACCCCAAGAAGCCCCTTACCCATATCGCTGGCTTCCATTTAATCTAATACATAATAAGATATAATTATCTAGTTTTATTTATTATCTCTTCTCCTCTTTCTTTCAGGGGCCTGTGTTACAGCTAGGTATTGTAATAGATGCCAAGGGTAGCAGACATTACATTCCATTCGAGGAGGCCAGGCCGATGCACAATGCAACGATAACCAGGTATGAGTGACCACAGCGTGCGTGATGGATAGGGTGGGATGGCAGGTAGGATGGGGCGAGGGAGATTGAGGGGTGCATGGTAGAGAGATGCAGCCAGAAAAGAGGGAGGGGGGGGGGGGGGAGAGGGTTATATAGAGAGAGAGAGAGAGCTAGAGAGAGAGAGAGAGAGAGAGAGAGAGAAAGAAAGAGAGAGTGTGGGCAGGGGTGGAGAGAGACATATATAAAAGTGTGAGAATTCTCAACTCTGTCATGACAACGGGTGTTCCAGAATATGTAGGCGTGAAGAAAAAGGTCTAGGAACGTGAGACGTAGCTGTACTTTACAAGTTTGTTACGAGCTTTTAGCTTGTGAGGCCTTCTTCAGGTTCTGAAGTGCAAACACATACAAAAACAAATACATTGTATATATATATATAGAGAGAGAGAGAGAGAGAGAGAGGGGAAGGGGGAAGGAGAGAGACATATGTATATGGAGAGTTATGCTGTCAAATCAATTCATTCATCCATTCATCAATTCTTCCACCCACCCACCCACCCACTTCACTTTCATTTTCAGTTACAAAACTGCTTTCCATTGAATTGAATCTCATTTCCAATCATTTTGTTTTCAATTGGGATTGTACAAATGTATTATTTGTTGTTCTTCTTCACAGAATGTTACAAGGAACAAGCGAAGAAGGGGGACCCCCTCACGTGAAGGCCATCGTAGAATGGGAGCGAGATATCAGGACTATGTAAGTATACACCCTTCTAATTTTTTTTTTTTTGATTCGGAAGGGGGAAGGGCCCCATTCAGTTTTCAATATACATTCATCATAGTCAAGTATTTTGATCAGTTGAAAGGAGATATGAAAGGCTGGACTTAAAGCGCTGGTCCTGCAGGAATGTCCTTTGGCAGAGACGTTTTTACCTTTATTAGCCACTCTCAATCTAGTTTGAGCTGCAATGGCATTAATTCTTATATTATTCATCATAATATGTATTATTATTTGTATATTGATTTTGTGGACACTTTAGGTCTATTATTAAGATTCTGCTGCTTCCAATGAAAGAAGTTGCAATTTTAATCTGATTGTGTGCTAGTAGGAAGCTCATTTGGAACAATGATTATGTTTCACATGAAATAGTGATGGCATCAATTGCACAATTTGTATAATAATTTGTGCAGTCAGTTTCCAGGAAGAGATATAGATGATAATGAATCTGGATTTATATAGCATTTAATCCGGAATACTGCCGCTAAGTGCTTTACAGATATTATTACCCAGTCATAAGATTCATTCAGGCACACATTGTGTGCTCCCTGGGGAGTATTCCTACCATGAGATCACCCTGAGGGCATGGCATTTTCTATCACGAGAGCTTTCTTTATCCTACCAGGTCCCCATTTCTCTCCTGGGTATGGAGTGGCAAATGTAGATTAATGTCTTGCCAAAGGACATTAGTGCCATGTCTGGGATTGAACCCATGGCCCCTGCATTTGTAGTGCTTAAACCACTTGACTGTGACATCTCTACAACACAACAATATGTACATGTAGTGTGTGCTTTTCCTTTTGATATCACCAATAACTTTGTCTACACCTTAAAGATGAAGTTGAGTTCTGGTCATGCGATTGCATTGTGAAAGAAACGGTGTGGAACCGACCAGAAAAGGTTTATCATTTAGCATATAAGAATTTGTGTGTATTGCAAGGTTCTGGAATCATCAAATTGATAAGAAATTTGGCCAAGTCTTGGTAAAGTTACAAACACTGTACACGGAAAGATGTATATGGGACTACACGAACACGTGGCGTAAAAAGCCGTCCCCGATTTTTACGATGTTACGTGCATATTTAGAATGTGAAGGCATTTGAAGAGCCATGCTTTTCAGGGAACATGTCTTATCTGATGTTCTTCCACACTTGCATAATAAGAATGAGTAATGCTCACAAATAATTTTTCACCTCTTCCCAGAACTCAACCTTCTCTTTAATATGAGCAGTAAATCCAATGAATAAACAACAAAGTCACAAATAGCATTTAGGGACATTGTGCCTTATCTGTCTTAGCAACTAAGTATAACACACCCACACAGTTAGTACTTAAAACAATATAGGCAAGCTATTTATAGGGATGTATTTCATGCCAGCCTATTGGAGGCTTAAAATGTGTTGTGAAGTTCAGAGAAAATAGATGATTAACCTCAAACATGTATATCCTTCATAGAAATGTAAAGGTTAATTTGAGTACACTGTTTTTACTTTATTTGGCTCAGAAAGCTTTAGAAAATTAATTTACATTAACAAGGGGGGGGGGGGGGAGGGATGTGCGATCTAGATTTTCTAACAGTTGTTGTTGTTGTTGTTATTCTTGGGGTTTTAAGGCTGACCAATCTAAAAAGATTATTTCTGCCTGGCTGTGCTGTTTTTTTTAGTTGTTCATCACTGATGATTAGATGGCGCTGTTTCTTTTCCTCTTCAGTGGGTATCATGTACTGTGCAGCTTCCGTTTATTCGATGGTTACAGAATAGTAACAGTTCTATTTATACTTTGTTACTAATAACTCTAAAATACATACCAGAGGAGTAATTTAAAAAACATTCTGTTCTGACAAGTTCTAGGCACTCATTGTTAAACTCAATGCAAATTTTGCACATACTGTGACTTCAATAGATACATATTACATGTATTTACATGTGTATTATCTTGTTTTCCATCTTGCTTTGGACCTTCTCTTCAACATGTATTTTATTTTTGTTTATAGTTTTACAATTCACTAAGTTTATTGAGAGGTTTAGATAGTACCACTAAAACGTTTTTATTGAAGGGAAGGGGATGGGAGGGATATTACAATGTGCTTTAAAGGTACTGAGCTACACCGTAATTATCATTTTAATAAGCAGTTTATCTGTTTAAAGCCAGAAGGGTGTTAACCCATACACAACTTTAAACTAGACTAGGCGCAAATAGTCAAATCTGACTGAGTGCCATAAATAAAACCAACAACAACAACCCATATAATTTTACACAGAGTTGACATCCTTGGCACTCCGCAGACAATAGGCAGCATGGTGACACATCAAAACATAATGATGGCTAGACACATTCACCATCAGACTGCTGTAGATCAACCAGGAAACCCATCAAATTAAAGCAGGGAAATTGATGTTACCTTCCCAAATGCCATGCCTTTATATAACACCTTAAAGATAAAATTCAGTTCTAGGGGCTGTTTCACTTATCAAAAGCAATTCTAAAATTTGATGACAAATTTGCTCTCAGCCAATCGAATGCCCCGATTTCAGTAGCTTATAACAGTTATTGTAACTTGCTATTAATAACTAGTTTTGTGAAACAGGGCCCTGGTCATGCAGTCACATTGTGAAAGAAATCGTGTGGAAGCAAGAGGTAAAAGGTTGTTATTGTCATGTTTATTATTACAATTAGTGTATACTCCCCAGGGAGTGGAGAATGTGCATACATTGTGTTCGGGTAAGCCTGAATCCGATGACCGGGGTGATAATATGATTGCAGGGCCCTCAGGGAGAACAGTATGAATACTGATGAGGCTACCCTGGGTAAACAAGACATATTAGTGAAAACTGTGAGTTTTTGAAATCATCAAATTATAGGAAATTGACTCAATCTTGCGTAAAAGGCACTCACATGTACTGCACAGAGATAAGTGTATATGGGACTACACACATGTTCCATGATAGTTTAGTCCAAACTTTCAGCTCTTTCTCTTATTTCTCATATTTCTAATGTAAGAGCAATTAAAGAGCAATCCTTTTCCGGGGACATATATATCATGACTTTCTTCCAAACTGACATTAACAAAAAAGATGTTTTCAACAATATCGGAACTCAACCTTCTCTTTAATCTAGGTAGGAATGATGGCCTGTCAAAAGGCATTGACGCTAGAACATTTAATGACCCATTTGCCCACAACATTTTCCATTGTGATAGACGACATGTACATGAATTGTCCAATTTTCCGCTGTTGACCTTGCATTTTGTTTCATCGGTTACCTTGCCAGACAAATAATTTGTCCCTGTGACTCAGTTTACTTCTGTATCTTTCTGTGTATGCATGCTAGTTTGTTTGTTTTTTATTTATAAAGAGAAAGAGGATAATAATTGTAAATACAGGGGATTTGAAAATGGAACCGGCCTTTTCTGATAAAAGAAAAGATTACATTACTTTAAAAAAAAGGGGAATCTAATCCAGAAAAAGGAAGAATTCAAAGAGGTTAAAAAAAAACAATACTGAAAAGATTACATAAGAAGGGGTGATTGTAATTCTTTCTTTTTCTGAGAAAAAGAAAGAATTCAAAGAGGTTTTTTATTTTTAAGTACTGAAAATTTGAAAAAACGATAAAGAAAAAAAAAATACTGAAAAGATTACATTACTGTAAAAAGAAGAATTAAAAGAGGTTTAAAAATAAAAAAATACTGAAAAGTCTTAGTAGCAGTAAAGACAATATTTCCAAAGAGCATCAAAGTATTGTTATTTGAAAATTGTGTTTAGTATTTGCATAGATATTGATTTTTGTTGTTGTTCATTATTTAAAAAAAAAAGGTCATAGCATATTAAGCCTTAAGCCACACCCAAGTGAGCTTGTCATCAGAAAATAAATTGAGAAAATCTGATCATTTTTTTTGTAGTTCTCTGAAAATTGCAGATAAGCTACTCTTCTAGCACAGCTGTATTTTAGATTGAAGAGAAGGAGAATACTTTGAAAACACAACAAGGGGTCAGAAAAAGAAGAAGAAAAAAGGCAGTTGATCAATAGAATGTTCTCATAGAGAGGGAACGAAAGGGGGCAGTAAGAGGAGTGGGGTGGCAACAGGGGGAACATTTATATGTATTTCTATGTACAGTTGTATTGAGAGTTTCTTGGGTACATTCTTTTGAAAATGTTTCGTTATTTGACCAGCATAATATGTACATGAGTATAAGCAACACATCAAGGTATTTAAAGTGCTGTATACTTTAGAAGGTAAGTAACTTTTTCAGGCACTACAGTACGGTATTCAAAGTGCCTAGACAGTATGTTTGTGACAACACTTTGGTACTTCCCCAGAGACTCCCACTGCCTTCCACCTCTTCACTAATAACAAAGAGAATGACATTGAAGTTAAAATGTAATTGAAATATACTTCCTGGTTTATACAAAACTCATATAAAGAAATATTATATAAAGAATCATCATAATGCGAAAGTAGCGTACACACTACATAACAAATTAAAAAGAAACTCATTTTGAAGAGGTCTCTTGAGATGAAAGCATCTGTTGTACAATGTTTTGACGATTCTCAAACAGGCTTTTTTCAATATGATGTTTAGTTTTATACAACATTTATTTTAATGACATTCAGACTAGCCAAATGTGAGTACGCATCATATAGTTATACAATGAATTCTGGTGGTCTGAATGTGGGGTCACTGAAGTATAGAGTTCATAATGATGGAATGATGGTAGCTTTAACACCACAAAGTCTAGACCAAAATGAAAAGCAGATAGCAATTCGTTTGGAAAGCTTTGATGGCCTTGGTGCAGCAGACATCAGATAATGGAATGTTAGAGATTGATTTCTAGAGATATATCCCGAAGGATGAGACAGGAAATGTTGTTCTTGAAGCCAAACTACGTGAATGTTTAACAGGAAAACATCCTTTGTGCAGTTTTCCTCTTTTAGACACACACATTTTCATAAATTTCATTAGCATTTAGATTGAAGCTGGAAAAAGATCTGTTTTTTTTCCTCATACGTTCTGTACGCGACAATATAGAAGTATTCAAGTAAAGACTGATAGGGCATTGATAATGGCAATTTGTGGAGTTACATGTATATAGTGGTTTGTTACTTTCCTTTGCGCCTATTTCATTAATGAGAGGAATAGAGATATCCTGTAAAAGTAACACATGAACTAAATAGATATTCTTTATAAAACTATGCCTCTGTTTTCCACATGTAGAATGTTTTATAATGAAATATGATACATAATCAACTTAAAGCCACACTGTACTACTTGTAGCTACTTGCTCCCTCTATATAGAAAACAATGCCTAATCGGTGACCATTGGTCCCCATGATCCTCTTTTTCTTACGTTAATTGAGAGCAGAGTTGATGAGATAGCCACTTATCCAGTGACCTTGCAGGGTGGTCTAATCCCTCCTATAAACTAGTGCAGATGAGCTTTAAATAATGTCATAATTTTATCATTGTTGATTTTAAGGTTCTTCCTAAGAGTGCTGAGTGTCTACATCACAAAGCTGTACTAGAGCTGTACTCTTATTGTTGTCTTTCTTCTTTTCTTTTTTCCCCCCTTCTTTTTATCTTCCTTTTTTGATGGTATTTTCTGGCAGAGGGTGATGAATATCTATGAAATTGTTCCTACTCAGAGGTATACTCTAAACGTTTTTTGTTTTTTTGTTGTTGGTACATACAGGTTCTGTCATCGGAGAGCATTGAGTATCAAAACTCAGGAAAATGAAAGTGTTCAGACTCGGAGGTTGATATACACTTAATGTTAATCACGGAAGAGGTTTACGGTACACCATGTGTAAAGTCCTCGAGGGACTGAGGAAAGTGGATAGAAAATAGAAGTGAGATGGAAAGGCGAGAAAGTGGAGGTTGGAAGGAAGAGTATCTTTCGGAAGTGAGTATAGTCCTGAAAAGGACTGTAAACCAGAAAGTTGTAGGAGGGATGAGAGGTTTGAGTAGAAGACTGGATTGAGTTGGAGAGTTGAGTAGGCGAGTAGAGTTGCAGAGCAGGAGCAGGAGAGTAGACTCGACGTTTCGGACAGGTTGACTGTCCGTCTTCAGGAGTGAGTGTTCGCTAGGCGTGCGGCGGTTCTTATGGCGTGGATGCGGACTTGGGGGAAAGCACTAGGCCGGCGGGCTCGGCAGGTTGGCAGGCAGCTGTCGGTGGTGGCGCGCGGTTGTGTGAATTGGCGGGAAACACTTAATGTTGTTTTCTTTTCTTTAATTGTTTTCTTGCTAGGTTTTGTCAGAGAGCGATGAGTATCTACATTGAGGAGCATGAGACCGTCCAGCGGGAGAGATCATCTCACCAGCAGCCAGTCAGGGCATCCCTCTTTGATTGTATCGACCTCTATACCCAGGAAGAGAAGGTAAGAATCTAATAGGCGGATTCCTTTTAAATGCTAGCTTTAAAAAAAGGCATTGGACACTTTTAAAGTGACTTGGTAAACATTGCCTCAGATTCTGAAACAAAATCCTGGATTTAGCTCATGCTGCTACCAAAATTATAAACCTTTAGGTCAGTCAGGAATCCTATGACTTTTACAAGCCGAATGCCTGTCTGATTATCAAGATATTTATGATAGGAAAATTGAAACCAAATTTTGTGTTTTCGTGACGGTTTTCATAACACTACAGTCGTCTATTGGACAAATGAGTATGGTAAAACTGGTCACTCAAAGAATTTTACTTTTTTGAGGCATTTTAAAGCGTAATTTTTTTACGGCTTCAATGCTACACCATATCACAGACACTGAAAACATGTAGGGCCTTGCATCTCAGATTCAACATTGTTAAACGATGCCTTTAAGCGCTGTAGAGTATATTCATATAGTAGCTGCGCTATATAAAGTGGACATGAAGTATATATCTTTGTTTGTTATTACTCCTTTTCTAAATATGATGTACTTGTTCAATGTTATGATATACAGCTTGGAGAGGACAATGCATGGAACTGCTCGCATTGTAAGCGCTTTCAACAAGGAACCAAGAGACTGACTCTCTGGACGCTACCCGAAGTACTCATTCTACATCTCAAGAGATTCAAACAGGTAATACATTCAAACCTGCTTTGGTGACCACCTGTCTACAAAGACCACCTGCCTACAAAGACCACATTTTTTGTTTCCCTTGAAAATGGTTTCTCATTGAAACATGTACAAAAGGAACCTGTTCTTAAAGACCACCTGCCTACAAAGACCACTTTTCCTGTATCCTTGGGTGGTCTTTGTAGACAGGTTTCACTGTGGTAGTGATAAATATGGACTTATTTAACTTATTGGTTGCTTTCTTCACCTGTCGGCATGGTTACCTGTTAGCCATACGTGCAGTTTTGCATAAAACCATTGGCACCAACTGATGGAAGGATTGCTTTGTGCAATAAAAATGGCTTCACAAAATTACCCATTTCCGGTCTTGATTAACTCCATGACAACCCTTTGAACACCAGTGTATATTAATGTAGCACTGGAAACAGTCACCCAATATCTGAGCCTTTGGTATATTTCTTTCTTATGATTAAGACAATGTGGCACATGGAGATATATGTGTTTCATATCAAGAGTTAAAAGCCAGTATTCACCAAGGCACACTTTAGTTAAGGTTTCAAAAGAGATTCAAGGAGGTACAGTTATAGTAATGATAAGTTGGGATTATATCTAAAGGCACCTCATCTTTTCTTGATATAGATTAAAGAAGGGAACAATGCAGTGGTAACAGAGATTATATCTCGGGATAGTCAAGCAACAATTAATAGTGATTAGTCTAAGGTGTATTGTAAAGATATCAAATTGGACCACAGCCAGAAAATCAGACAATTAAAGTTACATATAGATTTGGGTTGCAGTTTGAAAGTAATTTTTTATGTTCGTGAAATTATGTTAATAGTCAAAAAACAGATTGAAATTAGGACAAGTCGATAGTTAATGTCTGTCAAAACCTGGCTGTGAGCATGCACAGTTAAGAGGGAGATGTCGGTGGGAGCATGAACGATTATGTAGAATTCTAAAGACAATCAAACTTCTTTTCAACAACATAAACATTATTCAGCTTGTAGAATATGGCCTCTGATTCAACTTAGTCAATTCAATTATGATGCACCATGTGTCAACCTCCTCTATCATACTCTGTAAAAGTTATTGTTATTGTTATTAAATCGGTTTATTAAAAAAAAAAACATGACATGCTGCTCAATGCTGATATTGTCTTTTTTACTAAGTAATCAAATATTAACATTATAATACGAACATTAAAAAAAAGAAGTTATTCTATCTCAAAATGAGTAAACAAAATGGAAAGTGAGTTAAATAAGAAAATATTTGTGTAAATTTGAACACTTTCCTCACCATTTTGACAATGTTATAACATGATGTTTATTTTTCAGGTTGGATCAGCAAGAACGAAACTCTCTACGCAGGTTGATTTTCCTATTCACAACCTGAACATGGGTCAATATATAGAACACAGAAGGATGTCTCAGGGGCTACCAATGAATGGCAACTCACAGGTACGTATGATGCATTGTGTGCCCTCCTTATAAAGGGCTTTAGCATGGGAATTACATTTACTGGGGGTATTTCACAAAGATCCTAAGTCAAACTTGACTCTAAGTTGGACTCTAAAATGAAATATATTCAAAAGCAAAAATTCAAGGATTTTAGACTTTTCATGAATTCCACATCAAGAACATGAAATCTCCTTGATAATAGAAAATATGAATGTTTTGCATCAACATTTTATGCCTTTTGAACTAACATTTACACAATATTTTCAAAGTGCTACTGGCTTTCCATAATTGTTAAGTCCAACTTAGAGATAAGTTCAACTTAGGATGGTTGTGAAACACCCCCCCCCCCCCAGGAACTATTGGAATTACCCTTGTTAATACCTTTCTGTAGCGCACACAAATCTCCTTCTTTACATATTTTTGTTTTATTTTGCTGAGTGGGTATTCACAAGGGAAAGCTTTCAGTACCATTGTCATATTTTTAGGTAAAAAGAGCCCCTTAAAGGGCTATTAGGATGATAGTGATGATGATGGTGGTGATGATGTTGATGATGATAATGATGGTGGTAATGATGTTGATAGTCTTGGTGATAATGGTGATGATGGTGATGAAGGTGATGACGGTGATGATGATGACGATGATGATGATGATGACAATAATGACGTTAATAGTGATGATGACAGTGATGATGATGATGATGATGATGATGATGATGATGACCATGATGATGGAGATGATGATGACGACAATGAGGTGATGATGATGACCATCCCTGTAGTAACTGTAGTTACAGCTTACAGCTTATATACATCATCCCTAATGATACATGTACAGTATGGTTTTGGAGTAGAATGATTATACATTTGACAGGGATGGTAGAATGATGTTACTCTGCAGTTACATCCAATTCTCAATTATCTCCTTCTAGGCAGCACTCTTGAACTCTCTTACAGCCTGGTCACCATGGAAACAGCAAGGAGGTCGGCGGAGGTCAACGACATTGGTGGGCGATAACGTGTATGATCTCTATGCAGTGTGCAACCACTCTGGTAGTTTAACAGGTGGTCATTACACAGGTAAATACTTACCCGGCTTTAAAGTAGTTTTAATACAACATTTGAGAGTGATTCTGGTATGGGAGATATGCTTATAGGATTATTTAATGAGTTTAGCCTCGTTGCTGTATGTAGATGTACAATGTATGTCTTAGAGAGAAACTCAGCTTGTGAGAAAGCTTGTGAGAATTTTTTATTGAACCACTAACACAGCTTTAAAATTAAGGTGGGAAATCATTATGTTCAACTGAAACATGTTGATAAAATACATTGTAAATTTAGTGGTGTAATGCATACTTTTGCACATTCATGTGTGCATAGAATTTTTTTATTTAAAGCCCATTTGTACTAGTTTACAGAGGGGATTAGACCACCCTACAAGGTCACTGGTTATCTCATCAAATGAGCTCTCACTTTACATAAGAAAAAGAGGATCATGGTTGACCAATGGTCACCAATTAGGCATTGTTTGCTATATAGAGGGCGCAAGTAGCTATATGTAGTGCAGTGGGGCTTAAAGAATCTAAATTCATTTTTATTACTTCACTATTTCTTAGCTTTCTGCAAGAACTCCCTGGACGCGCAGTGGTACCACTTTGACGACGCCAAGGTGGTGCCGGTACCGGAGGAACGCCTGGTGAACAAGGGAGCATACCTTCTGTTCTACCACCGGCGCACCCAGGCCGCCAGCAGTACCAGCACAGACTGCTCCATGTCATCCACTGGCTCGGATCATTGGGTCTACAAGCTACCTGCGTATGCCAGGCAGTGCAGTAACACCTCATCAGGACAGGTAGGTGTGAGGGAGGGCATAGGTCAAGAACAACATGTTCTTTACCCGCAGAAAGAGTGTATTTTGCATCCATCCTGGTAAGACGTAAATATTGACAGTAGACTGAGAAACGCAAGTTTAGGATCAGTTTGGTGGGGTTATATCGAATATGATTTTTCTTTTTTGGTACAGTCAAACCTGTCTATAGCGACCGCCCTACGGAAACACAAAAAGTGGTTTTTGTAGACAGGTTGTCTTTGTAAATAGGTTCCTTTAGTACATGTTTCAATGAGAAACCATTTTCAAAGAAAACAAAAAATGTGGTCTTTGTAGACAGATGGCCATCGTAGACAGGTGGTCACTAAGGCAGGTTTGACTGTATTAGCAAATGCATTTGCTAATGAGCCTGAATACTTCCTCCCTATTGGCAACGTATATTGTACTAAAAGAAATGAATAAAAATGTTGTCTTCATTACATAAGTGAAGTAGACCATTGAAAGGCAAATGCCTCTTCCTCATTTCATGTATATGTCATCACTCTTTACACCTACTGATATCGTAGGCCCATATAAACAAGTTGAACCTGATACCTTGAGCATACCTTAATTCAAGTTTAAGAAAGAGATAACATAGACCTCGGTCTAAATGGATTTGTTACATGTGAACTTGATTAGATGGAGCTTAAACCCAAACCTAGGTTAAGATATACATGTATAGTATATAGGCCATACAGTATTTGTAATTTATAATATTACATCTGTTCTTGACCATCTGTGTTTCTGGGGATGCAGGACAGTGTCTTCTCATCCGGAGGTTCATCCCACGAAGGAAGTTCCCCAATGACAGAGACCCCGCCCCCAGGTGCATGGGGGTCCAGTCACTCACCCCACCCTGCCCCTACCAGCTACGCACCCCACCCTGCTCCTACCAATCACTCACCCCATCCTGCCTCTACCAGCCACTCGCCCCATCCTGCCCCTACCAGCCACTCGCCCCATCCTGCCTCTACTACCCACTCGGGCAGACCTGCCAGGCCGGACCCACACCCACAGAGAGTAGATCTTCCAGAGTGGTACAACCATAATGGAGTGGATGTAGCGGACAGCGCAGGTAGTAGGGCAAAGAGCAGCGGGAGGATGACCCCAGGTCAGAGGTCATGGCATGGGTCAAGAGATCTTGTGGATGATGGTAAGTAATTGCTACTGCAAAGCGGTCCTTTCTCTATTATCAGATACAAAAACAATGCAATGCTTGAAACATGAATGCAAGATTGTTCCATATTTTGCTTGCCTGTGGCTTAGAATGGATTAGTGATGTAATAAATTCCATGCAATTGATTCATATGCTTTATATATAATATTACCCAAACTATACAATTTTCACACCTTTATGTGACACAATCACCCTTTTTCTTAAACAGTATTGTAGATAAGACCATGGGTGATTCTCCTGCCTTTTAGGATTATAAAAGTCACATTAACATTCACAAGCATATTTGTTTGTGCTACGTCTTTTATTGCTTTGTTATATCTTTCTAAACGTGCCATGAATATTATTTTAACTGCTCTGTTTAAATATTATGCTTCTTGATGTAAATATGTTCATAATTATTCAGGGCCCCATGGAAGACCACTACTTGTTGGTAAATGGGCTACCCTGACAAAAGATTAGAAATAAATGAATTTAAAGATATTAAAAAGGAGTTATCTACACATTCCAGTAATATCGAAAATTGCATTATACATTTTTCATCTTACACAAATTACTCTAACAAACCAATTTTTCTTTCTTTGTTTCTTTTCCCTGCTAGATGAGAGTGGAGGTTTCTCACCGAATTCCAGACCGTTTGTCCGAGGAGTTGCAGGGCCAACAAGGCAGAGGTCTACACATAGACCATGGGAGAATAGTGAGAGTGACAATGATAGTGTGCTCACTGAATCTTGTGTATGACATAGGGTTTTAAAAGCATAGGATCTATCTAGCATAGGGTATTATGTGTCAGACATAAGGTTTGTGATAATGGGTTTTTTAAACTGGATTTTTAGTATGAATCCATATTCCATCCTCTTTGCATGGACCACTGTCAGAGTGACTCTGACAGTCTATTTGCCAAGTCTTGTGTATGACATAAAGTTTTAAAAGCATAGTATATACATGCATAGGGTAGTGTGAATCATGCATAAGGTTGATGATAATGTGATTTGTAAAAAAAAGTGTTGTGACATTCACACTAAATATCAACCTCTATGCATAGACCAACAGACAGAAAGTGGCACAGATAATTTGCTCTTGCGTATGAAACAGGGTTCGAAAAGGTTAGTTAGGTTAGTGTGATCCATGCATAAGGTTGATGCTGTGAAATTTCACTGACAGTGTGCTCATAGAGTTCTTGTTTTTGACAAAGGGTTTTAATTGCACAGGTATATCTCTACCATAGGATATTATGTAATAGGTTTAAATTTGATGATAATTGTTTTTTTTTAAATAGGGTTTCAGCATTGAGATGATTTGAATTGATAATGGAACTGATGAAATCAGCACTGAAATTGTGTGACATTTGGTGGTAGTTGTGTGGTTAAACACATTGACCCAGTAATTTGAAGAAGAAGACAAAGCAATGGATGTTTCTCTGCGCATATTCACTGAGCTCTGCGTTACAAGATACAGAAATGTGACTCGACTGTCTGTGTCAGACATAAGGTTTGTGATAATGGGTATTTTTAACAGGATTTTTAGTATGAATCTGAGAGGCAGAGGGTTACTTGCTTGCACCTATCTTTGCCCTGGGCTCTAGTCAGACACTATATTAACTTTGATGATATTACAACTAGGGGGGTGTTTCACAAAGATCCTAAGTTGAACTTATCTCTAAGTTTGTCTTAAAAGTTATGGAAAGCCGTTAGCATCTTTGAAAATATTTTGTCAAAGTTATTACAAAAGGCATAAAATGTTGAGTAAAATCATTCATATTTTCTATTACAATGGTAGATTTCATGTTCATCTGGAATTTATGAAAAGTTTGAAATACTTAAATTTTTGCTTTTGAATATATTTTATTTTAAGGCTACAAATGGCTCTCCATAATTTTTAAGTCCAACTTAGAGTTAAGTTCGACTTAGAATCTTTGTGAAACACCCCCAGATGCACCTATCAAGGTAGCTTTATAGCGATAACTAGTGTACCAAAAGATGCGTCCGGAACGCAAGATGCATAATACATAGTGATGTTATTGCTGTTGACATGTCTGAATGAAAGGTTAGCTATCATGAAGCATAATCAAGATGGTATATGCATTTACCAGCTCCATATCCGAAGGATGTAGTTTTTAACTCTGTGTGACAAAATAATGATTTTCAACAATTATGCAGTTTGCATTCCAGACGCGTCGTTTTGTGCCACTAATGTTCACCAAGCTACCTAAGTAGAGTTTTCTTAGAACGATGTGTTATTTCTTGTTAGGATTTACACACAGAAAGGAGGAGGCGGGCATATGTATTTGTAATAACAAATTAGGAAAATTGTTTTGAAATGCATTTATCTTTTTTAATTGTGCCAAAGATGTTTAATATGCTGTTGATCATTCACATGTACAAGCAATATTGTATTTCCACAAACAGAAATGTAAAATGTATATGTTTTCTTTAAAAGCTTCATGAATTTGCAGGTGTTGTACTCTGAAATGAATTTGAGGAGAAAAACACCAATTGTGTTTTTTGCTCTTGATTATACGTATTCACATTGCTGCTTCCATTGCCTGTCAAGTCATCTCATGATTAAAGATTATATTCTATGGGGTGATAACGGTAAAATTATTATTTCAGACATTTTCAGAATCATATTCTGTTTGTAGCCGCCATCGCAAAGGCTATCATCCATTTTTGTTGTTTTTGTTATTGTTGAAAGTCTTAAATGGACAATTTTCTCCAAGGAATTTGCCACAGTTAGGTAAGGTTGCTTCGGATATAGAAATTAAATATGAAACATGTTTATTTTCTATTAAGAGTCAGGAGGATGTCACCTCTAGTATGAGTCAATGCTTTTCTGGACCCTGTATCATAAAACTTTTTTATCAGTACCAAATGCTAAATATCTATGACAAATTTGAACTCAGCCAATTAGATGTCACGGTTTCAGTAGCTTATAATAGTTATTGTAACTCAGTATTGATGACAAGTTTTATAAAACAGGGCCCAGGTTCTCGGCAGAAGATATAGCAAAATCAAACAATTTATGAATTTTGTTGTCAAAGGACTCTCAGAAAAGCATGCAGCTGCTGATTCTATGGACATTATTTATTGATTCATTAATTATTACTATGATCATGACTTTAATTAACGTGACATATACTCAGTATGAGTATCCTCTTAATTTGCAATGAATCGTGACAGATTATTTTGTTGTGTTTATACTTTTGAATAATTCAAGTGCAATTATGTATATTATTCTGATTATGTGTTGTTTCAAGAATCTCAAAACTCAGTCTCTATGTTAGGTAGATATTTTCATTATTTTGCTCATGTTACTTCATAGTGATTCCATATATCATCTTAGCCATTAGTTTATAATCAGAATGTGTTCTTCTTTCAGCTCAAAAGTTCATTTGTTCCTTCATAATTATACAAGTATTCCATTTTGTTTGGAGGGCTTCCTGTTGTTAAAGTATATTAGTTTGCTGTAGAAACAGAAACTTTCCAGTTTCCAGTGGCTTTATGATTGTATGATCCATTAGTGCAGTTCAGGGGCCCATTTCACAAAACTTGTTATCTATAACAAATGCTAGATTTCTATGACAAATTTGCTCTAAGCCAATCAGATGCCATGATTTCAGTAGCTTATAACAGTAACTTGTAACTTGTTATTGATATCAAGTTTTGTGAAACACCCCCAGATTCCATCTTGCCAATTGTAGAATGAATGTAATTTTTGTACCAATGTGAGAAAAGGAGAAGTGATTTAATGATTATCTCTTGATTTGTTAAGCCTTGAAGGGACATGATATGAACATGTATTTATTTAAAAAACCTAATGATGAAGAAGAATGAACAGTACTTTAGAATGCTCAGTATGTGCAGGTGTGTGGTTTAAAGTTATTGGACAGAGAATTTAACAGCTTCAGTCATTATAAATGCTTTAATGAAATTCGAAAATTGAATCAGATTCAATCACTTTATTAAGAGATATCATACTTAATCAGTCATAAGAAAATGCTAATGACCAGTTATAAGCATTTTTTTAATGACCAGCAACAAACAGTTGGCAATGGTTGCACAAATCAAACAATTATCTCACTTGTTTAAAACATTTCAGCATTTAAATGTTAATTGACTTTTTAGAAAAAGTAAACTTATTGTTAGTAACTGAGGCACATGCAGTGCTCTTCGTAAAATCATGTTTCTTTATAAATCCCAATACTGGGATTACATGCGTCTATGACATGTGTCTTTCTCTGATTTGATGGACCAACAAAGTTGTTCTTTATTGTTAAATTATGCATTGCAATGCAAATTCGTTTGAGCAGTTTAATTACAGGTGTACCTCGTTTGTACCATGTAAGCTAAAGTGAATGATGCGTTTTTCTTTTGTTGTTGTTTACTTGTTTGTTTCAAATTCTAAGTACTACAAGTGCATTCATGTTCATTTATTCTTTTCAGAGAAACTTATATATTGTCTGTTCAGAGCTAGAAGGGCGTTAATTCTGTGTGAAAGAATGATAAATGTATAACGCCCTTGTGGCCCTTGGTAGATGATTCTTTCTTCTAATTTATTTTTAATTGCACCTTCATGTTTTAACAAGAAATTACAGGTATTCTCATAATATGCAAAGCACACTTGGATGTTTGAAAAATACATCCTTAAAAAATGGCTTCCTGTACTATCTGCATGGATATTCAGTGTTTTTGTTGGTTGGTTTAAGAGTACATATCCTGTACAGTAGGTATAAGAGCAATTTATTTATTTTTCTATTGCATAGTAATATATGTAATGTGGATTATCATATTTGTTGATTTTAGATCTTTTGGAATTTAATTTAATTGTTTCATGTGTGATCCACACCTCTGAACTAGCTGTTATATAAGTGACTAAAGAAATGGAGGAAAGGAATGGAAATGATTGTGTGAGAAATGACGAAAATTGCTGTTTAATGCACATTTAATAAACACCTTTGGAATATCCTAAACATAATTTGCAATGTAAATACAAATCATTTTTACCTCATTTATATATAGTGTAATAAATGACTACATATGGTGACTGTTTTGGATCAAAGTGAACAAATATTTTACCCTTTCATGTTACAAAATAAAAATAGTTACCCTTAAAGTCACATGCATTTGTACAAGTACAGTAGACAAAACAATTACTCAACTATCGTATGCCCGATCAAAGAACAATCTGAAATTCAGTATTCTTTTGAGGTTACAAAAGTAACAAAAAAATCATGCTGAAAAACATTTCTATTTCTAATGATTTTGATTCTGCAGACTACATTTTTCTGATAAAAAAGGAAGGTTTCATGTGTTTCTGGTTTTAAAAAAAGCGTGAATTTCTGTAATCACTGTGCCCAGAATTTAACCATGGTTTACCGCAAAAGAGATTAGGAAAAGAGAGGTCTGATAGAGAGTATTAAAAAACACATCATATAGCTTAGCAAGATAAGACTAGGAGAAAGAATTATATTCAAGAATTATTGAACTTTTAGATATTAGAAATTAGTTTGGAGGGGAGGGGGGGGGGGGGGGGGAAGATAATGCCAAACATGTGTATAGCTACAAAATGTGCCAATAAGATGTATTCCTATCTGTGTAGAAACCTTCATTCAAATATTTACTATGTAAAAAAAAAAGCACCAATTTTTTTCTTGAAAGTATGCATATGATTAAATTATTGAAATTCATCATAATAATGATGAAAATGATGAAGAAAAACAAATTTGTTGAGAATCTTTTTGTGATGATTTTTGTGCAGATGTAAAGAAGAGAGAGAGAGATAGAATTTGAGATAAAATCTGACATAAGAGAAGAGTTGAATGTGAAAACTGATTGAAAAGAGGGAAAGAGATAGATAGTGAAAGAGAGAAGATCATGAAATTTGCCCAAACTTTAAAACCCTTTTTTGATGAACTCGCATCACACGTTAACCCAGGGACGATGAACAAATATGGAATCAGGCTCCATAGACAATTTCTTTTTGCGCCAAAAATGCAGTTATTAAAAAAAAAATTCACTTGACACATCCAAACAGAAGCGATAAGAAAAGATTTACTTTTTAGACAGTCGTTTTAATTTCAACATTAAAAAGTCAAGATTATGGTTGCATATGAAAACATCAGTGTGAAATACATAATACATAAATATATGTGTATGCAGTTTTATACTACAAACTATAGGTAGTACATTTCAAATACCATTTAGAATAGATTTATGTACTAAACCATACATCTGCAGATTTGCAAAGAACGTTCGGCCAAATCTATAAAAGTATAATGATCATTTAAAACTAGTGGTTCACAAGCTTTTTTTATAAATCTATATTAACAAATTCATGTTCCACACTTATAAACATCCATTACCATTTTTAATTTTTTTTTTTTACAATGACTACCCCCTGTAATGCAGGGTCCCTTCTCAGTAACAGTCATGATTAATTCAAAGTGATAACAACTTCATGCCAATCACAACTGTGTACTATTAGAGATAGTAGTTTGGTAGGACCATACATAAAGAATCACTGATTTTGACTTATCAAGGCATGATTCCTAAGCAGCCGTGCTGCTGTTTTCTACAATAAGGTTTAAAACCTTTCCATCTCAAATAACTTTCAAGGCACTTCAAATCTAACCCTGTATTACAGTTCATTATAATTGCAGCCGTTTCTAACACATGATAGCTTAAACATATCTTTAGAAAAGTATATTTTAGTATATGCTTGAATTACATGCATACAAGTACATGTACATTTACTTTGAATATATCCTCTGTTGAGAGTCAGAGTGGAGTTTACTCTGTGTTTCAGTATATGAGTTAACGCCCTTCTGGCTCCAAACAGACGATAATGGACAACTGAGACAATGTATGTTTTATGTTATAACATGATTAGAATAAATAGATATATTACAGATTTTCTACAGGAAAAGTGTCATACTGAACAGAATGTAGCATGAAATTTGATGATGCATAGACTTGATAACCCCACAAGAAAAAGTTTTCAGGCGATTTTAAACCCTGTTTGAGCATCACTCAATCAGAATAATCATACTACAACATCGGGGGGGGGGGGGGGGGGGGGGGGGGGGGGGGGGGTGTTTCACAAAGTTCGTAAGTCGAACTTAACTCTAAGTTAGACTTAAACATTATGGAGAGCCATTTGTAGCCTTAAAATATAATATACATGTACTTAAAAGCATAAATTGAAGTATTTTAGACTTTTCATAAATTCCACATCAAGAACATGAAATCTCCTTGATAATAGAAAATATGACTGATTTGAATCAACATTTTATGCCTTTAAAAATAACTTTTACAAAATATTTTCAAAGATGCTAACGGCTTTTTATAATTGTTAAGTCCAACTTAGGGTAAAGTTCGACTTAGGATCTTTGTGAAACACCCCCCTGTATTTAATACATCAGTACAACTATCAAACTGTCAGTGATAATATTTCACAATAAAAAATTTCTCTCCGCTAGTGCTAAGTATGGGTGCTCAGTGGCAATTATGGAACATCACTACCAGAGTTGTTTACAAAAGATGCACATTTCATGAAAATTTACTGTAGATGAAATGTTACATTCACATGATTACACATAATTCTTACAACATGATCTTTTTCCAAAAATGCAATATTTTCACACCAAATCTGGGCCCTGTTTTATAAAACTTGATATCAATAACAAGTTACATTACTATTGTTATAAGCTACTGAAATCATGGCATCTGATTGGCTGAGAGCAAATTTATCATAGAAATTTAGCATTTGTTATAGATAACAAGTTTTATGAAACAGGCCCCTGAGCAATCACACATCAAACCTGTCTACGTTCAAAAAGAAATGAACAAGCTGACAATCAATTATCAAAAAACAAATTATAGTGTCACTATTTTTTTCATGACAGCAAATTTCTCTGGTTTCACAACAAACGCTTTTTACTAAAAAAATATTGATTGATTATTTTTGTATTCACATGTGAGAATAGCACAATGACAGGTTTCTATTAAGTCACAGGGCATTCTATTATATGGGCCTTTCTTTTCAACCTGATTTCTATTTCAATCATATTTAGTGCAATATCTCTGCTGTGTTTCTAGCCATGGCAAATATGTCAAGCAAAGAGGTTTGCATATTTTCAGTGTAAAATTTCATATTTTTTTAGGTATCTCAGCAATGTAAGAAATGCTGTCTGAATTCTCAAAAACAGCCTGACAGCAGTGATTATAAAAAATGAAGCCATATTTAAAATCAGAAAGAGAATATGTCCCTTACAGGCAGGGTATTTTATAATTGACCAACATAGTTAACACTGCTGTAATGTATTTTCAATTCTACCGTCTATAGGTGAAGGCATTAAGAGAGCAATTTCATGCAGTTGGTGATGCATTTTGGGACATGGCTGTCAACACATTGAGACATTATGAGCAACAGATGGCAGTATACATAAATCTGAAGTAGTATCGGTAGAATACCCTGCCTTTCATATACCACTTCTTTTTTCTAAGGATTACATCCTGCTACATAAATAATTGAAAACATACATAGTTTGCTGAATAAAATCAAACCAATTTGAGATAAATCACTCTCAACAGTTTTGTGAAAACTTAAAAGAAATATAAAGAGTTGTAACATGTAACCTTAAAAAAAACATCTACCGTAAATAACGTTGTATAAACCGCCCTCGTGTATTAACCGCACCCCTCTTTTTCGCCCTTTTTTTTTTTGTGTGTAAGATCATTACGGTACTGTAAATTAAAAAACAGTAGGGACCTAGGATTTTTTTTTTTTTTTTTTTTGGTGTACCGTGTATAAACCGCACCCCCGACTTTGAAATTTTTTCGGCGGCAAAAAAGTGCGGTTTATACACTGTTATATACGGTACATAAAACTGGAATGTAGAAGAAATAGGTCCATATCTGGTGCATCTACACAGGAGGTACATGTACATGTACATCAACATGAACATTATCACCTCTAATTAAGGCAAAATATTCATGTAATAATGAAAAAGAATAGCAAAGAAAGGTCAGGGAATATTAGTAAGGTAAATAAGTTAATAAGATTTTTAATCAAATTAATTCGCCCTGTGTGAATTTTTTTTCTTCACTTACACAAGTATCATGAAGAAAAAACACAGAACCTGATTGAAAATACACCTACATACATGTCGATAGATTTTGCTTCTCTCTCTCTCTCTCTCTCTCCATTCCTCCCTCTCCATGCAATCTTCCTATCATGATTTTCTATCTAAAAGGCATATATGGATGGAATTGCAGTATTTCATGTAACACACCTTTGATAAAATATATAGATATAATTTGGCAGTTTGTATTTACAAAATAGGCATCTGGTGAAAAATAGGCACAAGAAATAAATTACTTTGGACATAGTGGACGGAATCACATAGAAATAACACATTATGAAGAAGCAATGATGCTCAAATTTACAATAGCATGATGCATTTGTAATACCGTGATATTGTTTTTATGTACAAAGTGTAAAATCACATTTGATAATGCCAGAATCATTTGCACATTATATTCTTTCTATTACACTACAAACATATAAGTTTGTGGAAAGACGAAAATAAATCTTTTAATTAATCCGTGATTTGTATTTAATAAAAGAGATATCATATGTGCGTAGAAAAGCAATCCAATATCTCAATTGCAATACCATGATTTGTGCTGACAAATTTCAAGAAATTCAACCCAAGTGACAGTGCATATTTCTATTATACACCAAGTGCAAATTTTTGTTATATGTATCTCATGATTTTCTTCGGGAAAAAAAGGCAGTCTGAAAATTCAAAACATATGTACAATCTTATGAAGTTTTTTCAAAACAAGAAATCAGGAAATTTACAGGCACTTGGACGGAAACACATGGTATTGAAAGTCTGCTATGAAAATTAGTTTTAAAAATGGAAATGCAGAAAGTGGACGGTTAGTGGTTCTACAAAAAATTATGAAAACTCACTTGGAGTGAGATACTTTGGTTGAAACAGGCATAAAAAGGATATATACATTATGACTGGTCAGGTGTAGGGTCTAGAGGGGGTATGGGTACAGTAATCGGTTCTGGTTGGGCGTCCCTGGGGGTTGTCGGGGGAGGGGGTAGCCCCTGATCCACCTCGGTGTTTGCAGGGGCGGTGACGGGTGAGCCACGCCCTCCTGAGGAGCTGGAGGGGGGTTTGTTGCCCCCCGATCCTGGTCTAGCCGAGGTGGGGCGGTTAGGTGGTCTTGATCCCGAGCTGGAGTGAGGGGGGACTGATATTGCGTTGGATTGGAGGGGGTTGTTGTCCAGCGGTTCAGGGGCTTGCCTTGATGGTGGCAGGCTACGCCGTCCCCTTGCACTGCTCACTCGAGGGGACTTGGCTCGCATACCGGTAGTCATCTGTAAATAAGGTAGGAGTTCATGAATAAAGTGGATGAAAATCCCCATGTACATACATGCATGAGTATAAAAAAGTCAAAATGATAGCTATGTGTAAAGTGATATATCATTAAATACTGCAAATAAGATCGTATGAATATAAACAACTGATTAAAAAATATTTAATATCAATCCTTGGTCTAATAAACAGCATTAATTCTTCTGTTTATCATTTAATTTAGTTTTCTTTTTATTCTTTGTATTCTATTATCACATTTTATCTGATAGTTATTTTTGTTTATATATTCACAAAAATCATATACTTTGATGACACTGATTTGGGGGATTACAGACACTGTCCAAATGTATAAAAACTAACAGTTGGTACCTCATTATTTACCTTTATTGATAAGAACTTCATAACTTCAGAAGTTATAAATTGTGATGTGTACATGCTAATTACAGATTAAGAACAATGTTAGCACATACAGTACATACATGCATGAAATAGTATAGTATTAATGACTGCTTTGAGAGAAATAGTTGTTTTATTACGCTCAAGGGAAGGTTAGAATTGTGCTATTCCCCGAGGCTTGCCGAGGGGAATAGCCCAATTGTAACCTTCCCGAGAGCGTATGAAAACAACTATTTCTCGAATATTAAAGCAGTCATTAATACTTTTATATGCCGAAAAAAAATAGACTAAAAAATAAAAAATAAAAAATAATTTACATTTTTGTCGAAGACGGGATTCGAACTCTTGCGTACAACAAGAGGTGTATCGAAAACCAACGCTTAGACCACTCGGCTATCGCGCGCCGTTAACATGCTTGGCAGTTTTCTCCAATATATACATTAAAATGGATTGAAAACGGCTCCGCGTGAGGGATGCTTCGCAAAAGCTCCATGAAACGGACCCTTCTTTTACTTTTGCAATGCATATTGGCACGAACTTAGATCAAGATCTATCGGCAGATGTTGTTTTTTTGTTTTTGAGAGTTAATTTTCGTCTTCATGTCAACAATGCAAGATAAAATTGTCGGTAAGATCGATCGAGATTCAATTGTATTGAAATTGCCGACCAATTTTTCGCACACGTATGGTATCCTCCATCGCTCAAACCATTTTTAACATGTAAACCTATGGGGTAACCATGGAGACTGACCTATTTTTTTAATAACCATGGTTATTAAAAATATTGAAATGTTTTAAGCATGGTTACCGGGAATTTTACAGGAACAGTTGAAGTTTATGAATGCAATTCGACCAATCAGATGGCTGGATTTCTTAAGTGAGGTATATAAAGTATTATAGATTTCATGATAGTATTGTCTTGTTTGCCAAAGTAGAAGTTTGTATTCAGACTTGTTCTATACTTAAACATGCAAGTTACAAGTTTCAAGGCTTCCATTCCTCTACATTCAAGCCAGAGTAATGATGACAATATCTAACCTTTGGTTGTGTAAGGGTTGGTAATCTCTCAGTCATGTGACCGGTATCTAGCCGAGCCTTGTATATATGACCGTCTTGACCCTGTATGTCTGCTTCAACCCTGCAATCAAAAATAAAACAAAAAAAATCATTTAGTGAGTGCTCAGTAATCCTGCATGAAAGAAAACAAAATCAATTCATGTACTAGAAACTCTTCCATCCTGCATGAAAAAAGTAGATTTTATAATTCAAAGAAAATGATTCTGAAAGAAAAAACCGTTTCAAAATTTACGGGAGAAAAAAACACACATCATGTACACAGTCTAAAAATAGTCTTAAAATAGTGAAAAAATAGTGAAAAAAAAAAACACATAAAAATATGTTTTTTTGACTATTTTCAATTCAGAATGTATTTTTCATCCATCACGCGTTCGAAATCATTAACCTAAAATGTGTTTTTTTGTAGAGTTTTCAAAAGAAAATAGAAGAAAAATAATGTGGTTTTCTGGAAAATACCATAAAAATATAGTGTTTAAAATGACGTAAACAATTTACATGTGCTTCATATGATTATTTGTATTTGTGAATAGTATTTCCTTACTATAGCACCTTGACTCATCCTTAGTTTGATTCACTTACACCAAAAGATCTGATAAAAAGCCTTTCTGCAGTAAATAGGTGTTGCATGAATCAAACTTCAGGTTCAACATTATGGAAGAATCTCTTGGTATACTTCCTTGTTCAAAAACAGATTTTGACAAACATTAAAATGGCTTCGTTTTAGCCTCATAATGCGCACGGTGGTAGGAAACTGCCTTTTTGCTTACCTTCCATTGACTACTGGAGTTATATCTTCAGTTGTTGTGACCATGCTGTTCCTGTTGGTATTAACAAGGTGAAGAAATAAGACATTCATTCTTAGCTACTAGAATCTTGGGAGGAAAAAAAACTTAAAAGTTTTCTTCTGCATGTTACTGATGAAACAACATGCAAGTCTTCTTAACTTGATTTGTAAAGTTATACCAGTGAAAAACAAATTTCAGAATGGAAAATATATACTTCATTTCTAATTTTATAAGTCGTGAATTACGTCACCACTATTTGTGAAATAAGTCTTGTTAATGTGCAATGTAGATTACGAGATTCAACGTGTGGCTTGCAACAAACTCTTCTTGCTTATAAATCGAGAGGGGATTTACTTCAATCCAAAATGAGTTGTTATGTATAGGAAAATCATATAAATTTATATATTTCATATGCTTAACTATTAAGATACCTCATAGAGTGAGCAAAGATCTCAGTCACAACCAAAAACTTTCAGATTACATGCTTTCAACAAGAAAAACAACTCACATTTTAAATCTTGTCAGGAATACTAATGAGTAGACATATTCAATTTTCATAATATATCTTCCATGTCCTCCCATGAAATAATTTATTTCTCATGCTGCATCCCTCATCAAATTCATCTAAGAATCAATTACACAAAAGGAAAAACAGTGAAACCTGTCTATTATAAGTCCACCTAAAGGAAACAGAAAAAGAGGCCACTATAGACAGGTGGCCTTTCTAGACAGGTTCTTCCACACACGTTTCCTCCTTGAGGGATCAATATAGGTCAATATCGGTGACCACTATAGACAGGTGGCCATTATATAGAGGTGGCCACTAAGACAGGTGGCCATTATATAGAGGTGGCCACTGCATGGGACAGGTGTTGTGGCGTGCGCCTGTAATCCAGCTAACAGTGAAAGTTACAAACTGATTCAGCCGAGGACGTAAGTTCGAAAATGAGTCACGTCTTTTGGATGGTGACGTTATAAAGGTCGGCTCCCAGACGTAAATAATCATATCTGATTGATACACGTTTGTAAAAACCCAATACACACACACAGGTTTGACTGTAAGAGATAAGTGGCTTACGTTGTCTGAGCGACTCTGGTGATTCTCCGGTGAGGGAAGGTCATTGTATGGCTTCCCCCGCAGCTACGGCTGGCTACAAAGTAGTCTGGGACATCCTGGTAGTTACCACTGTAATTCATGAGAGATAGAAAATACTAGATTAGATTTGCAGAAAAAAAAAATATTAAAGGCATCGTTTAACAATGTTGAATCTGAAATGCATGGCCCTATGTGTTATCAGTGTCTGTGATATGTTATAATTTTGAAGCCCTTAAAAATTGTGCTTCAAAATGATCATGAAGTGCCTCAAAAGGTAAAAATCTTTGAGTGACTGGTTTCACCATACTCATTTTCCCCAATAGACTGTAGTGTTATAAAAAAAAGGAATTCTGAAATTTCAAATCCAATCATAAATATCTTGAAAATCAGCCAGGCTTGTTAAAGTCTTGGAATTCCTGACTGACCTAAAGGTTTATAATTATCATTGCAGCATGAGCTAAATCCAGGATTTTGTTTCAGAATCTGAGGCAATGTTATAGACACTTTAATTCAGACTGATGAGCCAAAAACCTTACACAGCATTTAGTTTGCATCCTACATTGGCAATGAAAACAGAAAAGTTTCACAGAATTCATGCTTCCCTTTCGACAGTTTGAATCTCATCATTCAAAAGCTGAAAAATTATTCATGAAAAACTAAAAGGCACCGTGTAATTGTTTGGAAAGTTAGTCCAAGTTTTCTGTAAGGGGTATCTTCATTGGTAACTTAACATATACATTGGATGATGAAAATATTTTAAGATAAATAAGAGTCCAATTATTTTCTAGTATTTGTCTAGAAATGGATTCTATGTTGATTTTTTTCGTATAACTGAAAGTTTAAAAAAAACACTTCGACCTATCAGACACTCTCCTTTCATATGCATATTTTAATAAAAATAAAGTATAACCAAATGGGCAGAAAATGTGTTCAATTTTTTGTCTATTGATAATCTGGTAGATTTTCAAGAAGCCGAAATTGAATATATGTTTTCTCCTAACAATTTGAGTCTCAAACTAAATTTAGATTCCCTTATGACCTTCATCATTCAGTGATTACATAATCGTGTCTGTTGAGATCACTAATGATGCCAGAAATTGACTCTAATTGGGACATGCATTGTGCTTTTGCAGATATGAAGTGAAGGTTGTGATATATGTGATGTGACTAGTATAATGACTATCATATGTTCAGGAATAAGTACAACTGACGTTCTACATGTATGAAGAAAATGAATGATGGAAAATTGGAAATACTGCTATAATTCCCTTTTTCCCACATAAATGGTATCTAACATATGTAAATGGATATGTTTACAGTAGCTATATATGTAATGTACATGTAGGATCGATTCTAAAATGGATTCTAAAATGGATGCTACATATTGGAACTGTCTATAAGATTACAGAGTGAAGGGAAACGATCTCATCTATTAATATACAAGTATAGCTAAACTCATTATCAAAAGGTGGATGTGATGATAAATTATTTTAAAATATCACACAAGTATGCAAATCACCAAGTTTTAAAAACTTTGTCTCCTGACAGCTATAATCTATCACACGTATGCAAATACTTCCTGCGCATGCATTAAAAGAGATGAATGGCACACTAACATGCACCCCACATCATAAAACTGAACTTCCTTCTTCTTTTTTTCTACTTTGTATCTTCTATTCCAAAAAATTTGATAGACAACATATACAGTCAATTTAACATAACGGGGTATCTACATCTATATACTATATAGGATCATTATTTATTTTAATTTTTTGTTCTTCACAGATAGAATCTATCATCTACAAGTATATAATGTAGCAGCTACATGTATTATATGTTTATGTGTAAAAATGAATTCTACAACTACCGGTAGATGTTCAAATCGGATACGCAAACTGCTTGGATGGCACAGAATAGTTCTACATGTATTTTCACTTTACATTTCTTTTTTAAACCAAGATGCACCCAAACTGCAAATCATCCAATTTCATTCTATAAACTGTAAAAACAATAAAAAGTCCATGCAATTATTTTAAAGAGATGTGTATCATATACAACAAACAGATTGCTTTGTGTAATGAAGATGAATAAGGAACAACACACTATTGCAGTTCTGTTCACCATTATGCTTTAAAAAAATAAGAGGAAATCTAAAATTCTTTAACAACACACACACACAAAATCCTACTCATCCCAAAATCACCATTGTGCATCCTTGCAATCACGAATGATCATTTGTCACTTCATTATGCTTCAAAATACATGTACTGTATAAAAGCTAAATATCATTATTATTATTACTGTACATGTACAATGGCTGACAATGGACATGAGAATATTGTGCTGTGCTTGAACAAAAAATCCATATGGATAGAAAAATATCAGAGATTGCTCCAACCTACATGAATTAAAACAAAACAAAAAAATTGATAGGAATGAGCAATAAAAATAGAGCTTTATAAGACTGAGATAGCATGCAAGATGAATAAGGCAAGCACACCAAAGTTGCATTTGGCTTTCACACATAAAACCACTTACCGCCATCTTGGAACAAAATATACATCCATGCGAAGAAAGATAAAATATGTTCAGAACAAAATAATATAAGTTAGGAAAAACAAAAGCCATGAAGTCAATACGTGCAGGACTATGGGATACTCATATCATTTCATTTATGTGATTGATGCTTTGCAGTGTCAAACTATGCATATTTTAGTTTAGCTTCAAAAGCTTTTCCACAGCAAATCTTGTTATCAAAACATTATTTCATAACATATTATGAATATTTTATAAGCATGATTACATTAACATATTAAAACAATGTTATTTGCATGTTATATGTTTTATTTGTATATGGCGCTATTGATGATTATGAATTGCAATTGTATACTTGTCACTTTTTTAATTCTTTTCTTTAGTCTCTTGAAAAAATGCAATATTAATAAACCTGTAAATTAAGTATCTAGCATCATACAAAAGAATGAAAATGCAAAGAATGTTAAGTACTATGATTTAAGAAAAACTTAAGTTTGGGTACAAAGGTGGGATATCTTACTATGCTACGAAACGTAATGTAAGATCTAACACTATATGAATATCACAACATGATTAGATGAATATGATTAAATATCTGCTGTATGGGCACAGTCCTAAGGAATTAAAGCACTGCAAACACACCATGGTTATCACTCAATCTCTGGGTGGAGCACGCAAGCTACCTTTGGGCGTTGGCACTAGACCCCCGGAGGAAATCAGTCATCTGACGTGTGTGTCTTAACCGCATCAACTCCCCAGGGATGAGGGACTGGGTGCCCTCAATCAGGGGCAGGTCATCCCCAGGGGGGAAGGACATGGCCATTCTATATGAGGGCATCAGGGATTGGGCAAGGGGGATGTTTCGGTTTTGGAGTGTGAGTAGAGATTGGTGATAATGAAATGGGGAATGGAGAGTTGCATGCAGTAGTTTGAAATGAAAGAATGTAATATCCATGCAGCATGCAAAACAATAGGAGAGAAAACATGAAGGAGCATGCAATTAATATGAAAAGTTCCAATGAAAAATGATATCAACCACCAATGATGACACACATGCATGTTCGATATAGAATATAATGAATATGAATAGATAAAGATGGAAGAAGTTATAAAGAAAACAAGCCCCCGTTCATGAAAACAAGCCCCTGTTCATGACAACTTTGCTTTCCAGATTTAAGCGTCTCAACTTTCTATTATACATTGTTCAAATAAATTCAGATTTCTGCATTTTTTATTTTTACCTTATAGATGTGTTCACATCTAAGTAAGATGACCTAAAGTTAGGATAAAAATCGCTTCTCCCCAAATTTACAAATCTCTGATCTAATTTTACTTGTGAAGGCCCACCTATTCACTGTTGTGTAGTCATCTACATGCCAAGTTTTGTTGTTGTTGTTTGTTTTCTACACACCTGTAGTTATCATTGTATCCATATCTACTAAAGATAACCCATATCAGGAACTCCTTCTGACCCTTCCCTGAAGTAAAATTATGAACAATTTCACTAGCATAGACCCATCCATTCACTATTTTGAAGTTACAACATATGTATGCTGAGTTTTTGTCAAAGCACAGGTAGTTATCAATATGTCCACATCTTCAAAAGATAACCTCTACAATACAATTCTTGCCTTTTTCACTAGTGTAGACCCACCTACTGACTATATTGTAGTCATACACTGGGTTGGTTATTTGTATGTTTTTTTAACTATATGCAGTCAAATGTACAAATGGGTCCACATCTAAAGAAGATAATCCCTATTTGAGAGAAATCTTAAATCCTGCATATAGCAGGGCTCGATACTAACAGGTTCTTGTTACATGCTACATTTAGGTATCATATTTCAAATCTTGACCCCTAATTTTTGAAACATTATTAGAAGGGGGGGGGGGGGGGGGAATGTGTACAGACCTTATAATTTGCGATCCGTACTCCTCCCTGAAAATAAATTATTATAGATCCCTGCCTACAGTACATTAGTGCATTCTTTAATAATTCAATCTGAAAATTTTCCAACATCGCCTTTCCAATTTCCAATTTTTTAATTCAATAGACCCACCTATCCACTATCTTGTAGCCATATGAGGGCAGGTCTTGGAGATTCCTTACTGTAACTGGTGGCATGTTGGTGCCCTGTTTGGCCTGGCCCTGTGGCCCTAGAACCTCTAGCGTGTGCCTGTGAGGGATGGCACCCCGATCATAGTGCACCAGGTAGGCAAGGATATCGTGCCTGCGCCGTCGGGCCAGCTCCTGCCTGAACAGGGCCCGCTCGTAGTGCTGCACGTTTTTATCCGGCCTTATGCTGGGTTAGTGAAGGAGAGAAGCGAGGAGGAGGAGGGAGATAGAGTGTGTGTGCGTGAAAGAGAATGTGGAAGAGAGAGAAAGAGAGAGAGAGAGAGAGAGAGAGAGAGAGAGAGAGAGAGAGAGAGAGAGAGAGAGAGAGAGAGAGAGAGAGAGAAAGAGAGAGAGAGAGAGAAAAAGAGATAGAGAGATAGAGAGAAAGAGAGAAAGAGAGAAAGAGAGAGAGAGAGAAAGAGAGAGATAGAGAGATAGAGAGAAAGAGAAAGGAGCATGAATAAAGTGAGAGAAAAGTAAGAAAATGAAAGATGAAAGCAGTGAGAAAGAGTGAAAAATAGAATGCGAATGGAATGGACAGGTAGGAAGAGAAAGATAGAAAGAGAGAGGGAGAGATAGGGAGAAAGAGAGAGATAGAGAAAGAGAGAGAGAGAGGGAGAAAGGGGGAGAAAGAGACAGACAGACAGATAGCAGTAAGGAATAAGAGTGATGCGTGCATGTACTATATATCAACAAAAGAAACTAATTACAACACGTACAGGGTGAAATTAGATCGTGATAGATGAAGGAGAGGCTATAATGTAAGATTTAAAGTGAGTTGAGTACAAGCAGTAGTAAATGTGACGTTTAGGACGATAGGAAAGTTTGGGAATAGTTATGGTAATTTCACAGTATACATTTCACATGGGACATAAACGCATTCTAGGAAAAGATGAAATATGAGAAATGGAAAATGAATATGATATAATAGATACATGTAAACAGAGAGACAGCAAGGAGGAATTAAGCAAGGTTAAAGAAAGAAATAACGAGGGAAATGTGATAGAGCCCACAATTTCACAGAAAAGAAATGAATTACAAATGCGCATGCAGGTGTTTGATTTTCCCTCTCACAAAAGCACTGCTAGTAGATGATGAAATATTTTTAAAATATTTCTCCAGCACCATGAAAACCTTTTTTCTATAAAGCATTTACAATTTGATGTAATTTGCATGCTATTGAAATGTTGATTTACTCACTTTTTCTGTGCAGCTCTGATCTGCTCAAGTTCAAAGGTCGTGTACGGCCTTCCAGTTCGGTTGCTTGGTAAACCCTTACTCTCTGGTAATGATGCAATGGGCCTGGATGGATAACAATATGGGAAAAATGAGTCACCAGTCTTTACTGTATGGGGCATCAATTGTCACATTCTATATCCAAGAAATATTGAACATGAGTTAGGAATTCTAAACTGTCTCATACATTGTATGTTCCAGACTGATAACAGCAGTATTGAATATCTTTACAAAGTTTGGAAGCAAAGTGTCAATTTTAGATCTTTTTTAATCAACAATAAATTGCTCCTCCTGCAAAAATCATTACAGATACTTTCTCCCATTCATACCCTTTTTTTTTAAAGATAACCTAGTGAATTCACCACTGATAACAAACTTTGCAACTTTTCCATAAATGTTTAGATAAGAAAAACTAACGTGACTATTCTAAGCAACGCTGCAAAAAAACAGGGTGTCCCATTAAAGAATTATAGAATAATGGTAAGGATTTTTTTAGATAACCTAGTGAACTCACAACTGATGACAACTGATAACAAACTTTGCAACTTTTCCATAAATGTTTAGATAAGAAAAACTAACATGAATATTCTAAGCAACTCTGCAAAAAACATGGTGTCCCATTAAAGAATTATAGAATAATGGTAAGAATTTTTCAAATGAGAAGAAGATTTTACCCCATCTAATTGCTACATATATTTATGATTTTTTTTATTAGAACATTCAGTAGAGGATCTAACTTGTCTGCACTGTCTGACAAACCCTGGCTGCCAAATGTATACTTACGCTTGAGGGGACATGTCCAACGGCCTGTCACAAGATATACAGTGGAACTTCTGCAGAGGCCTAGAAAAAAAAACAGAGTGATAGTTTTTTCTTAATATATAAAGACAAAAAAAAAAAAATCCATTTCTTTCACCCTGATAGCTACAAAACAGACACAATTGCTGGGAAATGATGAGATTAGAAAGACAAGTAGGAAAAAAGAATAGTTAGAAGAGGAGGAGGAGGAGGAGGAGGAGGAGGAGGAAGAAGAAGAGGAAGAGGAGGAGGAGGATGAAGAGGAAGAGAAAAGGGAAGAGGAAGAGGAAGAGGAAGAGGAAGAGAAAAAGGAAGAGGAAGAGGAAGAGGAAGAGGAAGAGGAAGAGGTAGAGGAAGAGGAAGAGGAAGAGGTAGAGGAAGAGGAAGAGGAAGAGGAAGAGGAAGAGGAAGAAGAAGAAGGAGAAGAGGAAGAAGAGGAAGAAGAAGAAGAATAAGAATAAGAAGAAGAATAAGAAGAAGAAGAAAAGGAAGAAGAAGAAGAAGAAGAAGAAGAAGAAGAAGAAGAAGAAGAAGAAGAAGACACCAAGGACGAGGGTAAAGTGGAAGCACAAGAAAACAGAAACGTTAAACAAATGAAGGAGAGAAAGAATTAGAAGGAGAAGATTGATCCACAAATTGAGATCAAGAACAATAAATAACAATAAGATGAGTAGCAGAGAGAGAAAGATAGAGAGAGTGAGGGAGAGAGAGAGAGAGAGAGAGAGAGATTACAAGAACATAGAACAAGAAAAAAAAAAGTGAAGCAAGACATGAGCATGAGGAAATAAAAACTCACTTCCTGAAACCTGCTGCATCTTCTCCAGTCTCGACCTCTTTCTTGACATATTTTGAGCTGACCGTTTTGATGCGGTTATCAAGGTATGACTTGAGTGGGTCAAGCTCCATGCGGTCAAGCTTGTTATCAATGTCCAGTTTCAATCCACCAACAGCAGAATCCCAGGCAGTTTTCTGGAGTAGGAATAAGGGGTATGCCACATAATTTGAGTGAGATATTACTCACCCTGTTCACATGATAAAAACGATAAAAATGAGCCACGTCACAGCATATAAACATGTACAATCATGTAAAGGTAGGTAGCTAAATATTGTTGGATATAATGCCTGTTCTTGGAATAAGAAATGATTAATCAGGTTTGCAAGTGAACTCAAAGAACTTACTGGCATAAACATGAACAAATCTTGATAATAACAAAAAAGTTGCACAACATCAATTAAAAATAACTAAAAATATGGCAATTTCTTTTAACTATTTACTTACATGACCAGTTAATTTATCTGTGACACAATATCAATCACAATATCATAATAAACACTGAAAATGTTCTTGTAATTTGTACTTACATGGCCGCTTAATTTGTCCATGACATCGTTAAGATTCCTGGAAAGCTCATCAACAGCGCCGTCAAAGTGAGACCGGCTCACCTTGTTATCCAATGCATGCTTGTCTGCTTTCTGTGAACAATGATAGCCATGACATATTATAATTAATTATGCGGTGTAGTTTTGAATTAAATAAATACTGAAACATATATATAACTACGCCTTGAGCATTCGATTGTCAAGTGGATTTGGCGCCTTACAATCTGATGTATTATTATTAAATGATACATAGATAAAGATATGAATGGTTGAATATGGAGGCAATTTTTTAAGTGGTGGTCCGTCTTATGGGGGCTCAAGTATCTGTGTTTCTTGAAGATACTTACAGCCTTTGACAGCAAACAAATTTAAATCAAAATATGCATATGAAAGGCAAAACAATGTCTTCATTGTGAAATGGTGGCTACACTTAAGGCTAATAAAACCTCTATGGTAAACCCATTCAGCAACTCTTTATTAGATAATAGAGAACTTATGGAGAGATAGAACAATTGCAAGTAAAACATGACCACAGCAAGAAGTCATGAATTTGCATTTCTTGCAGAAATGTAGAAAAGAATGAAAATTTGCAGCTGCAAGTATCACTCAATCAAGAATGACAGATAAAAACGTTCGCAAATACTTTAGAAGATCAACTCAGGGACAATTTCAATACCCTGTTGAATATCCCATACAAATCATGTTCACATCATGTAATATGTCATTGTATTGTTCACACCTTTCAAAAAATACAATGGACAAGGATACTGAAACACTGTAAGTTGACTTCTCAAGCAATCATGTTAGATAAATATTTGAAAGGAATCTTACCACATCAATCTCCATAATGACATGCTCCTTGTCAGCCTTGTTTTCTTGCAGACGATCAACGAATGTGTAAAGAGCCTGGAACAAGATAAAGAGTGGAAGTCATACATCAATGACTAGGATATGCAGATTAATTGAATAACAAGCATTAAGGGAATGTGTATAAAAGATTTTATATATACACCCACATATACCTATGCCAGCTATCAAATTGAGTCTCTTATTTTACAGGAATATTTCTAATATCACTGATGATGACTGAAACTATTGCCTGTACATTGATAGAGAAATAATACTTCATTTCAATGTGTCAATAAATAATTGAGTTTTGTATTGCTTTGAAGGATCGGAAACAATATAGAGTAAGATGGAGAATAGTACCAAGAACCCCCCCCCCCCCCCAGGAGGAGACAAATGTGTAGATGGTGATGATGCTTTCATAGAACTCTAATATGTTAATAGAATAATTGTTTTTAACTTTGAACCAAGGTTCTTGCCTTATTATAAATATTATGTTATATAATTCTTTATCTTTTTATTTAGTGTAAAATACCAAAGCTTTGTATTTAATCACAGAACATATTTTAGCCTAGATGTAGAATAGCTTGTAGCTCAAGTATGTATTCAATAGTCATTCATATTTATTCATTACATTCTCATTCATTGTTGTGATACTTTTTTGTGCTAGTGGTACCAGACATGATTAGCATTTACAGGTAATACTTTTTTTCTGGTCCCATTTATTCTTTCAATGTTAAACATTCACATTTGACTGTTATATTGATGTACTTTACGTTTGGATAATGAAACTTCAAACTCAAAATTCAAAACATGTACTTTGGGGGTACTTACATCGATATGTTTCTGTTTGACGTTGTGCTCATCCACCAGATGTACGTAGGATGTATTGAGTTTATCCACCTCTGCCTGGAGCTGGAAGAGGGCATCCTGTAGCTTCTCAAGGCCTTCGCTATCCTGTAATAAGACATCGGGTGATAAAAACACAATCAACCTAGTGTGAATGCACATCCCTTCAAAGCAAATACAACACACTTAACCCAATGTGTGAAAATTTAGTATCGAGTCCCATTTAGACATTTAAGATATCGGTTGATAAAAACAGAATCAGTAAAATGGCGTGCCAATTGTGAATGCACCTCCCTTCAAAGTAAATAAACACACTTAACCCAATGTGTGAAAATTTAGTATTGTGTCCCATTTAGACATTTGGTGAATATTGAATGTACCTACATCATGTACACGTTTTGCATATTTTCTGGTGTGCGTTGAAGTAGGAAACTTTAAAAACGTAGCATTAAATCAATATCTAAGAAATCTACTAGCTGAAATGGTTTTCATGGTAAAAAACACCATAATGAAAAGTCTTATTCCCATCATCGATGAATTAAGGTCCATTCTTAAAATTTGACAAGATACATACTTTTAAAGAAATTTAAATTATTTCTTTCGTTCAGATTATACAATTAAGCTGCTATATTCTTTTTTAATTTGACAATGAGCGTGTATTGAAGATTTTTTAATTTTTTTTTTTTAAAGTGAATTTAAAAGCTACAGACACTGAACAAATTCACTGACTTTATGAATAAAAGAATATCATAAGAAGTGGTGGGTGGTAGCTTGAATACTGTTATGTTAAACTGAAAAAAGCGTTCGAAAAACACTTAATGCTGAATTTTGGACAAAATTGAGAAATTCAATGAAGTTATACAACAGGCTTACAAAATATAACGTAACAATTCTGGGACGGTATTCTGAAAACAATGTTATTTCATGTTAGTAAAACGATGTGAATTGTCGTTATGAATCAAAATTAGGACATGTTATTGGTAAACGTCTGAATAAAGCTGGCTGTGTTCATGTATAGTTAAAGAGATATCTACGCAATATAGACAATGGTGTTAGTGTCGCATATTTGTAGTTTGCTATGACAATGAACATCATTTTCCATAAAAGATGAAGAGTTTCAGTAAACGGTATACACCACAAACTTTTTAAAAAATCATTAAAAATGGAACAAAATTGTCTACAAGATCAATAAGCTTGGGTTAATCAATAAAACAAGGGAAAATTGCAACATACTGATACCATATCTACACAACAGTGCATAATACCAGTACCTTGAATACCACAAAAACCCAGTGATATTGTAGTAAAATCATACCAAAATCAAATAAAACAAGAAAACAAAAGACACTGGTGTATACATTTTTTACCCAAAGAGTGCTAGAATTGAAAGGTTGCACAATAACACAGGCATTGGAATACATTTGCTAATACAAAAATGCATAAAAATAAATAATAAAGAAGAAAAATTAAATCCAATAGACTTGCAAAATCATATTCATTATTTGTAAAAAAGGAATTTAGCACTGACTGTATTAAATCGAATTATCTCAAGCTTTGCACAAAAATACCTGAAAGACGTGTACGATTTCAAAACATATCTCTTGGTTTGTGAAAAAGTACATGGACGACTATTCAATACTGGTTCAGTTTCATGGTTTGGAGTGCGCGCACACTGGAAAAAGGTGAATATGCATTTAAATGTGCAAAGGCTATTGTGCAAGCAACCCTACCAAAATGCCTGGGTATGGACAAAATAGGTATTTTCTCTGTCTTTTAATTGCAGGTTATTACATAACCATAATGATATAAAGGCCGAAATTGAGGTAATAGGTTTCATAAAATTGATAACAATAATACTGCATGGCTTTGACAAGGGCTGAAATTGCACTCGATGTGACAATATTTCACTTGTTGTTGTGCCAACTCGTGAAATATGTTCATCAGCTTGTGCCATATCTCCTTGTATTCCACTTGAGGCCAATGTTATATAAGAATAATGTTATATAAGTATCAATATTATAATGTTATATAAGTATTAATGTTATAATGTTATAATGTTATAATGTTAATGTTATAATGTTATATAAATGTAAGTATAATGTTATATAAGTATTAAAAGAATAATTGTAGAAATAATAAGTATCCATTGAAAGTGAGCTATGCAGTAGATCAGATTTTCAATTAAAGAGAAGAGGAGTAACAGTCGTACCACAGACGATGTCATGAGCAACGTTTCTTTGGCCTTTGGCAGTGACTTGACCGACTTGACCTTTCGAGTTTGGACCTTTGTCGGAGACTTTGTCATGCCCTCCAAATCCCTAAACTTCTCCTTTAGACTCTTTTCCAGGCTGCTGACCCTACCACCTATATCCTTTATCTGTGTTTTGACACTGCTAGACAGCTCCTGGTGACTGGTCTTTATCCTACTCTCTAATTCATCCAGCAACTATTGTTTAGGGCAATGGGTGTGAACGGTGTCATGGATTGTGCGTCAATGCACAGATCAATAAGTATGTCGGGATGACAGAGTTCAATTGTTACATTGAAATCGGAGGAAATAAATAATGGTAAAGGATTGAGAGCAGGTGAAAGAAATGTGTAATTAGAGGGTAGGTCATTTTGATAGGAAAAAGGATAGATTCACAAGGACAGATTCATAAGATTATCAGGAAATTAATGAGCACGAATGACGACAGTATGTTGGGGGATTTTGAAAGGCAGGATGTTAGAGGTGAAGGAAATATGTTGTGAGGTTTCAAAAGGTAGGATATCAAAGTAGAATGCAATAAATGGTTTCAAGGAAATTAAGAGGCAGATATTTCATGAGTGGAATTAGGTCATGAAAGTGAGATGGGAAAGCATTTAAATATAAGATGACATAAAGGAAGGAGAGAGAGAGGAGAAAAGAGAATGAAAATGAGAATGAATTGTTAGTGATATAGAAGATTTAGTATCATAGCCATAGATTCAAATACAGCAATAAGCATTTGTTTTTAAGGTTTACACACAATGTATGAGAGTCTGATAGAATCTTCTATTACACACTGTAAATGAAAACCGTTACTGTAAATATAAATGTTTTTCAAGATAAAATGCTAAAACCACAAATATTGTTAATATGGAATTGAATTTTCTAAACTGAAAAACATGTATATGTAAGGCAGAACATGAAACTAATGTGAATTACATTTGTAATGAGAACAGATGATTGGGATAATATTGTACTACTGATTTACAAATGATATGAAATACACAAATATTTGAAATTAGGAATTACTAGAGATACTTGTTTCAGAATAAGCATATCTTGAACCTGGAATCCACTTAATTTTCTTGTCCAGAAGCATTGACATTTTATTCTTTGTAGTTTTAATTTTTGTCAGAAAGTGCATTTAAAATGAAAGGAAGTCAGAAGACGTAATCACACAAAACCAAATCTTCCCCCTTTGGTGGTGATGTGCAAGAATCTACTATAGAGGGCTGCAGAAGAGCTGATTTGTTTAAATCAAATAGATACAACTAATATAGAAAGGTCCCATCTTGTGCCTGTGCATCTCATAACAATTAAAAAAAGTGACTGAGAAAATCCCTCTAAACCTTACAGCACGTCATAGTAACTGAACGCACTATCAGATACTACCAATGTGCGTACGGTAAACACAGTACAATTTTTTTTCCAAGTGAACATCAAAACTTCAATTTCCCAAACAGAACCAAAAATCTATTTTCACTGTTCTACGCAAATGATATATAGCTTTTTTCAGGCTACTGAAATATAGCAAACATAATATTGATATCATGTTTTTGTAGACAATGTGTCTATTGATATCAAACACTGCAATCGATCATTCAGTGAGAACTTTTGGAGATGGGGTTAGCAATTTCAAAGCTTCATTGTACATACATAGGAATTAAGTGATTCAAGTCTGACTAAATGTTTTTGATGTCATTTTGAAATCATGGATTGACCATGTAAAATAGGAAGGAAAAAAACCCACTCCTAAATCCACAAAACTAACCCCCTGTGAAGTCGGTTCGCCCGAGCCAATCTGGGAGACATCCCTCGCGAGGGCATCTTGCGCCTCGGCAACGTCCGCTATGGCCTGCTCCAACACCTGACGTAGCGCCGCAAGGTCTTCAAAGGTCACCGAGCACTGTTCGCTCTGACTCTGTAGACGCTCTTCTAAGGCATCCAGCTAATCAAGTCACATCAAAGTATAATTCCCTTCAATTTCAGCTCTTAATTAATCTATGAATGTATGGTATTGGCAAATCTTGTCCAAATCACTACTACTTTGATTAAGTCTTAAATAATGTTTCTACTGGTGTAGAAAGATATTGCAAAAGATGGTAAAAGATGGAAAAAGCTAAGCATTTCTGAAATGATTTGAAAGGACACTCTCTAAAATGAGGCGTGGCTTGAGGAAAATAAGTATTAATGTTAGAAAGTAGTAAAGATCTTTGTTACATGAACATCATTTCAGTTAACTGGGAAGGAAAGAGATATATTGCTTTCAAGATTAGTATTTAGAATGTTAAGTGCATCTTGAAAATGATTATTTTTAAGGAAAGACGACACATATTCACGGTAAAGATTAGCAGTTATTTGAAAAATTATAATTTTTCAGAAATGGTATAATCCCATTCCAAACAGGAGTTAGCATACTGTACACATGTACAGCCATCAAACAATTTCACATTTCTGAATAAGATTCTCAAGAAAGAGGCTGTATTTGACTTTTCAGTCGCAAGAGTTAGTAAAAAAGCAGACGATTAGATGACAGTTTTAATTCCTTTAGTAAGAATCCAATTTCACACATGTTAAAGCCTTCTACACTTGCCAATGTATACAGAGTCTGAAAATGATATGCCTGCAACTCAGAAGATGGATAGTATGAAGTAGATAATATAGGGCAGCATCGATGCAATATGAAGATCAGGGCCCCGTTGCATAAACTTCCCATTGATCGTAACTTTGCCATCAGTGGTAACTACCATGGTAACAGGGCTCAACAGCCAGTCAAAATCAAAGTTTCCATGGTTACTATTGATAGCAAAGTTACCATCAATGGTAAGTTTTGTGCAACGGGCCCAGTGAGTAGCTAATTTACTGTTTCTATGGCAAGAAAAATAAACAATTTCTGTTCTGTCCTCTGATGCTGTTCCTACCTTTGCTTTGCTGTCTCTGAGATGGTTTAGCCCTTCCTCAAGTTCAGCCAGCTTGTTGACCAGGTCACCCGGAACACTCACTTTCGATAAGAGGGCTTCCACTTCTGACATGTCTGCCTTCTTAGACACGAGATCCTAGAGTTTAATGAAACAGCGGCAAAGAAAATTTTATTCAAATCTTCTAAACTTGATGCAGACATTCATTTATTTATTCATTTATTTATTTCTGATATTTATACACGGTGGCACATATCACGAATTTGGTGGTCTTCCATGAGACCCTGTTTGGTAAGAATAAAACAAATAACAGCAGCAAAAACAAAACGAATAAATACACAAGCATATAAACAGTTATAATAAAAATTAATTGTTATCCTCATAAAATAACTGATAATTCAAGAATTATCCTTGATCATTTAAAAGAAATATGTGAATGGATTTTCAATATCAATATAAAATACATAAAACATGAAAATAAAACAAAATTAAAATAAAATAAAGAATAGAAGATAGCCACATATTTACAAGAAATTAAGATTATACTACACTGGTTAAAATGACTACATGTACTTGGTTTAGTGATTCAGAAAATTTCCTGGAAAAAACAACCTGTCACATACATTACATGTAGGAAGAGAAAAATAGAAAGTGATATAATGGTATAATGGCTTTGTATTTGAAGAAAACTAGGGAACAGCATGAACAAGAGGCACTGGGTTCAACTTATAGAAACCAAAACAGGCTATGGAAATATTTCTGAAGTGCAGATCGACATCCTTTGACCTTCGACCTTTAACCTACCTCTAGTATTTTGACCCTGTCTTCCAGAGAATAATGTTTGCCGGTGAGTTCCCCAAGCTCTCTTAAGACCCTCTGGAGCTCTTGGGTTGGATGGGCCGAGGTGGTAGACACTGAACGCATGGACCTACTAGATACTGGGCGGGATGGTGGCGGTGAAGGGGTCTGGAAAAAGAACAGTGGACCAAATACATTACCTTGGGAAAATACAGAACATAGAAATTTAATTTACAAAATCAATTTCTTTGATAGCACTGAAGAGATACGAAAAAGAAGAACCAAGTAGGCCTACATAAAAATCAATTTAATATACATGTAGGTGTGTACATGAATTATTTTTCTTATTTCATATACCGGTATGTGTCAAACTGTGACTATACAGCTCTCTTGCTAAACATACAATAGTTCTAAACCTGGTAAAATTGGTGTAACACATGTATTTTTTCATTAATGAAATCTTTAAAAATAAAAATAAATCACTATCATATTCTCATTTCACATGAAAATATCTTTAAATTTGAGTAATTACTTGTATTTATATAAGTAGCAGGAAGAATACAAGATCTATCCAAAAAAACACCTCTTCATTTCAAATTCTATCATTTTTTTTTCTTTAAACTATGCAGGTGTGAAACTATTTTTTACATTGCATATAATGTACAGCCACAAGAGATCTATCTCTGTTCCTTCACACCTGAAGATTTTACAAAAAGAACTTCCTGATTCATTTCATATTTATAGGCAACCTGAAACATCACTGGCATTTCTAATGACATCAGTCTCAATTATCAAAAAAACACTTAATCATTTCTAAATTACTTTCGTTATGTTTGAATAGGGATTGTAAAATTTGCTACAATGTAGGCAAAGACTAATATTGACACGGTCAAATGCGGCTTTGTTTTGAATAGCCAGACAGGATCTAACTTGGTGATAAGCTCTTAAATTGCCATTAGTAAGTCGATCTCCTGGGAGAGACTCCAGCAAAACGATAATTGCACAATGTTGAGGTGACAGAGAGATAAAATGGCATGCTTGGATACAGTTGCTAAGGGATACTAAAGTACGATAACTGATAACACTTATCAGAGTGTGACATCTAATTCATTGATCTACAAACTGACAGGGTACCGGCAGTGGGTGAAACAATTGAAATGTCTGTAGTTATGGTGATGCATGTCTACAAGTCATCAAAAAGGGGAAGTAATTACTGAAAAATAGTGGTTTATACCATCTTCTCCTTTGTGCTTTAAACAAAGGAGAAGAATTGTCTTGCAGCACATGAAAAAGTGAACTGGAATGTTTATCTTGTATACAATTGGACAATTGACAGAGGTGAAATTAGTCAATACTTATAAAAACAAAAATTTGCAACATGAAACTGTCAGGAATTGTAAATGATAGTCAGTTTGATACAATTTGCACATATTCAGTGTTCACAGTATGAATTATGTTCACACACCTAAACCAAAACATTCATTTCATTCATACAAAAGTTTAAAGGTTTTGTCATTATATAGTGACAAGGACGAAATGAGGGCAATAACTTCATGAATCCAATATATTTGCACACCATTTATAGAACGTAGAGAAAGGAAGAACTTACACTGGTCTGGGCAAAGGCATTAGTTAAAGGCATAGTCTGAACTCTTGAGTGCTGGAGAGAGAAGACAAAGTTGTAATATATATAATAAAGGACTCACATTTACTAGTGCTTTCTGTATCTATTTTAATGTACATATATAACAATATTTCTACAACACAATACAAATGTTTAAGTATGCACAAACTATTTCTGCATTCCATTATTATACTTTTCTATAAAAACACATAAAGAGTTGTGTCCTATAAATAAGAAAATGCCATGTTGTATGGGTAGCATATAAGCATAGAATTGAAAGTCTACATCCCATGTGTTTTTATACAAAGGTAGAGAATATACACATGAAATCAATAGCAAAGAACAAGTGAAACACACATTATTTGGCATGAAAAGCCACTTGGTGTTGTTTTCTCTTTGCAAGTACTAAAAAAGCAGTGGCTATGCATATAACTATACAGCTAATACATAGTATTGAGGAATCAATTTATAGTAAATATATAGTACATTAAACAGAAATTTAAGACGGTTAAGTTCAATATCAATTATGATGCACAGAATACACAGAAAATACATGCATGATTCATGTGAGCATCCATGATTGTATACATCCTGCTCTAATCTAAAAACAAATATGGATAACTGTCCAACTTACATCCATTGGTGAGGTTTGCATGCCCGAGTCCAGTTGGTCGACAGGTTCTTTGTATGCGCCTTTCAAAGCAGCCTCAAAGCCTGGCCATGTAACAATATCATCCACACTGGGTAGCATTGCCAATTGGTTCCGTAATTCGTCCTAAAAATATAATGAAAGGAGTAAAGAAGATGATATTCCACATTTTGACAGGTTGACATTTTAACCGTTATTTGTTCTAAAACATAGCGGAAGGTGTACAGTACTTCTCTTTTTTCCTTGTGTATAAATTTAATGTTTGATGGTAATTTTCTTTGTATACCGGTAAGTATTGTTGATCTTTTTAATTTTTTTAATTTGGTGGCCCCTTTTTAATAAGCTCTACTTTCACCAAACCATCATTGTGTTCTACTAAATTTTTGATGTAATTACTTATTTCGATTGAATATATATTTTGATGGTTGCACAAATAAATGAATTGAATTGAATTGAAAATCTTCAGAAAATCATATCTTTTCCTGTGAAAAGTATTTTCATATTAATTTCATAATTTTGAAATGATGAGATATTAGCCTGTGTGTGCATATTCATGTTTATTTCATGCTATTTCTAATTAATGTAATTGTAAAAAATTGCTTACAGAATACCATCTCAGGAAACTATTACCCCGTAGTACTAATCATGCAAGCCTGCAAAACTAAAGGTCAACCATATCATATAATTAGGAAAACAAATGACAGACACTTGGCATCTGAAGTAATTATACATGTATCACAGTATGCTGTGCAAATACAGACAAATAACTTTACAAAGTATATCTTATCAAAGGTCAAGTACCGAAAGCATGCATATGAACAAGCAGCTACATGTATACTAGGTAAAAACACAAATTAATATTTTTAAAGTTGCAGCACAGGGGAATTTAAGTTAATAAATTCACATGATTAATGGAAAAATAAATGATGTTCAAAAATGACAACAGTCATTGAAAAATATTTGGAAAGTAAAAGTGTAAGAAATCAATCAAGATCATATCTGAAATTGAATCCAAACAGTACTAACTACCAAGTGAAATTTAATGCTGGTTTGAAGTCATGCATTACTGAATATGCTCAACTGATATGTTCATTTACAAACTAAAGAACAACAAAATGCTGATAAAAAAACTAGTGTACACTGTACGTTTAGACTGAGGGCCAAGGCTAGGTGTACTTGAGAGTGTAATGAAACCCTTTGTTTAATAACTTCCTTGCTTTATTCCAGAAGCAACACGAGATTGAAATATAGCCCTTTGTGATAAACACTGACTTGTGGTCAGGTGACGATTCATTTCAGAAGCAACATTATACTTAAATACAGTCTTTTGTGACATAGTGGTATACTTCTGGTCAAATAATGTTTATTTTAAGAAATAATAAACACTCCTGTATTCCAATTTCCAGCTGTTTGGGGTAGGAAACAAAAGATAAGGTGTTGCGTAGGATAAAATGACAGGTGTAGTTTGCAAGTATTGTAAGGGTACATGTACATGGGTTACACATGTAACACGACTACCAGGCCAACATTGATACAATGAACTTACTATAAATAAATTGCCAGTGTATACATTTAAAAGGTGGAATGCAAAGTAGACTGGATATTTAAATACTTTGGTAAACATATGTAATGTAGTGCAAACTGTAAAATTCCACTAAAATATGGGTGGTCATAAAGTTAACAACTAAATTATTCATGCCGTTGTAAATTTTATTTTTGTTTACAGTGACTCAAGAATGAAAGGAGGACTGATGGTTAAATTAGTACCATTGTTGAATACTTTTAGATGCAAGTTTTAATAGTCACAATCTAAAGAGACATAAATCGGGACAAATGAATTTTCATTTACTTAAAAACTACAAAACTTGGTAAGGATATGAATAATTTGGTGAAATTATCAATTTAATTAAAAAATGCACCTGCATATTTATATGTACTACAGGTACACTTTAGTATGTACATGTACATGTACAGGTATACATCTGATTTTTTTTCCTTTTTAATGCATAAAAGGGAATAAAGAACTCAATCTGTTTGATCCTTTCAATATACAACTATTATTAGGAGAGGCAGAAGTGTGTGAAAAGTCTATTGAAATTACACAGAGTACAAATACAATTTCAAAAGAAATCTTTGTCTAAATTGGGCGCACCAAGAAATGAGTGGTTTTATGTGCTATTCAAAGTAAATACTTAAAATAGTTAGCCCTGCCCCTTTGGTACATATTCTCAACAAATCTAAATCTTTGAAGAGAAAAATCATATTGCTCATCACATATTAAAAGAAGAATATTGTTTTATGATCTTGTTCTATACTACATATATGCAAATAAACTTTACAAGGGCATGTACAGGTGTATTAAACAAATCGTCCTTGTTTTCACGAAGTGACGGTAGTGAGGAAAATCGTAACGCAAAGTGAATGCAATTTTTTTTCACTACCGTCACTTCGTGAAAACAGCGACGAAATAGGTGCAAGGATATTGTCTAAAATAGGCAGCTATTAATCATTTCAGCACTCACTTTTACCACATCTGTTGTACTCTACAGTACATTGAGAAAAAATTATGGAAAGGAATAATAACATTAAAAACAATAGTTTTTGAGAGGCTTGTTATTATCCTGATGGTAAAATGTTCACTTAGAGATAAAATTGTCTAAACTATACTATTACAATACCATGCCTAATTTGGAGCTGCAGTATTGAGCTAGTGAATTACATAAGGTTTGTTTGATAAAACAATGACTGGAAGTAAGTTGGTACTCCAAAAAGTTCTGTTAGTCAAATCCAGCATAAAATGAATACACGGGACAAGTCAGGAGTGTAAAAAAACAGAGAGAACCAATAAGGTACATTTGTCTTTAACCTGTCTTACTAAAAAAAAAAAGTCATCAACATGACTATTTCTAATTAAAAGTAATTTACAGAGTAAATTTACATGAATACATTTATAAGAAACAGTACAGGTTATCTATGGGAAAAAATAAGTTTTATATTTTGTCAATGTGTTTGCAATTTATTTGCAGTGCAACTTCTTCTTCTTCTTATCGAGTCACTACACAAGTCCCGTCCAGTGGTCCACACAGGCTTTGGCACGGAAATTAACGGCTTCCAGGTCATCTTGGGTGCATGGCTCTGGCAGGAGTGGGCAGACTAGCAGGTGTTCCATTGTCTGTTCCTGGCCGCATTCACATGCCGTTTGTTCGTCTCCTAGACCCCACCTCTGCATTAGGACTCTACATCGACCGTAGCCAGTTCTTAGGCGGTTGAGGCTAAGCCAGGTAGGCCAAGTCTCACTGGAGCCGGTTGCGAGGGATTCCTTCGGGCTGAGGGAGAGTTTATGTGGAGTTGTCTGAAGGTGGTTAGACCACAAAGTCATCCTTTGGTTGTGAGGGCTAGTATTAAGAGGCTCTACCGAGTGCAGAAAGCTGTGTCTGGATTTGAGCCGCTTGCCCACTGGCTGTTGTTCGAAGAGTGGGTGGAGTGGATTGTTTTCTTGTTTGTCCTTTTCTTTCTGGGACAAGACCAACCTTCTGACGTGTGGAGGGGCAATACCGCAGAGCAGGTAGATGTCTTCTACTTTAGTAGGCCTTAGGCATCCAGTGATCGCTCTGCAAGATGAATTTAGAGCTGGGTCAATCTTGGGTGCATGGGCCGACCTACTCCATACTGGTGATGCATACTCCGCAGCAGAGAAGCAAAGCGCGAGGGCTGTCGTCCGGATTGTTCTGGCATCAGTCCCCCAGTTGGTGTTGGCTAGCTTCTTGAGGATGCTGTTGCGGGCTCCAACTTTTGCCTTTGTGTTGGCGATGTGGTTCTTGTAGGTAAGGGAGCGATCGAGTGTGACGCCTAAGTAGACTGGGTTGGGAGTGTGCTTCAGCCTTTTCCCATACCAGCTGATCCTTAGTTGATGGTTGGCATCCCTGTTCTTGAGGTGGAATGCGCTTATCTGAGTTTTATCAGGGTTAGCTCTCAGGTGGTTGGTCGCATAGTATGGGATGAGACCAGCCAGGGCATCACTGAGGGACTCCTCCAACTTCACAAAAGACTGGTTCTGGGTGGCGATGCAGAGATCATCGGCGTAGAGGAAGCTCCTGGTGTTTGGGTGGATCGGTTGGTCATTCGTGTACACGTTAAAGAGTAACGGTGCGAGCACACTTCCTTGTGGTAGGCCATTTTTCTGTCTGCGCCATCTGCTGCGATTCCCATTGAGAACCACAAAATATCGCCGATTGGACAGCAACGTCTGGATGAGTCCAGTCAGTCTCACGTCCTTTGTCAGCTCAAAGATCTTCCTGGTAAGGATTCTGTGATTCACGGTGTGCAACAATATGCATGTATGTTCTCTGGCATGTATTTGATGTCTGTGCATCACGGGAATAAACATTTAATGTGAAAAACTGATCAACCAAAAAATGAAATCTAGCTTAGATGTAAACTTACTATGAGTTTGTTGAGATCATCAATCTTACTCTGTTGTCCAGATGATGCTTCAAGTGAACTTAGTCTGGTTTCTACCGTCTTGTTGTTCTCATTAATCTGGGAGAGGAATTCAATACAATAATTGATTAATACATTATAGTTCAATGCCTAGATTAGCATAAATGGTACATTAATGCTTAGTCTTACACATTATACACTTATTCAGGCTATCATGATAAAAATAATGAGATTTAGTGGAACAAGTTTTCAATCATAATCCTTTTTTGCAATGTAGCCCTTGATAAAAATAATGTTCAATAAGATCTCCTTTAATAGTTCATGAATCCATTTTGAATGTAGAAAATAAAAGTCAAGGTTTGTCCCCCCCCCCCCCCCCCCCATATATCTGGGCCCTATTTCATACAAATTGTTATAGCAAGTTACAAGAACTGTTATAAGCTACTGAAATCATGGCATTTGATTGGTTTAAAGCAAATTTGTCATAGAAATATAGCATTTGTTATAGATAACAAGTTGTATGAAACAGAGCCCTGTTACAATACTTGCTGCAATTTGAAACTTCCTCAGGCAATAAAAATGAAAAGCAGGACATAAATGAAAAAAAAAAAATTTCAAAAAAGCAACATAGGTTTGAATAAATTTTATTAAACAATCAGTCCTTTGTGGACTTTCAGCTTTTTAAACCTATGAAAAAGGTTTCAAAGGATAACCAGTGTACATGTATTAATAGACCACCTTATTTAAAGAAAGACAAAAAAACAAAAAAAATAAGAATGAATCCTTTATACTTACAATACAGTTTGTACCACACAAACATTTATAATATAAACTTACCTTTTCAATATCTTTGCCTAGGTTGGTATGTTTATCTTGTAGATCAGATAGATTACTGGTGTTGTCTTGTACTTTTTGATTCGTTTGTGATAACTCCCCCATGATGTCTTCTACCATACTCATGAGCTGTGAAAGAAAGTTTTAAAAAAAAAAAATTTACATTTAATCAAATTTATCATAATGATAGCAAATTAAGGCAACTAAATTGGCAAAATATACAATATGAACCTAGGTTTATGCTAGCTTCATCACCCCCACAAAACAACATATACAACAATAAACAAACAAAATTAGTCGAAAGAAATATCTTGATTATCTTCAAATATGAAACTTTGTGTATTCATACTTACTTTCTAAAAATGTTAATCAGTTTCATTTAAGTTTCATTAAAAGTGACAAATATAATAGCTCTCAGTATATTTTTAAATAAAGATCAATATTGTCTTCAAAGAAGGGGAAGCGAGTTTCAAATAACAGGTATATGATACTTAAGGCTTGATCTTTCACCATTCTTAAAAAATCATTTGACCTCAAAATTAATAAAGACATTTATCAAAATTATGGATCATGCAATGGAACCATATACAGCATATAGTTATTGTGCTACACAAATATTTTTTTCTTCACGTGAGAAGCTGAAGCTATACATCCTGTGTTGCCATGGTAATGGATGTTTGTGCGAGACTCCTTTACTCCATCAGCTTCTATTATTGATTATAATCTGGGTTATATCTCATTTCTCAATGATCCATCCGAGCATACATAATTCCTCACAATACATTGAGTGTGAGAAAGGTTGGAGAATACTATAGGCCAACCAGCAGTGGCCTTTGATTAAGTGAAGGATCGTAGCCTTGGGCTAAAGGTGTCTGCTCCTAGTGTTATATGACATTACTAGACATTATAATCCACTTCATTCTATGTGTTTTATTGATTGGGATATTGAGTGGGCATTGTTCAGGAGTTTGCGTGAGATGTGCGGGAAGTCGTGGATGCTCTGTTGGTTACTGATCATAAACCACAAGTAAATGCACATTGTATGTTCGTGAAGGGTGATAATATACATAATAATTAAATATCACAGTGACCTTTGTCTCAAAGGACATGTACAGTACATGAATTAATCCATATTTGACCTCTAAATTAAAGAATAAAGACTAGTGTTAAAACTTTACATTTAAAGAAGGGGAATCATTCACTACAGATCTTCTTCTGAATTTCTTGTTAATATCAAATTAATACCAATTTACATGAAAATGTATTAACCATGTAAGTCTTGGCATGACATTAATGATTACATGTATGTTTAAACAATTTGTTATGACTATGTTATCAATTTGAAAAGACGACAACAACAAACGAACAAACCCTACAAAAAATAGCAACAACTAAAGTGTACATTTTAAAATCATAGAGATCAAATCAAAGGATTTTCAAATCATTTTAATTGTCTTGCAAAAAAACACTAACAGCAAAAAAAATTAAAGTAACTAAAACACTAAATACCGCCTTTATACATTAAGTAATTAGCTTTAACAGCAATATGTTTTGCAAAACTCACAAATAAATTTTGTCTCACAGCCCAGAATTTGCTTTGACAAGTGTGACACAAATTCATTGACATTATTTATTTTTCCAACTCTTGGTATATTTCATCATAAAGAGAATTTATAGATGGTGACAAATCCTATTCACTGCCATGACAGCCATTATTGACTCTCTGATGTCAAGGCAATATGGACAACCATCGGAATTCCCATCAAACGTACAGCAGGTGCAAACATTGACAGTCAATGATTACAGTAAATGAACTTTGTATTATTTCATAGAATGGAAAGGGTGAAAGATCATTTCTCTTAATGATATTGGTGAATCTATGCAAAGTATCGCAATGACTAAAAGGGTGACTTTAAAAAGTTGATCTGTCTGAAAATGTACTTGGATTTAGGAATAGATTTGATAGAGAAAAGTTGTTTTGGATTCACACTCCATAAATTTCATCCAGTTTCTGTCTTTCTGTCAATATTTGACATAAATATAGTATGCCTGGCTGACACAATTTTATGACTTTACTTGAAAAATAACCCTATGAAGTCAAGACCAAATTTCAAGATTCAACCATTAGTACATAGGCCTACTGTGAGTCAAGGGAAGGATATCCCTACAAATGTTAACATTCAAATGTCTATAATGTGCAAGAAAACCTGGTTTTTGGCTTATCTCTCAGTGAACATTATTGAGTAACAAAAATATTGCTTTCCCTTTTAACATCAATGAAATATTACATCAAGTCCATGAATTTCCTTTTGATAACTGGGAACTACACAATTTTGAAGTTAGATGAAAATGGTGTATACTGTACTTTTTACATTTTTTATTTTTTACATTTTGTGGTCAGCAAAAGTCAATCATTGATGTAGCCTACATCTTAATGAAGGTTAAAATATTTTTCCTTTCATTTTTTAATAACAAAAAAAAACAGTGGCACAAATTATGAAGATAAAGTCGCTTTCCATAAAGTCCAGAATCAACTTTGATCAATGTTGATCAAATAGTTTTGTTCCAAAACTCTAAACATAGAATGAGATTTAAACATGTTTTTTTAACTTAAGTCAAGATACAAATTTGGAGATCCAAGTTCTAGCTAAGATTAGAATTGTAATGAGGTATTACTAAGTAGCTCTGATACTCTACTCTCTAGACTAGATCTAGATCTATGCAATTTGTACTCATTTGAATTAGACTAGTTTTAGTTTTATAGACAGAAATAACCGTCTGATATGGGTCATTTCTTTAATAAAACTGACATTTGTTGACATTCCCCATTAGAGGCGGTCAGAGGAGCCAGATGCAATCTCAGCGGAACAACCGTCAATAGCAGAGACTGAAGCTTTTGGTCTACTTTTACCTTGATTCCTTGTAGTTGTACCTAGTCTAGAATAATCACTAGATATTAGAAAATCCCTGAAAAATTGAAAAGAATTAGTGTAGGGTCTAGGCCTAACTTCTTACCTTTGAAACACCATCTTCATTTGCAGCAGCTTTCTTCTGACATTGCATCAGTTGCCACATATCCGATACAGGGGTCTTCTTCCCACCATCATCGCTGCTTCCTGACCTTGACATTAAACTCTGGTTTGATGGCAAGGCATTCAGTGCACTCAGCTGTACCTCAATCTTTGACATTTTTTGTTCAATGTCCTGAATAACTTTGGTCCCAGGCACAGAGTCATCTCTGGACGGATCTGTAATGGAGATGCTCTGGCTTCTGTTGATGTCTTTGTCGGTTATAATATTGCTGGTTTCTGATCGCCCCGTGCCTGTACCCATACCCGTGGAAGGCCTTGTCCCATGTTGTTTAGACTGAGCATCTCTCACATCATTTATTTCTTTCTTGTCTCCTTCATTCAATTCCAAATTCACAGTACTCACTCCGAGTTTGCTCACAATTGCAGCAAGAAGCACTCGCAAGCCTTTGTAATTTACAACTTCGGGTGTTCCCAGCGACAAATCAATCAGTTCTGCAAAATTTATTTCAGTCATGGTCGCCATTTTTACTTAAATACTTGTTCCTTCTTTCCTAGTAAAGACAAAACATCGTAAATCCAACCTAATTTCTTGACAACAGATCTTGATGGTGAAAGCTGTATCCGCTGGTAAAGCAGCTGATATTGAAGCGACGTACGGTACCGTGGTGAAATCTTGCCCAGCGCTCCCCGAGTGAAGACTTGTGCAGCTACGCTACCCGAGATCGTGTAACCGGTATCTTCTGCATGCTTTGCAATCTGCTTACACCACGTATTGAGAGGATGCTTGGCAACGCCGAATCACAAACTTGTTATATTCATCCACACAGAGTAAATAAGTTCTTAAAATAAGACGGAGTAAAATTTAGCAAACGGCTTTTATATCATAACTTTAAGTACCAATACATCACATAAATGATTTATTTTTACTAAAATAAGTTATAATAACGTAATATTTAATGTTTAAACTTTGTTTACAGTAGCCTCATCACGTTATTTACTTCTTGCAGAACCATCCGCTTCTTCAGGTCAAAGGTTATATTTACATGTCGATTACGCACGTGTACGAGTGTTCTGACTGACCAGTGCAACTTCGGACATCGCCCGCTAGGCCTTGTAAGAAATTGTTATGCTTGAAGTTGATTTAAGAATATTTGATAACCGAATTCTTTAACTGGATTTTTCACAGGTGAAGTCTCCCGTTGTAATTTGTCATGTAACAACACGAGTATCAATGCAGCTCATCTGTGCGCGCGCGATCCCTAGTCTGTCTGCAGGGCCGGTGATCCCGAGGGCAAGTCTACATTCTTTCGACGCTGCTCCTGCCGCTGGCTCCGGCGGGGCTAGGCATTCTAAACCTCTCGCTCGCGCTCGTGCTTTACTTAGTCTTTGCCTTGGCTTCACCACAAATTCTGGAATAATGCTGAGGCTGCAGTCTAGCTTGTAGATCTATCTTCTAATTCTTCTGATCACTTTTGGGGCAAACCCGGACTTTAGTGCCCCAGCTGAAAATCTCAGTTTATTATGGATTTAATATCAATAATATTAATTATGCTAATATATGCAAATATAAACATACCAAAACTTGATGATTTTTAATCATTTGACGTCATAAAAAGCAATTTTAAGCCAAAAATAGCAGCGAAGTAGGGGATCTCCTCTTTGCTTGATGCGAGATACTAGCGAACTGAAATAACCGAATAAAAACTATGGTGAACTAAAAAAGAAAAGAAAAAATCAAACCACCTCTGAAATTACCTTTGAAATGTTTATTAATTTTTTCTTCCGATATGCGCACATGATAGGGGCAGGTTGGGATGGGATGGGGGGGGTGCTCAATAGTCGCCAAATTTGGGGTAAAAGGGCAACTGGCCTTGGGGGGGGGGCAGAATAAAGAAAAGAGCCACCCCGGAAAAAAATTAGAAAAATGATTACAAAGAAAAATAAGTAAATAATAAATTTAGCCCCCCCCCCCAAGGCCAGTTGCCCTTTTACCCCAAATTTGGCGACTATTGAGCACCCCCCCCCCCCATCCCATCCCAACCTGCCCCTATCATGTGCGCATATCGGAAGAAAAAATTAATAAACATTTCAAAGGTAATTTCAGAGGTGGTTTGATTTTTTCTTTTCTTTTTTTAGTTCACCATAGTTTTTATTCGGTTATTTCAGTTCGCTAGTATCTCGCATCAAGCAAAGAGGAGATCCCCTACTTCGCTGCTATTTTTGGCTTAAAATTGCTTTTTATGACGTCAAATGATTAAAAATCATCAAGTTTTGGTATGTTTATATTTGCATATATTAGCATAATTAATATTATTGATATTAAATCCATAATAAACTGAGATTTTCAGCTGGGGCACTAAAGTCCGGGTTTGCCACTTTTGGTACTCTCGCTACAAATGGGGCACTAACATTTTTTTGTTGTTGGTGTGTTTTTGTTTTTACTCGAACCCCCCACCCCCCTTGAGCAAGTTTTTCTTTTAATCAACACTCCCCCCTTCAGCAATTTTCTTTTACTCAACAACCCCCCCCCCCCCCTGATGAAGACAGACCTAATATGAGTGCCATGCTCATGCTCTCAGGCACTGAAGGCCGAGTGTAAAATGTTTTCTAATACAGATGTACTGTTATTAACTGATTAAGAAAGACAAGTCGGAGGAAAGAACCTTTGCTCATGCAGCTGCAACGCCTTCTAAGTTATTCTAGCCATAAGGGCTAGGTAAAAATAATATGAAATATGATATTGATATCGCCTAACCTTAATTGACACCCATACCCCTGCGTAAAGAGTGGTGTAACCAAAACATATAAATATAATACGTTTGATATGAAGTGACAGTATTCTGTTGCCTAAAACAAAAGGTCTGATATTTTAAGGAACCTTACAGTGTAAGTGAAAGCTATAAAGTATAAGTATCAGGTGGTAGGAATTGATATTTTGAAGAAGGATTCGCTCGCAGAAATGTCTAGGTTTCTTGTTTCACAAAGCCTTCAACTATCCCTAGCCTCATTTTGTTCATCAGTGATCCTGTTATACCTTAAGTTAATTTTGAGTGCTCCGCTCAAACAACGTGTATCATAATTAATCTTAACTTCTGTTAGAAATGGCAAAGCAACTACTATGACCAAGTTGATCTATCCTGCCTATTGTGTTTATATTTTTTCTATTTCTGCAGAAACGCTCTTTTCTCCAAATGCTGGCTTTGTGAAAAACAACAAGCTTCAATTCTGGATGAAAACTATGTCATTGACAACTGTTAAACAAGTAGTGGGTCTCACACTAGCAGTGGGATTGGCATCAGAGATTGTCTATTACCTATGGAGACGCAGGCTGGTGTCTAGGTTTGGCAGTTACTTTCTCAGCAAGTTCAATGGGTCCCCAACGGAAGCGATTGACTCTACCTCAGAAGCAGAATCAGAAGCCTTCACAGACCCATACCTCTACAAGGTTCTCATATTCCCAGATAAGGCGAGGCCGTGCAAAGCCCACCTCTGGGGAGATGGCTGCCGGATGGAGAAATGCTGGTTCTCTCACGATGAAAGAAACTCTGTGTACCAGTTCCTATCCCACATCCAATCGGCTGAGATGACCCTGGATGTTTGCGTCTACGTCATGACGGATGTAGAGCTTGCCAATTGTGTGATAAGCATGAAAGAACGGGGTGTGTTTGTGAGGGTGATCACTAATCTGGAGGCTCAGAATTACACAGGCACGCAGGTCGGCAAATTCAGATCAAGAGGTAAATTGCATTTAACCTTGTAACCGATAATCGAATCGGAGGCCAATCACTGCCGATTTTATATAAATCGGATGATTAATTCCAATCGCTGATCAATGAGAACTGATCTGAAAATCGAATGGCGATGATGAAAAAAAGGATGCCCACAGATCAACGTGTGGCCGTCAAATGTGCTGGGGGATACGCTCGAGTGCACACGCAGCCATATTGCTTAGTCCTTGCTCTTTTCAGCAAGCAAAGCCAAGTCGACCATGCGCATGATGACATGCCTTTACTTCAATTTTAACTATAGAAATGCAATTACAGTATTATTACAGGTGAATGAAACAATTATCTACGCTCTTCAAAAAGACGTACAGTATGCAAAAAATTTGGTTACATTACAAAAAATGGTGTATTATATTCTGATCTTCTATACAGGGCATTATTAATCTTAGTTATAATCAATTGTGATTTTGATGTCGGCTTTTTTCATAGCATGCGTTGTATTCTAGCATATTGAATACAAAAAGTTGAATTTAAGTTCTTTTTCATAACCAAAATAAAAAAGAACCTTCAGTTTTATTTTTTTTGTAAATCGATCCTCTTTCAAGATAGGCCTACCTAATAGTTTATTTTTAATATTATTTCTAGGGCGAAATTATTTACAGGTATTTGTTTACTTGAAACGGTTCATTGATAAGAAATGAGAGGGACAAATTGCAGATTAACAAGATATGAAAGAAATTGAAATAGCAATAGCCATAACAACATGACGTTACAAAAAACTGCAGGAGTTACATGGTTTGAAAATACAACGATGAAAATATTGCAAGAGAAAGAAAAAGGGAGAGACGGAGAAGGTGAGAGACAAAAATAATTAGGTAGAGGGAGAGAAAGAGAAGACAACAGGAAGACAAAAATGAGGCAGGTGAGAAATAAAGAGGGAACTAATAATTGAAAGAAAGGGAGAAAGAGTGGAGAGAGAAGTAGAAGAGATACTTGGGGAAAATGAAAATAAAGAAATTAAAATTATGTTGCGAGAGGAAAAACTGAAAGGCCTGATGAGCCTATGCCATGCCGTGGCGTCCGTTGTCCGTCCGTCCGTCCATGCGTCCACAGTTTTCAAAATGCTTCTTCTTCGTTATTTTTCAACCGATTTTGATTCTGATTGTTTCATATGATAGGGCTAGGAGGGAGATTTAAAACTTCTACACAGAATAATGAAATTCATTATCTATGCTAATTTATGCAAATTTATTTGAAATCACAAAAAAATGCTTCTTTTCCTTCATTTCTCGACCAATTTTGATTTGGTTTGCCTTATCTGGTAGAGCTTAATTTGGAACACTAAATTTCTACACAGAATTTTGAGATTTTGCTCCATTGATTAATTATGGTAATCTATGCAAATTTATTAAAAAAATAACCAAAATTTCATTTCCTTTAGTTTCTTTTTAATCTTTTACAGCTAAATGACATTATGTCCCTTCCAGGACATCAAATTTTTATTTTTTGACTAGTTCAAAAGTGTACCACATAAAATTTACGATATTTGTTGTTGCGAGATTCAGATGAGCGCTACATCATTGATGTTCTAGTTACTTCTTCCAATTTTGTTTATTTCAGTTATTCATCTGTTTAATAGAAACTTTCAGAGTCACCTTCTACACTGCAGTAGTACCGTCATATCATGTACATGCTCAGCCCCCCCCCCCCCTCTCACTTTAAAAAATGCTCAATGCCCTCTTAATCAGTTCTTTTCAAAACTTTCATCTGATCGATGCATTAAAGGGATCGTTTAACAATGTTAAATCTGAGATGCACGGCCCTATGTGTTATCAGAGTCTGTGATATAGTGTTATATTGAAGCCCTACAAAATTGCGCTTCAAAATGATCAAGAAGTGCCTTAAAAACCTTTTGAGTGACCGGTTTTACCATACTCCTTTGGCAAATGCAAAATTTGATTTCGATTTTCAATCATAAATATCGTGATACTCAGACAGGCAATCGGCTTGTAAAAGTCATGGGGTTCCTGACTGACCTAAAGGTTTATAATTATCATTGCAGCATGAGCTAAATCAAGGATTTTTTTTAAAGGATGTAAGACAAAGTTATCGGATCCCTTTCAAGGTATTTATGATTTGAAATCGAATCCAAATTTTGTGATACAGATATCAGGAGCCAAATTGCAGATTCCATCTTCCGATCCAGTCTCTAACTTCTATTCTCATTCTCAAAATTACTTTTCAAAAATACAAAATGAAAGGAAAATATGCAAATGTTGTAGGAAGCAAGTTTACCTGTGTGGTATAAAGCTACTTACATGTATGTAGTTGAATAATTCCATGAGGTTGTGTCAAAAAATATGACATGAAGGTGCAAAATTCAAAGTTGGTAATTTATGGTAAATAATTCTTTTGTTGTTGTATCCTGTTTCTGACACCAATCCTAATTGCAATTGTGTGTACATTCCTTTTAATACGCTCTTCAATTTACATGAAAAAGCAGACACAACAAAATACCAATGTTACATGGACATCTTTTTTTACTTGCTCATTTATTTTCTGATCTGAAACTACATGTATGTTACAGTCTGTACTTTTTTTGTGTGTGGAAAACAATAAGATGATGCGAGCAATAAGTCAGAATACTTTAAAACCTGCCAAAATTATACCAATTCATAAACATGAAGCAAATGAAGATTTTGCAATTTTCAGAGGTTGTTTTTTCCTAAAGGGTAATCTTTTCTCTTGACTAGAACATCTTGGCTGCATTCTAATAAATGCGCTAATTAATTTCTGCATGAAACATGTTTAATGAGATGACACTAATAAAAGGGAACCTGCAAGATTTATACCTATATATATTCATCTCAACAGAGGAGTAACCAATTTTACATGGACATGATGTCTGAGTAACATCGGTATGATATAAGAGTACGGTACTCATTGAAATATGACAGACTACATCAAATGTCATCTATTGATCAGTAGATATATGATTTAAAAATAGTCATACTCGTACATGAGGTATAATGATAGATATTAAATGATAACTTTATATCTTCTTCAAAATAGTGATTAGATGTAAAAGATGTATATGACTGTCCTGTGTTCATATTTTTAAAACCGTTATTTACTTGCTTATCTTCAATAAAAATGCCATTTTATGTTGCTCATCCAAGTACACCTGTAAGTAGCATTCTTGAAACATTATAAGGGCAATTCCATGATTAGGTGGACATGAGTAAAAAATTTAGAATTCAAATATTCTTTTTTTTCTTTTTTGTATTTGACTAAAGACACCACAAAGTATCTGAAAAAAATATTTTCCACACCATACATTTGGTATAAGTGAGTGAAAATTGCAAATGAACATTGTTCATGTTTTCCTGTGAAATTTGTAATATAAGAGGAAAAAAAGTTATTTAAGTCATTATCAACATAAAAGTAACTATATCCTCACAAACCTATTGAATTTATTGAGGGAGTACAATGCCCTCATGGTTTCATTAAGCAAAATTCAAGTTAAAAAGTGATTTAGTCTACAGTTCACGAAATTCCAAACCCTTGATACGCCATGTAACGTTACCAACCAAAACATGAATTTATTTTTCTGGAGAGAAAATCTGGGGGCTATTAATTGTCATATTTCAAATTTTCCTTTCCTATACAATGCTCTATTGAAGTAAAGGAACCAGAATTACAAATATTCTATGATGTAGAAAATATTAGCAGTCAAAATCTGTAACGTTACCAACCATGTAACGTTACCAACCAGGCTTAAGGATTGTAACGTTACCAACCATGATATTAGTGCCAGGAGATACTTATTTGTAAGCCTTAATCAGAAGAAAGTGAAGTGATTCTTTAACTAAGACAAGAGATGGCAGTATAGAACATTTATTAAAGGCATGTGACAGCCATGTGACAACCATTTAAGCAGCATCATATCTGTGTAGAATCCATGCAGCATCACATTTGGGAAGAGTCAAATCATCTTTACTGTATTAAAACTCTTCTTGAATCTTTCTCCATGAAAGCAGTTCTAATTAGCAAAACTTGTTGAATCTCAATCTACTGTCACCCAGTGTCAGCATCTGGTAAGTTTATTTATTTTCAATTGTAGTAACTGTAATCTTTATTTATGTTTCTTGAAATACTTTAAGATCAGGCTAGGCTACTTTCTACAGTCTTCATTGTATGTACAGTTCACACTACACTTTTTAAAGTCAACATTGGCAATTGATAGTACATAAAATATTTAGTATCAACTACATGTACATGCAAATGTACATGTACATCAACTAGATGGAATAGATGCAAATGAAAAAGTGAAGGTTAATGAACTTTTTTGTATTTGTTTTTATGTGCATTGGCTAATTTGTTGCCGTGGAAACTTTCATCTTAATCCGAATGCAGTTGTTTAACACTTTGAGAAAACATGGCAATTGACCTTTACTCAAATTTCCAAAGGATACATTAAATATTATGGGAAATCATGAATTTTAAGTTATATGATTTCTTGTAAATTAGAAAAAAAAAGTGATTTTATTCATAATTGTTATATTGTATCAATTTTTCTGTATGGTGACTTTCCAACACTTATCCAGATTCGCACTAATAGAAGGATTCTAATACCAATTACGAATCTGGAAATCTTTGTTCATCCTGATTATTTTTTTTTTTTAAAGATTTGGTTTGTACAAAAATATTTTAAAAAATTATAATTATTTTTTGATATATAGGTCATCATGCTCAAGTTTACGAAGAAAGAGAAACAAAGGCACTACATAGAAAAGATGAAGAGGATGGGGAAGTATGAAGAATACTTGAAGAAAAAAGCAGCAGCCATGAAGAGGTGCCGGGAGAAGCAAAAGCTGAGAGAGAGGACCTTGCCAAAATATGCGAGAAAACAACTGGAAAGGGAGACGAAAGAAGCAACAAAGAAACGAGTAGCAAAGCACAGGAAATTGAAGAAAGAAAGAAAGGCAGAAGCAGAAGCAGAAGCAAGTCATGGGCCCTTCAAAAGTGCGATGGCACTCGCAAAAGCCACTGCCAGGGCACATCGGATAATGGATCGAGTACTCCCCGACACTCCTAAACGGCGAATTGTTGTCTCTCGCAAGTTGTATGAGAAAGAAGCTAAGCAAGGACATGAACTACCATCAGCTTCAGCAGAGAAAAGGAAGACGGGTCCTCCTAAAGTCAGTGAAGATACAGTGAAAGTCATCGAAGACTTCTATGAGAGAGATAATGTGAGTCGCCAGGCCCCAGGCAGAAAGGATGTAGTGACTATTTGGAATGCAGACGGAAAGAAGAAAATGCAGGCTAGACACCTCACTGCTTCAATTAAAGAGACATATGCCTTCTTTTGTGAGATTTACCCAGAAGTACATGTGGGAAAGTCCAAGTTTGCAGAGTGTCGCCCAAAGCATGTCCTGCTTAGCCAAAAGTTGCCACATAATGTCTGTCTCTGCAGGTACCACGAGAATGCCATTAATGCTTTTACTGCACTTCACAAGGCTCAACCAGAATTCCCTGCTTACACCCGTGATCTCCCAGCTTTGCTCCTTTGCAAGCAACCATCAAGAGAGTGCTGGATGAATGAATGTGCAGAATGCAAAGATGGAGCAGGATTTAGCAAAGCCTTCTCTTTTGAGGGATCCCTTAACAGCCCTTGCTCATGGCTTCAGTGGGAGACGGATAAAGATGGACGGATGATGAAGATTCAAGAGGAGGGAACTGTAGGAGAGCTAGTACAGCACATCACTGCCATCTTACCTCAGTTCCTGCAGCACTGCTATGTAAAGCGTGAGCAAGCATCAGCATACAATGCTCAGAGGGAAAAAGTTTCTCCTGAATCACATGACACCCACAGTGCCCTCCTCCAGGTGGATTTCTCTGAAAATTTTACATGCGTTGCTCAAGATGAAGTCCAGAGCGCACATTGGAATCAACGTCAAGTATCCCTCTTCACTGCAGCACTCTGGTACTCTGGATCTCTACATTCTCATATCCTGGCATCTGATGACCTCACACACTCCAAGGAAACCATCATAGCCTACCTTGATGTGCTGCTAGGATATCTACCAGATACGGTAACATCTATTTCTATCTGGTCAGATGGCCCAGCTTCGCAATTCAAAAATCGGTTTGTGGCAGCAGCACTCTGCACACTTCAAGAGGCTCACAAGATTCAAATCAAGCGGAACTTCTTTTCGACCTCCCATGGAAAAGGCCCCGTTGATGGGATTGGAGGGTCAGCCAAGCGCTTTGTGATGCAAAGAGTTCTGAGCCGCCAAGACATTGTAGCAGATGCAAGCAGCTTTGTTCTAGCAGCAAGCTTCATGGAGAATGTATGCGTCACAGAGGTCAAGTCAACAGAAATTGCTAAGCGGAATGAGAAGCTCAAATTGAAAGATGTTTTCATTCAGGCCAAGCCAATCACTGGCATCGGAAAGATGCATTTCCTGAAGGTCGTAAAGGATGAAGTGGTATCCCACATTCTCACAAAAGACAATAGGGCAGACAAGGATGATGTAGTGGTTACCCAAAGTGGTAGTAAGGCCATTGTAGTGGGAGATTGGTATGTGGTCGAGTACGAAGGAAAGAAATTTCCTGGTGAAGTTGTTGGGTTCACACGCAAGGGTGAGTTTCAGGTGTCAGTGATGGAGCCAGTGGGAAAGTACTGGAAATGGCCTACAAAAAAGGATGCCATTTTCTACATGGAGAGCAAGATGATTACAAAATTGGCTCCTCCAGAAGTTGTTAACAACCGTGGGCATTTCAAATTTTAGATTTGTATGGTATCAAGTAGGCCCTACATCAAATACATGCATTGGGTTATGGAATACAACCGCACATTTTTATTCTGAACTCTGTTAAACTTATCTCAACAAAAATAGTTACTTTGTGAAACCAAGTTATCATGTATGTTGACATGCATAATCCCATGGCAAATGGTGAACTTCAGAATCTAACATTTGGATAAAAAGTGTTGTAAATATGTTTGGATTGTTTCAAGTTGTGTCTGGGTAAGAGTTATAAATAACACTTACATTGATAACCATGTTAATTTACATGCAATTCCAAAGTGTATCTTTTGATTTTAAGGAAGGAGTACAGGTCTAAATTGACGGCAAATACATTCGTTAAAGAAGTTGTTAATAACCGTGGGCTTTTCAAATTTTAGATTTGTATGGTATCAAGTACATTTGTACATAAAATACATGCATTGGATTATGGAACAAAACAACACATTATCATTCTATTGTGTTATGGACTGAATATCTGCTCAATGTCTCTGTCATGATGTCATGAACTCTGTTAAAATTCTCTCAATAAAATAGTTACTTTGTGAAATCAAGTTATTATGTATGTTGACATGCATAATCCCACGACAAATGGTGAACTTCAGAATGTAACATTTGGATAAAAAGTGTTGTAAATATGTTTGGATTGTTTCAAATTGTGAGTTGGAGTTATAAATAACAGTTACATTGATAACTATGTTAATTTATATGTAATTGCAAAGTGTATCTTTTGATTTTAAGGAAGGAGTAGGTTTAACACTTGCTTTTTACAACGCTTATTTCTGCATGGACAAACTGTAACGTTACCAACCGGTAACGTTACCAACCATGAATTTTGGGTCTAATAAAAAATTGAAGAGTCAAGCTGCTAAAATTATTGGCTGAAATATTTATCATGACACTAGAATTGAAATGAATACGACACTTTGTTTGAGGTATCTCGCGTTTTAGGAAACTTTTGGTCTGAAGACACTGATTTTTTTCGCATGTCCTTTTTTTGTAACGTTACCAACCAACATTAAAAGTTACCATGGCGACTCTAATATTTGTTCAATTGTATTCATTCTTTTTTATATTATAGACCTTGGGTGGGTGAACATATTGTAACATGATTGTGACTTGAAATGAATAGATGGTGATGTAGTAGTAAAATGAAATATGAAAATTTGCTTAAATGTAACGTTACCAATTGTGGAATTGCCCATAAGGTTTCTTTTATGACACTGTAATTAAAGATAAAGTTGAGTTCTGGTCATGCAATTGCGTTGTAAAAGAAACGTTGTGGAATCGATCAGAAAATGTTGATCATCTAGCATGTTGTACTATTGGTGTGTACTGCAAGGTTCTGGAATCATCAAAATGATAAGAAATTTGGCCCAGTCTTGGTAAAGTTACAAGCACTGTACACAGAAAAATGTATATGGGACTACTTGAACATGTGGCATGAAAATCTGTCCCGATGGTTATGATGTTACATGCTATATTTATAATATTAAGGCATTTGAAGAGCCATGCATTTTTTATACATTTTTTATCTGACGTTCTTCCACACTTGCATAATACAATGATAATGCTCACAAATTATTTTCCACTCTTTCCCAGAACTTAACCTTCTCTAAAGTCTTTTTCCATGGCTAGCTCTGCTCACAGCGCGTCCTCGTAACATGGGTGCAGAATAAGTCGTCTATCATTACGCCGACTTAAGTAGGCCTACAGAAACAAAATCAAATCTCACTTGAATTGAGATAAATTAACAAAAATAACATGGAAGTAGTAAAATGAGAGATATCCACCGTGACTAGTGAGTAGTATATTCATTTGATGACTCATACAACAAAAACATACATGACCGACGAATTTTCTTTTTTCTTTTTCGGTCTTGCCTGACTTATGAGCTCACAGACTTTGTCTGTGATTTCTTTTGGAAGAGGTAAAATCTCTGTCCGTGCTCTAGATTCCCTCTTGGCTGAACCAGACCTTAGTGTTGAATTTTTGTAAGATATACATGTAGTAATGTTCATCGCCTCTGTCTCTAGTGAAAACTGCTCTTTTGCTAGTTGCTCTACTTGCAGCCTCAATGTACGATCTTCTTCTTCTGCTCTCCTTTTCTCTTTTTGTTTCTCGTCTTGTTTCTTCTTTTTTCTCGTTTTCTCCTTGTTTCTCTCTTCTTTTCTTTTCTCCTTACCTTCTCCTTCTTTTCTTTTCTCCTTATCTTCTCCTTCTTTTCTTTTCTCCATATCTTCTCCTACACGTTCCTTCTCATCATCTTCATACTTTTGTTTCTGCATTTTTTGTAGTTTATCTTGTTCTCTCTTCATCCTTAGCTTGAGATTCACTTCTTCTTTCTTTGTGGCTGACCACTTTGCCCTCTCTTCTCGTTTGCGTTCTGTCCATTTCTTCCTTTGCATTTTTATCTCATTTTCATCTGGTTTCTTGGGTTTCTTACCAGCTGCTCTATCTGCTTCCTCTTTCACCTTTTTCCTCAGTCTGTAAAGCCTTACTCTCTTTCTTGCTAGATCTCTCCGATGCTCCTTCTCCTCTTCAGTTAAAGTTGCAGCTCTGAGCTTACTATACTTTTTGTCTCTCTCTTTTACCTCCTCATATTTCTTGGGGTTCGTATTATTCATCTTTGTTCTCCAGGAAAGGTTTGAAGGTTTTTTTTTCCGGCTCTCTCTCGCCTGGAGCTTTGCCCTCTGTTCTCGTTTGCATTTTGTCCATTTCTTCCTTTGCATGTTTATCTCATTTTCATCTGGTTTCTTAGGTTTCTTGCCAGCTGCTTTTTCTGCTTTCTCTTTCTCTTTTTTTCTCAGTCTGTAAAGCCTTACTCTTTCTCTTGCTAGATCTCTCCGATGCTCCATCTCCTCTTCGGTTAAAGTTGCAGTTCTGAGCTTACTATACTTTTTGTCTCTCTCTTTTACCTCCTCATATTTCTCGGGGTTCATATCGTTCATCTTTGTTCTCCAGGAAAGGTTTGAAGGTGTTTGCCGGCTCTCTCTCGCCTGGAGCTTAATCCTCAGTTTCAGAGGTGGTACATGTCGAGAAGCCATAGTGAAATAGATGCGGCAATCTAATAAATGTGCATGAGAAGAAATAAATAAAAACGAATGAGAAAAAAATATTGATACAAAAATGAAATAAAACTGTAAATAGCTTGTGTGACTTTCATTGCAAAATGTGTAGTAATACATCTATCTATAGATCTGTTGTAAAATCACAGAGGGTTGCAAGATAGGGAGGGAGGCCTCATCCTCATTTTTGGCTCGTTGCATGCCCATGTACATTACCGTAGGTTTTTGGAGCAAACTATTGGGTTTCCTTATTTTGTTGAATTTTTGTGATTTTTTTTTTTTGAATATTTTTTTTTTGAATGATTTTGTTATTTGTCTTCCTTTTTTTCTTTCTTTTTCCCCCTTTTTTTCGGGGGGGGGGGGGTATTAAAACCCCTTACCCCTTCCTTTCATCCTTGCATGGAGTTCTAGGAGTGGGCAGTTGGAGCCACATGGCAAACATCCAGAAATATTCTACCCCCCCCCCCCCCCCCCAACAAAATACTGGTAATATTAATTGACATTATCAGATTAAATTTCTACCCAAATATGTAATAATTCCTCTCTATCTCGACCCCAGTGCCCCCCTTTTTATTTTAGCCTAAAAGTTATTTATGTTGGGCCTTAGTCAGATCGAACTTCCTAACTTGGTGAAGGAAACAATAACTTTTTTCTTTATGCATATTATAGATCTAGACTCTAGGAATCTATCAATCTAGATCTAGTCTTCTGACCAGACTAATACTACTCGACCTCATTCCTACTTACTAACTCAGCAAACCATTTCATATCATTTAATTTAACAGTTGTACAAAAAAGTAGAAACGTCATTTATAATTTACGGTTTTTTTAATATCAAAATTCAATTTCTGTATTCGAAACTAGCTTTATACGGGGAAACATCCGGCATTGATTTTGCCCGTTTCGAATTTCGTTCATAGTTTATAAAAAAAAACATGTATATCAGTACGCGGGACAACAGTAAAAATATTTACTTCATTTAATGTTTTTAAGTTTTGAATGACACCATCTTAAACGCAATTAGTTATACATTTTTTTTCTTCAATGAAATTGCATTGTTCATAATAAAAATTGGGGACAGAAAAACGTCTTAATAAACATATTACATACCAATTTATTTCGGCGCTGACGGACTGTACGACGTTACAACGACATTGTCATCGTGGTTGTGCTAGTGGTAGAGCCGTCGCACTCGTACGTACAGAAAACGTATTCCCGCGTTCGTGAATTTGAAAACTGAAGCTAGCGGCTTGTTTGGATTTCAAAAACCGTCATTTCATACCAACGTTACTAAATCACTCGAGACATCGCACACGATTTTCGCATTAATTTATTAATTTAATTATTTACTTGTATGTAAATAATTCTTGCTATTTTCTACATATTATGTTTGTTGGGGATTTCATCTTTATAATATCATGAAACTTTCTGAGAAAATATGCTGCTAATTTCCATCGTTACAAAAAAAAGTACCAGGGACCGTGTTCTTTCAATAATAACTCTCTTTTTAGCACACTTCATTGCATATGGAGCTTCTTATCTACATGGCTTTTTCCAGAATTAAGTTCATGAAAATGACATGTATTCCTCAAAATCGCTGTGACATATATCGGTGCACGTGCATGAATATAAAGTTCTCTCGAACAAAAAATATATTTATTCTGTCATACATTCAGGCCCGGATCCACGTGTTGGGGGCAACGGGCCTACCCCCCCGCCAAAAATGAGGGGCCCCGGCCCACCTCTGGCCCAAAAAAAGTTTTAAAAAAGATGGTAACCATAAATTTACCTTTTTCTTTTTTTAAAGTTAAGTGCTCACACTACCCCCTCCCCCCTCCCCCCTCCCCCCTCCCCCCTCCCCCCTCCCCACTAATTAGTGAAAATAACAGTCTGCATGATTTTCAAATGCAATTAATCCTAACAAGTCCATGAATTATTCCTCTATCAAATCAAAGACTGATTTATATATAATGAATCAACTTTTTTCCTTGATTTTGCCCAATTATAGGGATTCAAGTCCGGACAAACACCAACTACCTCATGCATCACAAGTTTGTAGTGGTTGACAGAAAGAAGGTCATCACTGGGTCATTCAACTGGACGAGTCATGCCACGACGGCCAACAACGAGAACATGATCATCACGGACAATCCACAGATTGTTGATCCGTATGCGGACGAGTTTGACCGATTGTGGAAGGAGTTTGACCCTGCATCACAGAGCTAGTTGGTGCTATGTGAATCTAGACCTTTTGTACTGCAGCTGATGTATCAATTGCTGTAATGAACATGGTGCCTTACTATTACAGACCTCTACGTAAATAAGTGTTAAACTGGAAAATTGTCTAGAGTCAAGTGGATTGTTGAAGGAGTTTTATCCTGTAACAACAACAACAAAAAGGTTGCTCTTGTCTTACAAGCTATAGTTGAATTGAGATATAACGATGGACCCCATTTACACAAAGCAGCTTACTCTGTCAAAGTGAATATGGGTAACATATACTTACACTACAGGTGAATGACCTTGTGTGAATGATTTTAGGTCAAATTAATTTGACCCTGTGTTGCGTTTGAATATAAAGAGCGTGTAGCCGTCATACATGTTTCCAACAGTGAATTGGGATGAAGATCGATGCTCATTTGGAATGTCATCTCAGTTTTGGATGTAGTGAGGATCAGACATTAGAAAACATTACCATAAACAGTCTAGGGAACTGGGCAAAGTACCCATGTACCAATTTGGCCACCAGAGAATTTAAGTCACATTAAAAAGAAAATTGTATACATGAATGACTTTCTTTACTTTCTATATTCAGTATTATCAACAATGCAATTTAAACAATGCAATTTATACTAGTGTTTGTAAGTAATCAAGTTATTGTATTAGAACTAATACATTTTTGATGCTTACTATGCTGCAACATATATGCATGTAGGATCATCAAAAGTGAAGGGAACAAATTTAGAAAAATCCCTTTTTTAGAAATAAACTTTTTGGTGCTATTTGTGTGATCTGACATTTTTTCTGTGCTTGGGGGTGTTGGTTATTACTTTGTTTCCGATTAGACTGTCATTGCTGATTGCTGATGTTTGTAGAGAATGTACCATTAAATGTAAGTAAAAAGAAAAATGGTTAACTTTGAAACAAGAGATGAAACCATACAAATTAACTTTAACAGCTTTAGGTTTTCTCAATCGTAATTTGTGTCATTTATTTACATGAAGGCCTAATTCTACAAGTATATCCACTTGTATTTGTTTATTAAAATGCAAAATCAATTTTATGCAAGGTGAAGGGCTATTATTATAAGGTTAAGTAAAGTATTTTATCCCTAAAGGCTTAAGAACTACTGAGCAACTAATCATCACATTCTGCAAGAATTTTTTGTATTACATATATATTTTTGTATTCTTTTCTGGAGGTACTCATTGCAAATTACTTGTCAAAATATATGCACTCTTTGAAATAGTTTAGTATGATATAATTTGATCAGTAATGTAAGACGTTGTTTGAAAAATATAACAAAATTTATCAAAATGTTCAATCATTATTGAAATGATTAGTGATTCTAATGTGATGTGCAAGCTAGCACTTGGATATATTTGAAATCAAGCAATAACACAATTTTCCAATCACTCTGAAATCAAATCTTTAAACTATTGCACTCTCCTATCTCTTAATATATATATTTTTATACATGGATCCTTCATCCTTGTCATTTGATTGGAGGATTGTTGGTCACATGATATTCAATAGATGTTATATTGCACGGTCATGCATTTTTGGTTATATGCAGACTGCGTACCTCTCTGCCGTGCGCGTATCCCTATGTGTATCTGACGCGAAGGTAATCTGAATGTAATCGAGAAGGCTCGACTCCAACTTTAATTTATCTTTAATATATAATTTGTTGATTAACGTTCTATAGATCTTCTTTGATGTTGTATAAAACAAATAATGAATGTTTTTAATTCGTTCAATAGTGCGAAAATTTTCATGAGTTGAAAGATTAACGTTAATCTTTCAACTCATGAAAATATTCACACTATTGAAGTCATAACCATTCATTATTTGTATAATATTCCCCAACATTATGAACTAGTCATTTCTGACTATCAATGAATACAACAGAGCATATGCAGTGGTAAGTAATTAAAACGATCATCTAATTTATTTCTTCCCTTACACAATCATAAAAATACTCTTTACACTAGATATTAATTTATTTCATATTGATACAACATATAAGAAAGGAAATCTTGCTAATTTGGATTTCTGGTAATTAAGTTTCAAAAGAAACAGTTGGATGCCTTTAATATTGAAAGATGATCATGTACTTCCAGTAACCTCATATAGATCTATTTAATATAGAAATGTCTGTACATAATTCAATCAAAATATTGAATCAGATACTGGAAGCATCCATCATCATCACTATTTTCAAGTGAGGATTCCCCTCTGGCGACAGGGTTAATGACTTTCGGACATGATGACACTGCCTCCCTCCACTTCTTCTCGTCTTGAGCATCCTCTTTTTGTTTAGGCCAGCCTTATGCTTTCTTTCTTCACCATATCTTTCCAAGAAATCTTCGGTCTTCCTTTCCCTCTTTAATATGACATCCACTTCCAGATCCCACGCTCTTTTCACAGGTTCATCATCCAAAATAATATAACTACTGACATTGTTTTCTTTGATAATACTATGTGTTAAATAGATTTTTTAATAAAAAGATTCCAGAAAGGCTTAATTTGTTGTAAGTCTAATAAGCACAGGACACAAGAATAAACACAATCAGGTGAAAATGGCAAGATTTCCTGATTAGTATACCAATTCCTAATTTCCTATGGCTACACAATCACTAGAAACATACTTTACTGCTGAAATAGCCAATTTCATGCACCTACATAATGTAATGCAACTAAATTATTCATACCCCTTGATTTATTTATTTTTGTAATATTTTTTTTTGTAACTCGAGCATTGAAGGTAAATCTCTCTCCCCAAGAATATGCATATAAAAATAGAAATATAAAGAACAATGTACAGGAACAAGTTCTCAAAAGATCAGAGTTGTTAGTTACCTATTGTGATAACACATATATATCGGACAAACACAACAAAAGAAAATGAACGATAAGAATGGGAGAATGTGCAATTAGATTGGAAGTCATTTTAACATGAATTTCGCCAAAACTTTATCTTTCGACAAACAAAAAAAGTTGAATGCAGGTGGTAAATTCACATGAACATTTTTGAAAGACTTTAGTTGCTCACAAATCTTTTGACACTATCAAACTTCAATCGGTGAAATCGTGTATAAACACCTGTAAAATATAAGTACATGTGGTGACATTATACATAATGCAAGTTCGAAGCGAACAAAGTATGGCAGAGTCTACTGTCAGAAACTGATTTATGTTTTTCTGTACACACCAGGCAGTCTCTTTCTGTAGGTCACACAAAACTTTTGATTTCTGTAAAATTATACTCTTTACTCAATACAAAAAGTCACGTAATAATTCAAATTCAGTTCAATCGATTTCCTCCCTCTTTCTCTATCTCTCTCTCTCTTTTCCCCCATCTCTCTCTCTCTCTCTCTCTCTTCTACCCTATCCTTTTCTCTCTATATATATTAAAATCTTCCTCCTATCTACCAACATGTTCTGGAATATATTTCTGAATATCTTTGTCTACCGAAACATGCAACCCATAGTGTCGATATAACGAACATATTCACCAGTTCAATTCCAAATTTGCACAATCCGCTACTGTATTATTGATTCTAAATACTGGCCTAATAAAGGCATTTTTCTTGCAAACAGACAATATCATCAGTGACCACACTTTAGCATAGTGTGTTAAATCATATTTGGTCAGTGAAGTATTACAATGTCATTCTGAGGATAGAGTATACCCGGTAATTATTATGTGGCAAAATGAAACGGAAGTTCTAACGATTGACAGGAATTTCTTTTAATCCTTTCAATTCATTTGTACATTGCACAGAAAACATCTTCTAAATTTCAGTTATCTCCAATCCTTTGAATGATTTGAAAATTAAAGAATCATAATTGATATATTTGGCCAATGACTCGATAAAATTATAAATCTAATCGAGATTCAATTTTCTTTACAGCATAACTCCAGGTTAGTGATTCAATGGTAGAAGGTTGCTCTAAAAATGTTATAAAATTCTCATAGAATACGATTAACTTTGCCACAATACTTATGGTTTCACTGCAGAAATCATGAGTGATCCACAAAATATTTTAACATTCAAAGATAAAGCACACTGATGGAATGATAATTATAAAAGTCTAGAATTTTGTACAAATGCACTTCCATTTTACGGCTTTTTCTTTTAATATTAAAATCCCAGATCATGATTAAAGCTTTGTATCATTTATAAGTAATTCATTGTCATTAGATGGCAATACGTTAATTTTATCTACTTCATTGTACTCTTCATCGCCTGAGAGGGAGTCTTCCAAATCACTAAGCTGGAGTGCCTGATATCAGATCTCGTTCCTGGGTGGATGGTGCTCCACGTAGAAGAATGAGAGCGTCCCCAATGTTCCGCAGACGACCAGGATGAGGAGCTGCCAGTGGAGCAAGATGACGAGGCTGTAGGCGAAGGCAATGGCAGCAGCAGCAGACTGAGGGAGACAAACAAAAGTGACATTTATACGTTTACAAATTATGTTAATGACATCAACATTCTATTTCTCATTAGGATTACAAGGGCTTCCAAAACTAAAAAAATGCATTACAATTATTTCCCCAACTTCAGCTATTTGGCCTACATCATAATTGATAGTCCTTTTTTAAATAACTTTGGAAGCTGTGATACTACACCATACCTCGGGGTTGTACTTGCAGTCAAACGGTTTTCTTGAAATACTCAGTTTTCATCATTTTTTAAAAATATAACATGATTAGAAAATTCATTTCATGGCATGAAACTTTGCAAAACTGAACTACTTTCAAAATTTGCAAAGATTTCATGTGTGAAAATTGTAGGTTTAGCAGTGAGGATAAATCAAATACATTTGTTATCACTTCAGTAAATGTTATCAAAGGAAAGAATATTGTGCTGACAGAAAAGAGTAAAATTAGAGAAGCAGATTGGGGAAAGTTTGAATGAATTAAACAAACAACAACAGAATCAGAATAATGAACATTTAAATTTGTTTGCAATCACTATATGTTCGGGAATTTCAAATTGGCTAAATCGGTAAATGTCACTGTGCTGTAGTAGCAAACAACTCTACCATTTTTTCCAACACACAAATTACTAAAATGTCAATTTTACAACATACCGGTATATGATTCAGGAGGGTCTTTTCTGTTTAGAGGACCTATAATGATATGCTATTCATAGTATACTTTGGTTCAAACCTAGTGTCTTAGACCAAGCCCAATTACTTGATTGTTTAGACAGTGTCCTTATCTTAATAGACCTAGTCCAATTACCGGATTTATAAGATGGGCCCTTACCTTAGACCAATTCCAAAAAACATGATTCATATTAGACAAGTCCCATTAGCTGATTTATAAGACCAAGCCCTTATATTAAACCTAGTCTAATTACCTGAATGAATTTGAAGAGAGCGAAGGCGGAGGCACTGTCAGACTTGAAGTAGCTCCCTAGAAGTGAGTAGATTTGTGTGTTGAAGCATGCATCAGCAAAGCCAAGCATAAAGGAGCAGGCAAAGGCCAATTCAATGCTGAAATTAAAAGAACAGGAGAGAATGGTTTAACATGATAAATTCACACCAATAAAAATTCACAATATCGGCATTAAAGTTGCCCTTTTTTACTGCTGAAAAAGAAGTGAGCATGATTAAGTGCTACTGCTGCTACATTTTCTATTAATACTACTATACTACTACTAGAATACTCCTACTACTACTTCTACTACTATAACTGTAGAGGTATTGTGGTCGAGTGGATATGTCACCGGACAGTCGATCACAAAGTCCGCGGTTCAAGGCCCGCTGCGGCACTAATGTCCTTTGGCAAGACATTGATCTACATTTGCCACTCTCAACTCTGGTGATGTAAATGGGTACCTGGCAGGAATTAATTCCTTGAAATGTGCCGTAATGGCAGCCGTGCTAAAGCCAGGGTAATAATCAGTCTGACAGACATGAGCGCTATACAAGAACCCACTATTATTATTATCATTATTACTACTTCTACTACTACTACTACTATTATCACCTACTTTGGTCCTATGATGGATACCGGTACACCATTTCTTGGGAAGACTGGGTTGATAGGCGATTCAGCGGGCAGGTTGATATAGATGAGATAAAAGCAAATCATGTGAACCACATAGCCAAGCAGAACGATGGGATCTCGGCCAAACTTTATCGTTTTCTTGCCAAGTATACCAAACAGCAAGCCACCTGATTGAGATAAAACAAAATGAAATAAAAACATTATAATCTAATCAAAGCCAAGTCATTAATACAGGTGTCATATTTCTAGTACAGCCATTTACAATGTAGATTGGAAGTAGAGTCAAGTACAACGGCATATACCGGTAGTTTTACTTGTAAGAATGAAAGGTTGAACTTTTATCTCTTCTAAAATTTCAACAAAAATAAAATGAACTCAGAGAAACATATTCCGAACAATCAATTCAATCTGCATACCATGGATCTTTATTGTTGAAGAGAAGGTTGAGTTCTGGCGAGTTGTCCAGGGTGGGGTGCCTTTTCGGACAACTCGCCACACTTTTTCCCCCTCATGATTTCTAGATCTAAAATCCCTCATCTTAGATGAAATTGTCATTTTTCATGATTTTCGTGCTTTTATAAACACAGTCATTACAAAGAATAAAGAATAAAGCTGATTTCCCTTGCAACAATAATATATTTTTGACAAACCGAAGGCGTACGATCGCCAGTTCATTGGGATAACTTGGTATTTAGATCTAGGTCTATAGCAGCTGCATTTTTCTGTCTCAGAAATTGTTTAATGGTAGGATACTGGAAGCACTGGTGTACTGATGGGGGGGGGGGGGGGTTATTTGACCCGCGAAATAAAATTGAAATGTGATTTATGTCTAGATTTTCTGGGTTAGTTTCGTCAGAGGCGACATTCTTCATTGGGGGGGGGGGGGGGACACTGTGCCCCCACTTTTTCAGGTTCCCCTAAAGTGCCCCCTTTATCCTTTGTACATGTCCTTTTTCCCTTCTGATAATTTTTAATGGTAGGAATTCATGGAAGGGTACTGGAAGCACTGGCGTCCTGATGGGGGAGGGGGCAGTTGACCCGCAAAATAAAATTGAAATATGGTTTATTTCTAGATTTTCTAGGTTAGTTTCGCACAGTCCAAAATAGATTCTTTTTGCAGGTCTTGTTGCAAGCGCAAGGAAAATCATCTTTATTCTTTAGAACAGCTCTCAAAATACTCACAATTTCCATGTTTCCTGTCATGACTGTGTTTATAAAAGAATAATGAATACATAAAATGACAATTTCATCTAAGATCATGAAGATGAGGGATTTTAGATCTAGAAATCATGAGGGGAAAAAAGTGTGGCGAGTTGTCCGAAAAGGCACCCCACCCTGGACAACTCGCCTGTGGCGAGTTGTCCAGGGTATTGTGGCGAGATGTCCAGGGTATTGTGGCGGGTTGTCTTGGGGCGGGTTGTCTTTGTGGCGAGTTGTCTGGACCCCAAAATAATTTGTGAGCATTACTCATTCTTATTATGCAAGTGTGGAAGAACATCGGTTAAGACATGTTCCCTGAAAAGCATGGCTCTTCAAATGCCTTCATATTTTAAATATGTATGTAACATCGTAAAAATCGGGGGGGGGGGGGGGCGGCTTTTTACGCCACGTGTTCGTATAGTCCCATATACATCTTTCTGTGCAAGTGTTTGTAACTTTACCAAGACAAGGCCAAATTTCTTATCATTTTGATGATTTCAGAACCTTGCAATACACACACATTCTTATATGCTAGATGATCAACCTTTTCTGGTCGGTTCCACACCGTTTATTTCATAATGCAATCGCATGACCACAACTCAACTCCATCTTTAATGGGCGATCCAACCTTTGCAAATAGTTCACTTGTGTGAAAGCATAAATATAGGAGAAGCAGAATGGTGAAAGCAAAAAAAATTCTTATAATAACTTGTTATAATTTCACTGACCCTGACTAAATATTATTATGCATTTTGCTTTTGTGTTCTGGTCACATCTCTTTTTTGTAACACTACCTTTTTCTAAGCCACCTACTGCGGTGAATAAAACCATTGATATATACCTCTCTTTAGAATCTAGCCATCTGATTGGTCGAAATTGCAGTCGTGATTTTAACCATTCCTCTCATACCCGGTCAATAGTCTTTTGAAAAGTGCCCTCATGCTGCGATCCCCTTGGTTTACGTGTTAAAATTGTCTTTGTGCAAGCGCAGACACCATACAGTGCTTTTTGTCTGCGATTCCCAAATGACTGAAACTTTCAGTCAATCATTCCGTGATGTTTTAACCAATCTTTACTCAATAAAAGGATAAGGTGAGAATTCTTGGTAGATTTTTGTTTTAATTCGGCATATAAAAGACATATCGACTGCTTTAGCCTCTCAAAGCAGTAGATATCTCTATAGTATGTATTACCTGTGATTTCTCCAGCCCCTATGAGCATACCGCTGATACCGATGAAGCTGTTTGAGTCTGCTCCAAATGATTTGGTATTACTGATTGCAGTCCCATAGACACCACTGAAGAAAGTCAGCTCTAAACCTGCATTATCAACATCAAATCAAATCAGACAGTTCATATTCATCCTGGGGGTGTTTCACAAAGATCCTAAGTAGTGAACTTATCTCTAAGTTGGACTTAACAATTATGGAAAGCAGTTAGCATCCTTGAAAATATTTTGTAAAAGTTATTTTATAAGGCATAAAATGTTGATTCAAATCATTCACATTTTCTATTATCAAGAAGATTTCATGTTCTTGATGTGGAATAAATAAAAAGTCTAAAATACTTGAATTTTTGCTTTTGAATCTATATTTAATTATAAGGCTACAAATGACACTCCGTAATTTCTAACAGAGCTCGGTGTATACGTGCAATTCCTTTGTTGTGCACAGTCAGTTGCCACTTGCCAATCATTTACAATTTAAACAAACGCGATGGCATTTTTGCGGCGGTTTACCTCACCATATCTGAACAAGCAATAACTGTCAATGACAGTTAACTTCCAACAATATTGCCCGAATTCACAAAGGAGGTTTGTCGACAAACCGAGGTTAATGTACGTCATATGACGAGTTTTGACGCGTTTTTTACAAACCTGGTTTGTAAAAACGCGTCGAAACGTGTCATATGACGCACAAAAACCAAAGGTTTGTCGACAAACCTCCTATGTGAATTCGGGCCTATATGTTTGGAGGGTATTTGCCAAGCTTAATGATTATATGTAAAACTCATCACTTTTAATAATCTGAGAGTGTGTTCTTACAGCATTTCATTTCCCAATTCTATTACGATATATTATCTAATGGGTCACAGTTTCGCTACCTGGGGGACCGGTACATACATTAATTGATAATTCATTCAACCACATTTGGTGTCAGCAAATTATGAGGCATTACACAAAAGTTCTGTGTGAATCTAATGATTTGACTGCCATACATGGTCTTTCCCCTTCCCACACAGGTTACACTATTTGCTAGTTCAGAATCATAGGACTTAATCATTTCTTAAGAATCTAGGCCAACTGTTTGTGGTTACCTGTGTAGAAGTTTGTCACACTGATAATCAGCATCTCCTTGTTGAGCATCAACTTGGCCGACCGAACTGTCAAGATAAAAAAAATGAGAACAGTTACTCGCACAACTTACAAAGGATGAGAACTGCTATAATAATAAGACACTGTAATAACATTTATAATGCGCACATATCCACCCCAAGGGATGCTCATGGTGCCAATTTGGAAATTATTACCCTGGCTTTAGCTGTGCTGCCATTACAGCGCTCTAGCATTTCAAGGAATTAATTCCTACCTTTAATCCCTGCCATTAATTGATGCCTTTCATAAGGCATGTTCACATACTAGGTAAACCACAGCTTTGAATTCACTTCTCATTTCTGTATCTTATAACACACAGATAGTGAGTATGCATAGGACCTTTGTTGCATGTACAGGCCTGATAAAAACCTGATTTAAATCGGTTTCCCAATTTTTTTTATTGATTTTTTCCAAATTTTTTCCAAATTTTTTTCCCAATTTTTTTTTCTTCCCTATTTTATCCTGATTCCCTTCTTATTTTCTCTATTCTTCCCTATTTTGCCCTATTTTCTTCCCAATTTTGTCAAATTTTGTCCTAATTTTTTTATTCGAAAGGGGGAATGTTGTTAGATGCCATTTTTCCCTGCGAATACCTTTTTTTTTTTTTACTCAAGGGGGGCGTGGTTGAGGGGAAAACAAAAAACCTATTTTTTTGTTAGTGCTCACTATCACCCCTGAGGTAGCTATCTTTTTTCATGTACCCCCAGCATGCCATCCATTTACACCATAAAAAAAAACAATTATGCGACTGTTTCCCATGTCATGTGTTAATGTGCCATTAAGGGATGACAATCACTAATACTATAACTACAACTTACATCCTTTTTCATGTTTATCACATTCTTCACTTGTTGATGCAGCTGCTTGATAATGTACAATTAGGAGCCGTAATTGTACATTGTCAAGCAGCTGTATCAACACAACACAGTTAATCACTGTATTCTTTTAATTTTTATAACAACCAGTATGACAGTGAGTATGCACAAGACCTTTAAGAAATTCTAAAATTATTATCATTTTGTTTTCTTCTTAGAAATAGATCACCAAGTGTTTGCTGAAAGGACTTATTCTATAGGTCTCCCAAAGCGCTCAAAAATATCTTTAACTGTAACGGTATTTCAAATCCTACACGGGTCAAGCAAGCAGGTGAAATATGAAAATGTAATAAGCTGCCGAAGCCTTGATATCAAAGTGCTTTTTTTTATTATTTTTTTTTATTTGCTGTTAGCCATAGATAGATAAAGAGACTGTATGCTGTTGGATAAAGATGATTGGTATTTAATGACATATAGAGCAGCCTTTTAAGACAAAAATACAGAAACGACCATGGTTATTTTAGACAAATTTGACTGTTGTTCCTTCAGCACACCACTATAATTCTATGATACTTTTTTTTAATTTGTCAATGTTAGAGTATATATTTGAGTATATATATATATATATATATGCAGTGATTGTAATATTCAGTGATTGTCATATTTATGATTGCATGGATACACTGGTAAGTTTTAAATAAGGTGGGCTGCTCGGTTATCAATACCCATACAATACTTTTCAATATGAGATGAATATTCACAAGAGTTTGTAAAAAGGTCAGCGATCAACACTTCATCATTGTTTGATTGTATGGGCATGTTTCACAAATGTAAATGTAACTAGATGGATCTTCGATAATGCCTCCGCCATGGAATGATTTTAAAAACCAAAACATTATTAAACAGGTTCTCAGAATATTGTGATTACAAGCTATTTTTGTTATACATGTATGACCCTTTGATCTTTGACCTCATGACCATAAAATCTAATCAGTGCATTGGCTCTGAAAGATACATACATGTCTTGAGTTTAATAGTAATCCATCCGTCAGTTCTATTGTTTACACGTTCACAAGCTATTTTTGCATACATAATGAGCCCCATGACCTTTGAACTTAGACCTCATGACCCAAAATCTTATCAGTCTATTGGCTCTGCAAGTTAGATGTCTTGAGTTTGATGGTAATCCCTCCATTGGTTCTAATGATAATGTAATCACATGCTATTTTTGCATACATAACTAGCCCTGTGACTTTTGACCTTTGACCTTGTGACCCCAAAATCTAATCAATTCATTAGCTCTGCAAAATACATACATGACCTAATTTTGGCAGGAATCCAATTGGTTCTTCAGATAACGCGATCACGAGAACGTGACGGACGGACGGACAACCCAAAAACATAATGCCTCCGGCTACTTTGTAACGGCGGCATAAAAAATGGTCGTACAGCTGCGATATCTCCTACATGTAGGTATAACAAAAGTTATGGCATGACGTGAAAAAAGGGACACATGCGCACATGCATATATACATATATATATATATTGTGTGTATAATTGTTCTGTGGCCAGCCCACCTAATTGTCACCTGTCCGGGTTCAATTCTACTTGTGTATTTTGAGTATCATGACACTGCCGGTGGGACAGCAGCGTTTCTCCCCGATCTTGTAGTTCAGTACGTGGTGTCATTTCAAGGCTCTCACTTTCGTTGTCTGACTTATCAAAATAATAATAACATTAATGATAATGATGGTGAAAATGATAATAATAATGTCGATAATGAAAACATTTTATGTATTTTGTTTTGTATAGCGCCTTGAGTAAGTTTTTAGATAAGTGCGCTTTATAAGTATTTATTATTATAATTATTATTATTATAACAACAGCAACTATAAGAATGATAATAATGATTTTGATAATAATAATAATAAAATGAAAAAAATAAAGGGATTGAAGCTTTTGAGAAAAGAGAAAAGCATTAAATCTAGGGGATGTTTTTAACATGAACTGACAATTTTTGGAACATTTTCAACAGACCTATAACAAACGTGAACACTATACTAAAAGACCAATAATAATACCTTTATCAACATCACTTACTAGTACTTGTAACAGATGTTTGGAATAAAGCTGTACATACCAGTATAGAGTATCGAAGTGTGAGTCATACTGGCCAAGTTGTCAAGGTTGCTGGTTCCCAACAATTGTGTGGCACACAATGGCATGGTGATCACACCAGCGCCAAACAACACTGAATTTGCCCTGCTCTAGCCTGTTGCTTGAATAATTTTGCAATGAACCTCATGTGCAGGCTCTGTTGTTTGGAACCAGTAACCTGGACGACGAGCAAATATGACATTAGTAGTTCAGTTCTCTATGCAAAGCTCTGATGCATATACTCACCAAATGCTGTTACTGCTTTCATTAAAAGCCCAAAACCACCTGTTGGTCCTCTGTTCACAAAACGAAATGATTGAATAGTATTAGACTATGATATGAGTTGAAGGAAAGATGTGAGGAGATAAAAACAGATAATCTTGTCTCATTTGTCCATTGAATTATTCTCCCATTCGCTACCCATCTCTCACTCTCTCTCGCTCTCTCACCCTCTCCTTCTCTTTCTTTTCTTTACTTGCTGTCACGTTCATGCTTTATTCAGTTTTGGCATATCTCTCCGCCCCCCCCCCCCACCCTTCACGTCTCTCTCTCTCTCTCTCTCTCTCTCACTCTGAACCTCTCTTTTTCATGCACATTCACAAAATATATTATTTATTCCATTGACTTTTTTTAAGCTCAATTATTCCATTCAGAAATGAGACACAGTACCACATTGAAAAAAAATCTCTTTCCCGGTATCTTGTTTGCAATAATCTTTACAGGGGCATTTTTAACATTTTGGGGGCACATTGCATTGCTTTCAGCCCCCATCTATTTTACCCTACAGTGCACTTACTCTTCTTGAATTGAGAGTGAACTGAACTCTTCGGGTGGTTTGGTGAGGAACAGGAACGTCAGCACTCCCACTCCACTGATGACAGTCAGAACGATGAAAATGATTGTTCTCAGGTGAGCTGTCAAGAGAAGGGCAAAGGTCATGAGGAAGGTCGTTTTCAAGGTCACAGTGAAGGTCATCAGGAAGATACAACTTCACATGATCCATCTTCATGAATGGTGATCTCACGCATGCTCCAGTGATATTCAATCTATGCTTTATTTCGTCCAAGATATTGGGTTAGGGTTTAGTGATTGTGTGTTACGATAGATGTAAGGTTAGGATTTGACAAATATTGTCTCCAAAATTCTTCATGTTACAAAGTTTCTACATCCCTACACAGAACTCTTGTAATGAGTAAAGTTTCACAATCATTACCTGTCGCAAAAGTGTCTGGTTTTAAAGTAAGTTATGATAATAGTAGCAAATCATAGTAACATTTATGGCACTTAATATTAATGTTCCTAGGCACTGTATTATTATGTCCCTGGCATTAGGCCTTCAAAGAATTTCATCCTACCCAGAACCCATTTCATCACCTGGGTGGAGAGTGATGAATGTAGATCTTGCCAATGGACATCACACTATAAGAGATGAATATTTTTACTTACTAGTGACTGAATTGATGCCTTCCATCTCAAGGAAAAAGAAGAGGTTTCCGAAAAGGAGACTGCCCTGAAGCATGGCCCAGAATAAACCGCTGTTTCTCCCCATCGTCTGCTCAGTGGAGTTCTCCGTTAGGTAGTTCCCTTGGGCCGTCCAGATAACTGGAAAAATTCAGTAAACATAACATTTTGATATTTAATTATTTTTTTATAGTAACTTGTCTTGATTTGTTATGGGCATTCAGACACGAGCATCGTTTTCCAAGTTTTATTTCCTGATTGATCTACTGTACTGAGTTATTGGTTAGGTAGTTAGCACTCCCACTCCACTGATCACAGTCAGAATGATGAAAATGATTGTCCTCAGGTGAGCTATCAAGAGAAGGGCAAAAGTCATGAGGTAGGTCATGTCAAAGGTCACAGTGAAGGTCATTATGATGGTTATCAGTTAGGTAGTTCCCTTGGGCCATCCAGATAACTGCAAAATTAAGTAAACATCATAAAATTTAGATATTGAATTAGTTTCTTATAGTAACTTGTCGTAATTTGTTATGGGCGTTCAAACAGGAGCATTGTTTTCCATGTTTTCGCCTCCTACGTCCTGGTTTATCTACTGTACTGATCTCTACTTTTGCCACATCGTACAGACCATGAGAAGGAGTTAAATGTGAATTTCATTTTAGAATACATATTCTGCTGGTGACCAGATATTTGCCACTGCAATGTTTACCATGAGCTTCATTTTGACAAAGATATAGTGGTAGCCAGGGTAGGGCTAGGGTTAAGGTCCCACCAGGGTTTCAAATTAAGTAAATAGTCAGGGTTAGAGTTACACACCATAGGACTGAAGTTAGGAATTTGGTTATTGTACTAAACTAACTATACAGCAATTTTGCTCTGAGACTGTGTAGTAGAACCATTCTGCTATTAATTTTAATTTTTAAACATCCAACATTCAGATTCAGATTAATTCTATTGGTCCATTTGGAAATTCAGTTTGTACTTTGTCGGCATTGAAACACAATGCCTTGAAAACATATACCGGTACTCGATTCTCATGATATTTTGAATATGAGAAAAGTAGAATAGGAATCTTTTTCAGTGGAAAGGTATAATATGATGTTCTTCCAAACTGACATAAAAAGAATGAGAAAGCTCACAAATAATGATTTTTTTTTCAACTTGACCAAAAATGAACCTTCTCTTTGACTGTTATTGTCATTACCTGCAGCAGCCAAGCCCAATAGTCCAGAGAGGGAGTACAGGACCCATGGTATCGGATGCAGGAAGCTGGCGACGAACCCCGTGTACACAACAGCACTTAGGAACATGGAACACCTCGCACCAAGCAGAGCAACAACAGAGGGCGCTATCCAGTTGGCTGCGGCAAAGACAGCGTAGATGATAGCTAAACTGTCATAGCCACTTCCTTGGAAGTCTTTATCATCCCGTAATACAACAGTCTGTGGAAGAAAAGTAACAATTACCGGTACTTAAAACTTAACCTACAAACACAAATCTAGGAGGGGGGGGGGGGGGGGGGGGATTCTATTCACAGATAAAGATACAGTGTTGTAAGTTAAAGATAAATAACAGTGTTGTAAATACTGTTGTAAAGATAAAGATAACAGTGTTGTAAATTTTCATGTTTCAACATGATCAACATCAACATTATACAGAAGAAAAGGTAGTCATCCTGTTTCCCTCTTGTTTTATTAAAGTTCTGATGTCATACAAGTCAACCACGTCAAAAGTTGCTTCACCATTTGAAATGATCGGTTTAGAAACAGAATAAACAGAAAGTCTGCAGTTCGTTGTGAGGACAGACTCTTCTCGAGCTCTGGATTCGGTGTGTAGGCCTAAGTCTATACCGCTTAGCACGTAGGCCTATACCGGAGCGTTGGTGCGGGCGTTGCTGTACTGTCGCGTCGGTGCAGCCATCGGAGATCAAGAATGGAGAATGAAGAGTGAAGACCCAACAAAGAAATATCAACATTCTAGCTTACCTGTATCATTCCACATGTTTGAAATGCTGTAAAAACCAGCAAGAACGCAACACCTAGGATAGTTACGTTGTAAAACGCTTTTCCACCAGCACTAAGTGCCATTTTGACGACAAAATAGGGACACGATCAGAGAGACATCGACCGTCTTATTTCTACTCTCTAGCTCTATGAACGTCACGTGAGAATCGAGTCGGCTATAAGTAGTCTTGCGAAACCATACTCATTATTTCAAAATATAAAGAAGACAAAATTAACATCAAACAACTATCAAATAGTTACACAGCTAGTAAACTCTCAAACTCATAACAAATACAATAGAAATAAATTAAAAACCTCCGTGTCAGATATATTCACGTAATTTAGCGAATTCACATTGTCGAAAATATCAATTTTTAAAAAAGTGTGAAGACGTCTTGTTTTGGGGCTGTAAGAAATTTGACACCCGGGAAATCCCCATTGTTTATCTAGTGGGGGTGTGTCCACAAAGTTTTTGCAAAGCCCCCGAGTGAATTAATGCGTAAAAGAAATGCTGAAAATGTTCAATGTATTTTGAACATGTCATAATTTTTATTTATATGTCAACGTCAAAACTATATACAGACTTTTATATACCGATTGGGTTTCCATGGCTATATGTTTCGTCTATAGCTGAGCGTGGGCGGCACCTTAATTCAAACCCTGTTCCAAAGGGGCAGAGCCTATTAGGGAGGGGGGCACAAGGGGGACATGCCCCCCCCCCCTATTCAGCCCTTACAAAAAATGCAGTACCTCATGCTTCATGTACGAGTCGTATACATCCCCCCCCCCCCATCCACCCACCCCCGGACTCCTAACGCGCGTTCGTGTCACTTAACCAGGCCGGAGCATGTATGCAGTGGCGTACTGATGGAGGAGGGGGACAGTCAGGCGCGGATCCAGGAGTTCTTAGGGGGGGGGCCCACTTTTTTTTGGTCCCCCCAAAAAATCGCAACGCCAGCCGCTGAATAAGCGGGGGGGGGGGGGGAGGTGAAGAGGACACCTTTTTTTTGGGGGGGGGGGTCTCGAAATTTGAAAAACTGACATTTTGTTCCGTTGTGGGGGAGGGGGTGAGGTCACCTTATTTAGGTCAGCCATTGGCATAATTTAAAAAAAAATAAAAATAAAAAAAAAGGCGGGGGGGTTTGCTCCAAGATACACAGTCATATAACAAAAACCGAAGGGTGGTTCACCCCCCCCCCCCCCCTGCGTACGCACCTGCTCGTCTGAATACAATTTTTTCCCTCCCGCGCCAAGCGCGGAAGCTTTTACGTTTCATTAAATCATTAGAGAAAGAAGACGATTCGTTGTACCGTTTTTTACTCTTAATCCTCGTCTAAATTCACCCCCCCCCCCCTCCCGCGCAAAGCTCGGAAGCTTTTACGTTTCATTAAATCATTAGAAAAAGAAGAAGATTCGTTGTACCGTTCTCGACTCTTAATCCTCGTCTGAATTCAGTTCCCCCCCCCCCCCTCCTATCCACGCGCGCAAAGCGCGGAAGCTTTTACGTTTAATTAAATCATTAGAGAAAGAAGACGATTCGTTGTACCGTTCTTGACTCTTAATCCTTGTCTAAATTCAGTTACCCCACCTTCTGCGCGAAGCGCAGAAGCTTTGACATTTAATTTAATTATTAGAGAAACAAGACGATTTGTTGAAACGTTCTCGACTCTTAATCCTTAAACATGAATTTTGTCTGCTCCTTTTTCTTCATACGTCCTCTTCCTTTTTTCTCCTCTATTTTTTTTGGGGGGGGCCGCCCCCACCCCCCCCCCCCCCCCCCTGGCTACGCGCCTGCGGTCAGATGAACATCTTTTGATACCTTGTTCGCTCCCGGAAACTCATGGGTTGAAGGAAAATTACGGTCAGATAAGCATTCAGGGGCCCGCCTCAGGGCCCCTGGTGGGGTCGAGGGTGCGGAAACCCCTGAATCTCAGGGGTTCCAGGCATTTGATTACGGTCAGATGAACATATTTTTATACCTTATTTGTGACACTGGCAGGACACTGATTGGCGTGAGGTCCAGCGGGCGGAGCCCCCAGAAGCTCAGGGGTTTTAGGCATTACATTACCGTCAGATTTGCATCCAGTGGGTCCAGGGGGCAGAGCCCCCGGAAGCTCAGGGGTTTTAGGCGTTTAATTACGGTCAGATGAGCAATATTTGATACCTTATTTTGATGTGACACTGGTAGTTAACTATTCTTTCTTTCTTTCTATTTCTCTTTAAAATGCTTTTCCAAAAAAATTGGGAGGGGGGGGGGGGGGAGCTGGAGGCTCCCGATCCCCGCCGTTCCGCGGGCCCTGACATGTAGGCATCTCAAGAAGCATATTTCTTGCCTGGCTGTTAATTTACAAACGCATACAAAAGTATAATTTACTAAAAAATGAGAAAAAATCTCGGAAAATTATGTCATTTCAGCATTACGTGTAAACCACCGTTATGGAATTAGAAATAAACTAAATTTTATTTTCCCCGAGCCCCCTCCCCGATCAATACACCAGTGCTCCGCCCCCCCCCCCCCCCCCCATCTACACTTTGCTGGCGGAAAAATCGCAACTGATCTCCCCTACCTTTCTTATTTCTCTATTTTTCTTTCCCTTTCTCTCCTCTTTCCCTTTCTTTCCCTTCCTTCTCTCTCTTTAAGGTTTGATGGGAAGGGTGGGGGGGCAAGGTCTTTTCGGCCCCCACCCTTCTCCACACGTTGTTGGCGGGATTAACTTCAAATGATCTATATATATCCCCTTCTTTTCACCTTTTTTCGGTCCCTTTTAGCTCTCCTTTTTCCTTTTCCTTCTTTCTCTCTTTTTTTTAGCGGGGTGGGGGAGGCAAGGGCATATTGCCCCACCCCCACCCCGATCCACAACTTGTTGGCGGAAAAATTGCAACTGATACCCCTTTCTTTCTATTTCCTTCCTTCTCTCTTATTTTTTTGATTGGGGGAGGGGGAGGCGAGGCTCTTTCGCCCCCCTCCCCCGATCACTTCTTCCCCCTTTTCTTTTCTTCTTCCTCTTCTTTCTTTCCCTTTCTCTCCTCTTTCCCTTCTTTTCCTTCTCTTTCTCTTTCTTTTTTTCCTCCTTTTTTCCCTTCTTTTTTTTTTCCTTCCTTTTTTTCCCCTTCTTTTTTTTTCCTCCTTTTTTTCTTCCTCCTTTCCCCCCCTTTTTTTCCCTTCTTTTTTTTCCCAGGGGGGGGGGGGGGCGGCCCCCCTGGATCCGCCACTGGGGACAGTTACATCCCCCAATCGTATCCAAACGTGGTTTATTTCTAATTCGATACCAGTGATTCACAAATGTTACTGAAATGACATAATTTTCCGGGAATGTTCCTCACTTCTTAGTAAATTATACTTTTTAATATAATTATGTTGGAAAATGACAAATTCCCAAATTTACAGTCAGGCAAGAAAAATGCTTATTTAGAGGCCTACATGCTTCTGGGGCTCCGCCCCTGGACCCCACGCCAAGGCCTGCCAGTGGCACAAATAAGGTATCAAATATGCTCATCTCACTCAGTAATTAAACGCCTAAAACCCCTGAGCTTCCGGGGGCTCTGCCCCCTGCACCCCAGCTAGGGCCCTAAAATGGGCGTCTGGATGCTCATCTGACGGTAATTTGATGCCTAAAACCCCTTACCTTCTGGGGGCTCAGCCTATGGACCCCACTCCTTTTAGTGACCTGTCAGTGTCACAAACAAGGTATCAAATATGCTCATCTGACCGTTATTAAATGCCTAAAACCCCTGAGCTTCCGGGGCCTTTGCCCCTGAACCCCACCTAGGGCCCTGAAGGCCGCCCCTGGATGCTCATCTGATGGTATTTCCCCCCCCCCCTGCTTAGTCGATCCTTCACGTTTGCAACCCCCCCCCCCCTTATTGAAAAATCCTGGCTACGCCTGTGGGTGCCATGGAGTGGGCCGAAGGGATCCTGAATAAATTATCTCAGGAATAATTTTGTAATCGGGAAAATTGTCTCATTGACTATCCTGGATACGCGTCTAGATGTATAGCTAGGCATTTTTTTAAAGATTGGGAATGAACTTTTTTTTTGCAAAAGTCATGTTGGTGAAAAAATAGAGGGATTGAAAGCTGGTCTATACGCTGCAAGCTAAGGAACCTGTCTTAAAGGAGCATTCCAAATCGCCGGCTCAGTGGTAGAGGAGTATAATATAGGTGGTCTTGTACTTTCGTAACTGGGAAGTATTGGGTTCTAAAACAAGTTGATGCCCTTTGGTGAAGCATTAATCCTCATTATCAATCTCTCGGAGAGGACTTGAAACCGCCGATCGGTCCCCTAGTTGCTTACTTACAAGCATAAACATGCGTTCTTGGCAGTCAGGTTAAAAATTTAAATCAAAATTAATATTTTAAAAACCCGGGCTAAAGGGGCACAAAACACTCAGGAGATATTACAATTTCCCGGCGTATATTTTCATTTTTTGCCCGGAGTTTGATAAAAATGCTGATGATTATGATGATTAACCAAAATACTTTGGTAAAAATTTAAAAAAAGGGTGGGAGATGATTGTACATATACCATCAAAGCCTATAGTGTAGGGTACCCAACAAAGTTTTTTTTTTTTTTTTTTTTTTTTTTGTTTTTTTTTTTTGGGGGGGGGGGCGCACCTATAACAAAAAGTGACACCGTCCTACAAAGGAAACCTTCAAAGCGAACATATACCACTTTTGGACATTGGTATATACCCCTATATAGTTATTGCCATGAATGTGATTACATTATCAGGGATCATATCAATATATGTTTCTCTCTTTAAATGGTCCAATTAAAATACAAAATGTACTATAAAGTTGGTTGTGATGTTGCAGGCCAAAAAATGAAAATGAAAATTCCAACGGCATTTGAAAGATAATACTTATTTAGAAATTCCCTCAAAAAGAAAAAGGCTTGAAAATATCTTTAAGTGGGAAAATAACGACCATTAGTTGTCGAATCGATTTTAGTGATTGCAATCCATTTAGTAATAGTCTGATTTTCAGACCTTTGTGTCGAATGGTCGTACGTTTTGTGCTGCGTAAAGAATCAATCAGTTTAATTGTGTCCATTACAAGAAGTGGGTTATTGATGCAGACAAAATAATTATATGTTATCGGAACAAAAAAATCAAAAGTCAGTCACAGTCGCCCAATAATGTCTGACAGTGAGGTTTAGAAAGTAAACGGGTTTCCTTGCATAATATTTTGAATATTAGGACACTGCTAACGTATAGGACATACACGATATATTCATAATTCCTGCAATGTACTACAGAATTTGATGTTGGCTGCAACTGGGACATAGTACATTTGATTTGCGAGCGAGCAAAAATGTTATGATTTGTGAGGTCGCAATGCAAAAAATTACATCTTATAAAGAGGATAAAGAACAAATCCTATGAGTTCTAAGTGCGATTTAATCATGAAAGACTGAAAATACCTTTTTATAAGTAAACTAATATTATATCAAATATAAAGGCGAGCGAGCTTTGGGAAAAGTTAAGAAAAAAGGGATTCTATTCGCTTTACATGAAGGAGAAAGGAAAACGAGGCACTTATCCAAAAGGGTACGTTTGGACAGAGGACACTTGTTAGAAAAGAAAAGGCGCACGTGTCAAAGTAAAAAGGGCAATTATATCAGAGGTGAACATGGGGCACTTCGAGCAGTTGAAAAGGGACACCCACCAGAGATAGAAAACGGCATTAGATATGAGAATAGAAGAGGGGCATCTGTCGAAGGAAAAGCAGCACCTTTTAGGTTTTAATAGGGAATTTATCAGAGGTGAAAAGGGGCATTTATGGAAAGGGGAAGGGGCTCATATAAAAAAGGAAAAGTGACATTAATCTAAAAGAAATAGGGAACGTATTAGAAATGAAAATAGGCACGTGTCAAAGTAAAAAAAAAAGGGCAATTATCAGAGGTGAATAGGGATATTTCTCGCACTTAAAAAAGAGGCACCAACCATAGATGGCACTTATGAGAATGGAAAAAGGGGCACATGTTATAAAGTAAGACTAAGAGGGACATTTGTTGAAGGAAAAAGGAGTAATTTAAAAGATTTTGATAGGGGCATTTACATAATAACAAAAAGGGAGCTTAATAGAAAGGTAAAGGGGCACATGTAAAAATAATAGTAGCATTTATCAGGAGGGGTAGGGTCATTAATTACAAAGGAAAGGGGGCACTGGTCAGAGTAAAACTTGTACCTCTCAGATTAGAATAGGGGCAATTATCAAACGTGAAAAGGGGCATTTATGAGAAGGAGAAGTGGCAAAAAAATGAGGGAGGGGGTACTTATCACAATGAAAATGGGCACTTATAAGAAAGGAAAAAGGGCACATGTAAATAAAAAGGGGGCACTTATCAAAATGGGAAATGGCACTTCTTTCAAAGGAAAAGGACAATTATTGTCAAGGTAAAAGGGGGCATTTTAATAAAGCACTTTTGGGGGTACATGAGAAAGCAAGGGGGGCTACCTGTATTACTTGACGTAGACTAGATCCGAGCGTTTTTCAACCGGGTGCCGCGGGTGCCGCGAGAGAAATTAAATAAAAAAGCTATTTTTGGATTCATTGTAAAATAAACGTCAATTTCGTGAAAACAAAATATTAGAAACCGCTATGTATTTTCATGATGAATTAACATTTTACAGACGCGTAGTAAGTGTCCTGTGGAATCGATCGCGAAATTTAGAAACAGTATAATTTCCAATAACTTCCAAATTGAACCTAGCTGGAAGGACGATGCCAAAACTGTTTATTTCTCGATCAGAAGGGTGCATGTCGCGACTATTAAAAGGTTAAAAACCCTGTACTAGATCCTGAGAAAGATCCCGAGAAGATAGGTACCCCTATATAGGAAGTGTTAATTGGCATTTCCGGTTAATTAGTTAATCCTTCCGGTTAATTAGTTAATCCTTCCGGTAAACAATAGGGGAGTGTTAATGAGTTAATTGGGGTGTCCTTCCGGCGGAAGTTACGTAATGAGGGTACATCCCCTGGAGGAAGTTCTTTTGTTTACATCATTCATTCATTCATGGAGAGGTGGAGGATGGACGTGTGTAGGGTACGAGGGACAAGGACCAAATGACCAAACAATGGGCCACCCGGCATGTATGTTGAATGTGTGTGTTACCGACCAATGAGAATGCGAGGATTTTTTTAGAAAGGAAGTGACCCAAAGTTGGTACTTGTTTGTGATTGGACGAGAGAAAATGGTGAACCTATGGGCAAGTATCATATGACATCTAACTGTCGTTGAGTCAACATCGCTTTGTTTTTGTTGTAATACTGGCCAGATTCTATAATGTACCATGATTTCTACATGTGATTTAATGCACAAGCTCCGGGCATGTACATGCCTGGAAGAAGTATCGAGTTTTCGTGAGGAATATTATGAAGACCTTGAACCAGAACAACATGCTTTGGTATTTGCAAGGTCATCCTACTTTTTGAGTTTGCAGGACTTGGAAGATGGTAAGTGCTAATCATATTTATTTTCATATTCATAATTGAATAATTTTGTAGTGTTACCATATCGGGTTTGCATCTGGAATTCAAGAAGGAGATTAAGCATCGAAAATCCATAATAGGCAACGATGTGACATAATGAGTGTTTTTTTTTGTTCAATGCAAATTAAATAATGATTGATATCTCCATTTGAAACATAAACTCACGTGTAAGCAAAAAAAAAAAAGATTTATAAAGTATTATAAAGTATACGTTCAAATTATAAATTTAATTAAATTATTCAATTATACTTGTAGGGATTACCGATGATGATTTAGTGGATGTGTTCGTCGAGAACCAACAGCCCCCTCTCCCCCTAGCAACGCAGCACCAGCAAGGTCTTCCACATGACGCAGCTACTCCATGGCAACCAAATTTTGATGACGGTTAGTGTATACTTCATTTATATATACATCAATGCAAAGGATCATTGGATGAATGTTCATTTTTTTTTTTTTCATGTATGAAGACAACACAATACATTGTAGCGGTTGAATGAAACTTTTTATCCGTTCTTATATATCTTTTTTTTTTTTTTTTTTTTTTTATCTCATAGGCATTTCCGATGACCATTTAATGGAGATGGACATCAATACAAATAAGCCATGTGACGCAACATCAGTACCTGGCCCCTCTAACCGCCAACCAGCAGCAACAGCAGTGGCTGGACCCTCCCGCCATCCAGCATCAGCAGTGGCCGGACCCTCCCGACAACCACCAGCAGTGGCTGGACCTTCCCGTCAACCAAGAGCAGTGGCCGGACCCTCCCGACAACCACCATCAGTAGCCGGACCCTCCCACAGTCAACCAAGAGCAGCAGCAGTAGCCGGACCCTCGTCTTTTCATGTTGGGGGATCTAAGAAACGTGTTGTAGATGCACCGCCTGCAAGAGAACCCAATCTCCCTACTCATCACGTGACCAAAGTGAGTCAAAAACATGTACGCAAATACAATGCTAATGTAACTGATTACACCGTTTCTTTCCAACCCATAGAAAATAACGGTCCCATGATAGAAATGATGCCACGCGTAAATGAGATGTTTGAAAATATCATTGAAGAGATGGTTGAGGGGGTAAATGATAGAGATTTTGTTAGGATTGTTTTCAATTCCCCACAATTAGATAGACCCGTTAGTATGCCATTTGTAAGGAGGGATCAAATGAATCACGAAGCATTTGCAACCAAACTTGAGAATACTATTCAATCGAATGATAAGGTAAGCTTGGACGAAACAGTCTCTTTCAACATATTACACATGGCTATGCCAAATGGTGGTGGTTCCAATGTGAAGTGCTTAACCATCGAAGAGACATTGTCCAGAAAAAGATGCATCATCAGGATGAAGAATAAAGATAACATGTGTTGTCCAAGGGCTATCGTAACTGGCATTGCCCGGATTGAAAAACACCCTAATTTTGAGTCGATCAAACGTGGTTACAAACAGCAAAGGGAATATGCCATTGAGCTGTATAAACAGGCCAAACTTCCAGAAAATACCAAATGTGGCATCGAAGAGATTAAACTCTTCGAAAAGACGGAATTCATGGCCGGTTTCAGGGTGGTGGTTGTTTCAAAAGAGCACTTAAACTTCATTACGTATGCTGGCCCCGAAGACAGGCAGCATACCATTTATCTGTATGTTCATGACAATCACTTTGATCTCATTACATCAATGGCCGCCTTCTACAACAAGTCATATTTTTGCCACGAGTGTTTGGTAGGATACGACAAGAAACTCAGACACGACTGCATTTTCCGCTGCAAACTTTGCAAGGGAGATGACTGCCCCGCCTCCAATGACCCCGATTCCTACAAATTGTGCAAAAAATGTAACCGTAACTTTAAGAATGCTCATTGTTTGTCAAATCACAAGCAACATGGCGTATGTGACCTGTACTTCAAATGCCCCGAGTGTCAGATTCTTTGTAACAGAGAGACGCTTAGAAAGCATAAAGCCAAGCACATTTGCGGCCAAACTTTCTGTCGATTATGCAAAAAGTATGTTAATCCAGGTCACAAATGCTACATTCAAAAAGAACCACAACGGGAAGAAAAGGATGACTCTTCCGATGAGGAGGAGGATGAGGTTAGGCGCACATTGACAAATGAGGAGATGGAGGAGTTAGGGCTTAATAACGCAACGGAGAGAGTTATGGTTGATGATGATGATGATGATGTTACTGACCCTGGTAGGAAAACCGCTGGTCTAAGAAATCTCAATAAATACGTCTTTTTTGACTTTGAGTGCACCCAAGAAACGGGTCTGCATGTTCCTAACTATTGCGTGGCCCATAGGGCATGTAAGCATTGTGCTGAAAAGCCATTTGAAGAAGAGTGCAAACGCTGTGGGAAGTTAGAGGACAAGCAAAAGGTTTTCAAAGGTCCTAATACCGGGGATGAATTCTGCGAGTGGGTATTTGGATCCAAAGAGAATTCACGCTCTGTTTTCATTGCTCACAATTTCAAGGGGTATGATGGTGTTTTTATCCAAGATTATCTCTATCGGAATTGCATCATCCCCAACCTCATACTTGCTGGAGGGAAAATCATGAGCATGGATGTTTCATTCAATCAGATCAAATTCATTGATTCTTTGAACTTTTTTGCCATGCCCCTTTCTGCTCTTCCCGCTACATTTGGAGTGGAGGAATTGAAGAAGGGTTTTTTTCCGCATCTCTTCAATACGACAGCCAACACTCATTATCAGGGGCCCGTACCAGATGCCAAGTACTATCATCCATCTGGCATGTCGCCAAAAAAGAGGGAAGAATTCCTTGAATGGTATGAGAAGGAGGTTGCATCTGGAAAAGATTTTGTAATGGAGGATGAAATACATGCCTATTGTGTGAGCGATGTTGACATATTGAGGCAATGTTGCTTGAAATTCCGGAGCATGTTTCGAGAGATCACCAAACTCAACCCAGAGGATACGGGTGTTGACCCATTCTCGAAATGCATCACCATCGCTTCTGCGTGCCATTTGGTGTATCGGAGAAATTTCTTAAATGAAAACTCCATCGGTGTCATTCCTCCTCTTGGTTACGCACCAAAAGACATGCAGTCTAACAAGGCATTGAGATGGTTGGCGCATGTCGCGGAACAAGAGAATATCTACATTCAGCACGCGAGAAATGAAGGTGAAGTGAAAGTGGGTAGATATTACATGGACGGTTATTGCCTAGAAAACAAGACCGTGTACGAATTCAACGGTTGTTTCTGGCACGGCTGTCAAAAATGCTACTCATTCAACACAGACAGTGGTCGACCTGGAGTGAAGAAAACGATGGGGGAGCTATACCTCGACACGCTCGAGAAAGAAAGGTGCGTACAAAACATACTTAAAGATTGGAAGTACGTTACGATGTGGGAGTGCGACTGGAAAAAAGAAGAAAATTCCATCCCTCAACATATCAAGCAAAGGTCTACGATTCGCGAAAAGTGTCCACTCGCCGAAACTTGTTTACTTTCGTGACCCATCTCAAGGAACTACATGTTGTTGTTTTTTACATGATATTGTTTAAAAAAATATATATATCTGATAACGTTCCCTGAAAGTCGTACAAGCACAAAACTCGCGCATTATTTGAAAAACGGAGAAAAACATAAATACATTTGTATCACTTGACTCGAGATACTTATCCAATCACAACGTTTTTGACATTATCACAATACGGTATTCCACAAGCAACAGTCAATTAGATCATTTGTTTCATCAACGCAACACTATCAATGAATCATGGCTACCTTCATGTCGCGGATCGTGATGATAGTAGTGTATGGTTAATGGTGAAGGAATATATGCCTTTTAACTCACATGATGCTGTAGATATTCTTGTTGTTTTATGATAATGATAAACTAAACAAACTAAAATAAAATGTTTCGCCGGGAAATCTGGATTTTGATAGAAAGGTGTTTTTTTTACAATAGCTCACTTACATATACATAGCACTAGATGGGAATTTAACCACATAAACCATTTGTTTAACAATCCTTTTGATAAACTTGACTTGCAAGAAGCCTTGATTCTGAGCTTGATTTAAGTAGTTACAATCTTGTAAGAAAAGATAACAATATATCAGGTAGTGTTGTTGCTTGTTATATTAACTAGAAATTAGAATTTGATTTACAACTGCAAACATGATTTAAAACATGAGAACCTTGAAATGTTAAGGTTTGAAGGAAGATTTAAATATCCACAATTTCGTTTAATTGCTATTGTTTATCGAACACCTAGTTCTTCAACTGACTTCTATTCTAAAGCAGAACTCCAATTTAAAGGAGAAAAAAAAACCTTTACAATCTACTTCAAATGTTATTATCCTTCGAGATTCCACTTGTAATAATCATCATCATTGATACCCCCACCCCCTTGTCATCTAAACTGCCGAAGCAAACAGTTACTACTTGCTAGAATATCGAATATTAGTAACAATCTGCATTGATCTGATTTTACAGCCTTTGAAGCAGTAATATCATCATTTCTCGAACAAGTGAAACACGAATATAAATCAGGACTTGTATTGATCATTAAGTCTTCCCTACTTTGGAAATGTCGCATTTATAGATCATGTACTGCATTGCCAATAACTATTGGTTTTATCAGACACAATCGATATCTCTTGTCCCAAACGTGTTTTATTAATGACCTATAATAATATTCTTCTCTTTTCTTTTGTAAATCGTACATTAACTACTGTGAAAATACTGTGGCGAGGTGCCGGGTGCAATATGTAACATAACAAGAGTTCAAACATTTCAAACCCCAACTATGCAAGACTTGTATTTAACGCAGATTTCTACACCTCATGTTTTTTTTATGTTATCTGAAAATTCTTGGCAATCGGTTTGTCGGAGAATGGAGTACCACATTTTGTCTATAATATGCATATAATCCACACACAACAAAATGTATACCTTTGGAGCTGAAAACAATTATTATTCCGAGAATTTTGTACCAGTGTTCATTTATACGAGACATGCGGAACATTCCCTACTCTTAATCACAAGACCTACAACTGATTGTTTTACAAGATCCCTTCACTACTAAGGTTCACTCATGTGGAGTACCCTATCGCCTGATTTACGTACAAGTAAATTATCTTTATTATCATTGAAGATGTAATATGAACAGATAAGTATTGTGAATGCCCTCTGAGAAACGATTTCTGTCTTTTGATTCATATTTATATTGATATTGTATGACAGTATTGTCATATTTTGTAAACCTTTTTTGGGGAGTTATGCTGTGTCATTGTTCTAAATCTTAGTTTTGAATGTTTTTGTACTTTATTCTTGTTTCTATTGTATTATAATTTATATAATATGTTTTTTTCATTATAAATGCATTTGAACTATAAAGACAGGGCCCCCTTGGAAGATCATTATTCGATATTGAAAGGGCCGTCCAGTGCATTAAAAAAAAAATTGACAAAAAAAAATATATATATACAAATCGTTTCTTAAACATGCAACCATATAAAAGTTGTTCTCAATCTTGTCGGAACTTGTACATTATTACGAGAGAAAAATTCATGTCGAGTCTGTATAGAAACAAGGAATAACGCCCTTGACGTAAAGTAAAAAAAAATTAAATAAAGTAAGAAAATGTACAGGTATTAATACTTTTTTGCATCAAGTCTTTAAATAGGGTTAAACATATCGATTCGTACAAAATGATCCAACAAATTATACAAAATGTTAAAGAAAAGAATAACGTAATGACAGAAAGTTTAAAAAAATAAAAATAAGAATAAAGAAAGTGTACAGACGTTGATGCTTTTTTGTACATCAAGTCTTCAAAGGGGTGGGGGGGGGGGGAATGATCGAGTTTTGCAAAATAATCTTATAAAGAAAAAGAAATAACGTCTTGACAGAAAGTTAAATCAAAACAATTTAAAACAAATTTGTAAAAAAGCGTACAGGCGTTAACACTTTTTTTTTCTATCTAATCTTCAAAGTGGAAGGAAAAAAAAAGATTGGTTCGTGCAACAATGATCTTTAAAAAAAAAAAAAAAGTATAAAACTTATTTAAAAGAAAAAGAAATAACGTCTTGAGAGAATCAAAGTGAAAAAAAAATGATCCGTTCGTGCAAAATGACCAACCACAAAAAAAATGAAATGTTAAAACAAATTAAAAAAGCGTACAGGCGTTAACATCTTTTTGCATGAAGTCTTCAAAGTGGAAAAAAAAAAAGATCGGTTCGTGCAAAATTATCTTTTAAAGAAAAAGTTTTAAAACTTTTTTAAAGATAAAGAAATAACATCTTGACAGAAATTTAAACAAAAAAAACAAAAAACAAATGTTAAAACAAATTAAAAAAGCGTACAGGCGTTAAGACTTTTTTGCATCAAGTCTTTAAAGTGGAAAAAAAGATCGGTTCGTGCAAACTTATCAGTAAAGAAAAAGTTATAAAACTTTTTTAAAGATAAAGAAATATCATCTTGACAGAAAGTTAACACACACACACACAAAAAAAAAATGTTAATATAAATTAAGAAAAAAAGCGTACAGGCGTAAACACTTTTTTGTTTGCATCAAGTCTTCAAAGTGGAAACAAAAAAGATCGGTTCGTGCAAAATTATCTAATAAAGAAAATGTTATACACCTTTTTTAAAGAAAAAGAAATGACATCTTTAAAGAATCAAGTCTTCAAAGTGGACAAAAAAATGATCGGTTCGTGCAAAATGATCTACCAAAAAAAAATAAAAAAATAAAAAAAAATAATAATATTATGAAACTTTTAAAAGAAAAAAGAAAAAACGTAATGATAAAAAAGTTTTTTTGTTTAAAGAAAACAAAATAAGAAGGTGTAAAGGCGCTAATGCTCTTTGTACATCAAGTCAGGTGCTAATGCATTTGTAGGAATCGGGGTCATTGGAGGCGGGGCAGTCATCTCCCTTGCAAAGTTTGCAGCGGAAAATGCAGTCGTGTCTGAGTTTCTTGTCGTATCCTACCAAACACTCGTGGCAAAAATATGACTTGTTGTAGAAGGCGGCCATTGATGTAATGAGATCAAAGTGATTGTCATGAACATACAGATAAATGGTATGCTGCCTGTCTTCGGGGCCAGCATACGTAATGAAGTTTAAGTGCTCTTTTGAAACAACCACCACCCTGAAACCGGCCATGAATTCCGTCTTTTCGAAGAGTTTAATCTCTTCGATGCCACATTTGGTATTTTCTGGAAGTTTGGCCTGTTTATACAGCTCAATGGCATATTCCCTTTGCTGTTTGTAACCACGTTTGATCGACTCAAAATTAGGGTGTTTTTCAATCCGGGCAATGCCAGTTACGATAGCCCTTGGACAACACATGTTATCTTTATTCTTCATCCTGATGATGCATCTTTTTCTGGACAATGTCTCTTCGATGGTTAAGCACTTCACATTGGAACCACCACCATTTGGCATAGCCATGTGTAATATGTTGAAAGAGACTGTTTCGTCCAAGCTTACCTTATCATTCGATTGAATAGTATTCTCAAGTTTGGTTGCAAATGCTTCGTGATTCATTTGATCCCTCCTTACAAATGGCATACTAATGGGTCTATCTAATTGTGGGGAATTGAAAACAATCCTAACAAAATCTCTATCATTTACCCCCTCAACCATCTCTTCAATGATATTTTCAAACATCTCATTTACGCGTGGCATCATTTCTATCATGGGACCGTTATTTTCTATGGGTTGGAAAGAAACGGTGTAATCAGTTACATTAGCATTGTATTTGCGTACATGTTTTTGACTCACTTTGGTCACGTGATGAGTAGGGAGATTGGGTTCTCTTGCAGGCGGTGCATCTACAACACGTTTCTTAGATCCCCCAACATGAAAAGACGAGGGTCCGGCTACTGCTGCTGCTCTTGGTTGACTGTGGGAGGGTCCGGCTACTGATGGTGGTTGTCGGGAGGGTCCGGCCACTGCTCTTGGTTGACGGGAAGGTCCAGCCACTGCTGGTGGTTGTCGGGAGGGTCCGGCCACTGCTGATGCTCTTGGTTGACTGTGGGAGGGTCCGGCTACTGAAGGTGGTTGTCGGGAGGGTCCGGCCACTGCTCTTGGTTGACGGGAAGGTCCAGCCACTGCTGGTGGTTGTCGGGAGGGTCCGGCCACTGCTGATGCTGAATGGCGGGAGGGTCCAGCCACTGCTGTTGCTGCTGGTTGGCGGTTAGAGGGGCCAGGTACTGATGTTGCGTCACATGGCTTATTTGTATTGATGTCCATCTCCATTAAATGGTCATCGGAAATGCCTATGAGATAAAAAAAAAAAAAAAAAAAAAAAAAAAAAAAAAAAGATATATAAGAACGGATAAAAAGTTTCATTCAACCGCTACAATGTATTGTGTTGTCTTCATACATGAAAAAAAAAAAATGAACATTCATCCAATGATCCTTTGCATTGATGTATATATAAATGAAGTATACACTAACCGTCATCAAAATTTGGTTGCCATGGAGTAGCTGCGTCATGTGGAAGACCTTGCTGGTGCTGCGTTGCTAGGGGGAGAGGGGGCTGTTGGTTCTCGACGAACACATCCACTAAATCATCATCGGTAATCCCTACAAGTATAATTGAATAATTTAATTAAATTTATAATTTGAATGTATACTTTATAATACTTTATAAATCTTTTTTTTTTTTTGCTTACACGTGAGTTTATGTTTCAAATGGAGATATCAATCATTATTTAATTTGCATTGAACAAAAAAAAAACACTCATTATGTCACATCGTTGCCTATTATGGATTTTCGATGCTTAATCTCCTTCTTGAATTCCAGATGCAAACCCGATATGGTAACACTACAAAATTATTCAATTATGAATATGAAAATAAATAAATAAATATGATTAGCACTTACCATCTTCCAAGTCCTGCAAACTCAAAAAGTAGGATGACCTTGCAAATACCAAAGCATGTTGTTCTGGTTCAAGGTCTTCATAATATTCCTCACGAAAACTCGATACTTCTTCCAGGCATGTACATGCCCGAAGCTTGTGCATTAAATCACATGTAGAAATCATGGTACATTATAGAATCTGGCCAGTATTACAACAAAAACAAAGCGATGTTGACTCAACGACAGTTAGATGTCATATGATACTTGCCCATAGGTTCACCATTTTCTCTCGTCCAATCACAAACAAGTACCAACTTTGGGTCACTTCCTTTCTAAAAAAATCCTCGCATTCTCATTGGTCGGTAACACACACATTCAACATACATGCCGGGTGGCCCATTGTTTGGTCATTTGGTCCTTGTCCCTCGTACCCTACACACGTCCATCCTCCACCTCTCCATGAATGAATGAATGATGTAAACAAAAGAACTTCCTCCAGGGGATGTACCCTCATTACGTAACTTCCGCCGGAAGGACACCCCAATTAACTCCCCTATTGTTTACCGGAAGGATTAACTAATTAACCGGAAGGATTAACTAATTAACCGGAAATGCCAATTAACACTTCCTATATAGGGGTACCTATCTTCTATCCCGTCTCAGTCGTGTAGTGGTTAATCTCCTTGAATTAAAACTTGGCTTCACAGAGGGGGGTCGGGGAGAGAAATGTCAAACGCAGATTATATGACCATAACGTTTATGATATGAACCACCCCATTTAGCTCAATTAGCCCTCCCCCTCCCCCACCTCCCCCTCCCCCTCCCCCCTCCCCCTCCGACACACCCAAGTACCACCCTTGCCTAAAAATAGACTACATTATGCAATCCATACGGGAGAGATCGAGAGAAAAGTCAAATGCGGCACTGAAAATGCAGATTTTATAACCCCAGCGCCTACAGCTGAAGCCCGACCCCCAGACACACCCATATCACACCCTTGCCAAGGGCCTAGGAGCTACAACACTGTGCACTGTTGCGATTGCCAGACCAGCCGAGCGAGCCGACCGCACCGCGCGCGCTGCATGTAGTGCCCTTTTGTAACAATATAATTTCGCAACAACCTACACGTGAATCTAGGGACGCACTGTACTATACCCGGCGTTTTAACCGAAAGAAGTCAAGGGTTCAGGTTCAAACAGTACTACTACTAGGCGTAGTAGGGATAGATCCAGTCTCGAGGAACGTAGCTAGTCCAATCAGCTCAAGATGGCCGATTCCAGCGGAAAGAAGAGCAGAATTGCGATTGTCGGAGGAGGATTGGTAAGCTAAGTGCAAAGAACATAGACTAGATCTAGATCTAGATCTAGACCTATTTAGTTATTTGACAATGCAGCGTGCTACGTGTTTGACTCAGTCAACAATGATGATGACTCAGTCAACAATGATGATCTCTTTTCGGTGTTTATGATTGTAGATCTAATGAATGATGACAGATAATGATGATAATGATGATGATTGAAGATGGTGATGCTGATGATGATGACATTCGTCTTCAGATTTAGCTTCATTAAGGTAATACAAAGTTTTGGTATGGGGTCATGAATTTGGTTCAAATGAACATATTGGAAGCATATGCGATCCGTAAATATTCAGTGATCGTTGTCGCGGTTGAAATCGAGTCTAAAGTTATGAAATTGTCAACTCTTTATGTTGTATAGACAGAAATAACCGTCTGATTTGGTCATTTCTTTTATAAAACTGACATTTGTTGACATTCCCAAATACAGACGGCAACCCAGCTAGGATCTTGTACCGTGGGGGTGGCTAAAGGCACCGATGTACATCTTTTCGTTCAAAACATTTTCTCCCCGATTTTCTTTATTTAGATCTTATTTTCTGATTTCTAAATCAGATGTAAATTAGGTCGGTATATATACCTCCTAATTACAGTTTTCAAAATTTGCTAACCTATTATAGAATGTGAAATTTACGACTTACTTATTATGAGTTATCCAATTTTATCTCAGAACCGCGAATCAGTACGTTCATGCATTCAAACTATTACCCGGCGGCCGATATATTTCTGGTTCAACCTACCAAAACATAGCCAATGGCCAATCAGAGCACTCGTTTCGTGGGAGTTCGTTGGTCAAGCCGGGCTGACTCGTAGGTAGCTACGGTAGCTATTGGACGTTCGAAAAGAAAAAATGAATATTCATCAACTAAAACCAAGACGGATAATTTTGACGACGAGAATTTCTCGGATTAATCATTAATTTAGGATCTAAATGAGCAAGCTATCGTAAGTCAAATAAGCAATATACATGTTATTTTTAATTTTTATTATAATTGCAGCAGTTACGAGGATGTAAAGAGTGAAAATCTCGTTGCATATCTCATTCATCGCGGTCCGGTCGAACCGAACCATTTGTTCCGTACAGTCCCGATAGGCCATACTTCAGTATCTATAATCGGAGGTCTAGTGGAGCCAGACGTAGTCTCAGTGGAACAACCGACGATTAGAGAGACTGAAGTTTTCGGTCTATATGTTGTATAGCTCCCTCTCAAGGTCAATATATTAATTAAGCTATTAAACAATATTTCTTGACTGAAATCGACTAATTAGCTATTCCCGTTTGGAAATTATATATCACAACTACATATTCTGAGATTTGCATGATCGCAGCTACCATTGTACGGCCGTAGACGCTATTTGAAATTTATTAAAATTTACTGAGAGCACCAGTAATTTTTTATATTCCATTTTTCTCGAAAGCAGAAGTGTTTTAGGGGCTAAAAATTTGTGTGCTTATAATACATCGACAGGGGCATCCAAATATATCAAAATTGTAAAGATTCACTATTCACCAAATTTTCAAAATTTACCAAAACTTTGTATTACCTTTAATTGGTGAAGCCTTGACTTGAGTACCAATGTCTGGTCAATTTTTGTGGTCGGGTATTAAATTGATTCTAAAGTTGCTCTGGTGGTGATGATGATAATGATTGAAAGTGCCAAAGTTGTGTTGATGATTATGACAATGATTATGATGATCATGATGACATTTTTATGATCAAGATGATGACTATGATGATGGTGATAATGATATAATGATGATGATAATACCACTCATTTGTCTTTAGAAGTAGGCCTATTTTAGCTCTGAAGAAACTTATAACAGGCCTTTTTTCAGTGGTGTACTGATGAACTATGGGAGGGCATTACAACAAGACATTGTCTTACTAAGCTAAGGAGCCTGAAAAAGACAGGTGAATACTTTCCAGTCCATGCAACTTGTTTTACCCAACCATGAGTGTTGAGCCGTTTTATTTTCAAATTCAGATTCAGATTCAGATTCAGACTTTGCTAAATTGCCTAAATATTAGCTCATATTCATAGTAAGATCTATAGGTAATGTACACAGTCATGTATTCTTCATTCTTGCATTGACCAAACTGCATCCACATAAAGCTGCATAAAACTGGGATCGAACCCAGAACCTGAAATCAAGAGCCTTGACCAATATACCACAGACACAGTGCAATGCTACCACTGTTGCAGTTTAGATGCTCTGATGTACATGTACATGTATGTTATGACTGACCAAGTTCCTCTTTTCCATGATGTTTTGACAGGTTGGTGCTATGCAGGCGTGTTACATGGCACAGCGAGGGTATACAGTGGATCTCTATGAATCCAGAGAAGGTACGTATTAAAAGGGGCAGTCAATAATTACTGTCATTGTTGTACTGTATTAACCCTTTCAGTTTCAGTATAGGATTTATTTTAAATAATTTTTATGGCTTATTTGATCACATAGTGTTCTACACCTGATGTTAAATGTCTGACTTTCAATTTTACATCATTCAACACTCGTGCCAACATTTACTTCAAAGGGATCCTGTAACTTTGTCTCAGATCCTTAAACAAAATCCTTGATTTAGCTCATGCTGCAATCATAATTATAAACCTTTAGGTCATTCAGGAATCCCATGACTTTTACAAACCGATCGCTTGTCTGATTATCAAGATATTTATGATTGAAAATTGAAATTTCATATTGCGATTTTCATAACAATACAGTTTATTGGGCAAAACGAGTATGGTAAAACGGGTCATTCAAAGATTTTTACTTTTTTGAGGCACTTCCTGATCATTTTGAAGCGCAATTTTTGTTGGAGTTCAATATTTAAGTAATATTGACTGCCTTCTGGGCAATACGACATATATCGCCCGAACCGAAGGTGAGGGTGATATATGAGAAGTCGTATTGCCCTGAATTAGGCAGTCAATATTACTATTATTAACCACATGAGACATCTAGAGCAAACAAGAAACTCTTACTATCTTATACTCTTAAATTATGTAGGCTACACAGGGTTTCCTAGCATTAGAAGTTGCAAAAACATTGTCAGACCTGCACAGTGCATCCAGTGTTTGACAAATTTTCGATAAACTGCAAACAGTTTGCCTAGGGTGTGATTGTTACGTCACAATAGAGTTCACGCAAAGTGCGCATTTTCTTATACGCGATGCTCGATGTAAATTACAGTAGCTGATGCGCGATGTAAATTACAACTGGCTCTATATTATTGCTCACTAGTTTAACACGCATTTTGCCATTGCCTTTTCAGATCGGGCTAAAATATTTGTTCATTGGTTTACTGTATAACCATATTGACCGGCAAATTACACACAAAATCCCATTGACTTTTCTGAGCGGGCTAAAATATTTGTTCATTGGTTTACTGTATAACCATATTGACCGGCAAATTACACACAAAATCCCATTGACTTTTCTGAGCGGGCTAAAATATTGTAGTTTTGTTGGCTTATCCATCAAACCTTGAGGGCAATAACATTTAAAAATTGAGCTGCTCAGATGTCTGATACGGTTAATAATACACCATATCACAGACACTGATAACACGTAGGGCCATGCATCTCAGATTCAACATTGTTAAACAATGCTTTTAAAAACATAATAAACTAAGAGTTTGTTCCATTTTCTTGTTTGCTTGACAGATATTCGCAGAGCAGAGCATGTGGCAGGTCGTAGCATCAATCTTGCTCTCTCTGTGAGAGGGCGATCTGCATTACGGCACATAGGCTTAGAAGAAGAGGTAAGTTGTGTCTGGACCCTGTTTCTGAAACTCTTTTTCAATGCCAATTTACAAGTACTGCTATAAGCTACATTCGCAATAGCCTGCAATATCAATATCAGGGTGGTCTAAAAGGGGTTCAAACGTGTATATAACCGCGACAGTTTTGAATTTTGACTGTACAGGTTTGAAAATCAGCAGCAGAATGGCATATATTCTCAACTGAACTTATTTATGAAACATTAGTCATAAAACGTGCTTCAAAATATGGCTCAGATTGGCTGAGAGTTTATCTTAAGGACCTTAGAGTCCTTAGCAAGCCTTGGACCACCTGAATATTGATAAAATCATTTTGGATCCAATTCAGGAAAATTATTTTGAATATCTTTATCTAATTATATTGCATTTTCTTGAAATATCTAGCCATTGCCAGGTCAATCTGTACGCAGTGTCCTTTGTGTATTCTTTTACCATTCTATTATCAGTTATTTTTTTACCATTACCAATGATTAGTATATCAATCTCACATTTTTTTGGTACCCTAGGTGGTGAAATCAGGAATTCCCATGCACGCTCGTCTCATCCACAGTCTCGATGGGAAGAAGAGTGCTCAGCCCTATGGAACGAAAGGAGAGGTAAATAATTGCTTTGCTTTCCTTCATTTTTCCTTCACAATGGCTGCCCGACGAAGTTCCTTAGACTGGGCTGTTTTTCTAGAAGGCTGTTATTCATTCATTAAATTTGCAAAATGTCCACTTTTTGAAGTTGGGAAATGAGGTGTTGCTAATTTATGGGCTAGATGCAACAGAACATTAGGCAGAAATTGTGTCACTGTGCACACCTAGGTTGCTAGTATCAGACATCTCTTTTGGGTGATTATACCATATGACATCACTTAATCTTTTTGTGATGTTACATTATATATATTATTATTATGTTATTTCAATAACTTATGAATCAAAATACTTGCATTGAACCATTTTTCTGAACAATATGTATGATTATGATATAGCAGCCTGTCTCTATACATGTACACCAAGTAAATAGTATGTTTAATTGGCAAGGCTATTGCTTCAAAAAGTTATCTACATGATGTTACACTGGGCGACTGGTCAGGTACAGTTTCATTACTGGAATTCTAATTGAATACTGTATTTTATTTCGGTTTTATAAATATCAATTGACAACTCTCATTTTACTATTGATCAACCATATTTTCTTCTTTTTTCTTGCTATCTTTCCCCCCACTTTTCCTTTGTTTTCTCCTCCTTATTTTTCTTCTTTCTCTTCATAATCTTCTTTTTCTTTTGTATTCCTTTTACCATATCAATGGACTTACTGAATGTATTCATTTCATATTTGCCTATTTTACTTTATACTACTTGCATATATTTTATATGTTGCAGTTTTATTTGTAAATTCAAGATGTGTCAGCTTTTAGCCATGACTTTGAATTGTTATCAATAACCTTGTCTTATTTAATATCAATTCAATAAATCTCAAAATGAGAAACTGTTATTGATAACTTCTGTGTTCTGTCTGAACATTCAATATAATTAGCACTTTGAATGATGTTTACATGTACATGTACATCTTGTAGCCTATTAACACTACATGGATGCCAGTTTAAGACAAAGATCATTTCTGGTCATGCGATTGCATTATGAAACAAACGCTGTGGAATCAATCAGTAAAGGTTGATCATCTAGCATATAAGTATTGGTGTGTACTGCAAGGTCTTGGTCTCGCCATGTCTTGCCCAGTCTTGGTAAAGTTACAAGCACTGTACACAGAAAGATGTATGGGACTACGCACACGTGCGTGACACATGCTTGGCACGTGCATTATATCTATCACGTCCAAATAGATAAACTAATTTACCAAATATATCAATATGTAGGTGCCTTCCCGGCAAAATTTGTATCATCACGTATTAGTCAAAACATATTCTTTCACATGATTGGTAACAAGAGCTTCCATTTCATTTTTTGAGAGGGGGGTGTTTCCAAAACTGGCCTTTACCTCTAACAGGCTTGTGCCTTTGTCAAACTTTTGCTTGATTTCAAGCTCTATCACTCCTATTTGAGTAGATCTCATTTTGAGGCCCAATGTTGTAAGACTAAAATGTTCTTACGCCTTGCTGATAAGCATCCAAAGTTCATACAACAGTTCATATCAGTATTTGATTTATCTTGATTATTTACCCACCTCTCACTGGTGGTGTAAATGATTTAATCACTCTATTTTATCATATGTCTTTGATAATTTCCTGTTTCTTGTCAATTTAAAGCTGACTTGCATGTACTCTTTATGTCAATAGCCCTGGTCAAGTTTTATTGAACATTATATATATTTTTCAGTTGACATAGATGTACCTTTATCATATATTTAACTTTTCTTTCATACCAAGCTCAAAGTACGGTAGAGTATTTACACAGTATAGACATCGTGATTCTAACTCAGAGTCTGTAAAGGAATTCTTGTTTGTTAAAGAGAAAATTATATATGGCTTATATGAAGTTAATAGACCACATCTCAAACAGATTTGTTTTTTTTCTCTCTTTTTTTTTTTTTTTTTTTTCCACATTTCTTCACAAAAGGCTATTCTCTCAGTTGACAGGAGAAAACTCAATGAACTTCTTCTGTCTGGTGAGTCCCTGTTCATCTATTATTCTTACGTTAATGATGATAAAAGGAAACTATCATTCAAGTTCAATTACACACATTGTAACATGTGAACTGACAAATGACCTGACATAGTCTTCACCAACATTTGCTCCAGGCTTTGTTACATTTAACATGTAGGGTTAGGGACTAAGGGTTAGTTATAGAGGATGGTCCAGGGTTGGAGTTTGGAATTTGTTTTGTGTTGCTGTAGGAAATCAATTGTGGAGCAATCGGTGCAAAAGCTAATGTCATAGTAAGTGTCTAAGGACATTGGTGCCATGTCTGGGCTTGGACACATGACCGTCTGAAATCCAATTAAAGCCCCACTGCACTACTTATAGCTACTTGCGCCCTCTATAGAGAAAACAATGCCTAATCGGACCGTTGGTCCCCAATGATCTCCTTTTTCTTATGTCAATTGAGAGCTGATTTGATGAGATAACCACCTGTCAGTGAACTTGCAGGGAGGTCTATTCCCCCCTAGCCAAACTAGTGCAGACGGGCTTTAAGTGCTCATCTGCTCGAACCACTTGACTATGACACTGCTTTGAATCTTTGGCTTGAGAACATAAAGAAATCAAACAAATTCCCATTCGATATTAGCACTGTTTGTGGTTATATGAGATATTTAAAACAACTTTTATGCTAGATATTAATTGATGTCATTAACTGTCCTCCAAAATGTATATATTCAATATATTGAATGGTCTATTATGTATTCTGTATTTACGATTTGTACTTTGAATTGAATTGAATTGACTTGAGAATTGTAAAACAAGACACTTCTGCAGATTTTGAAAGAAGGCTGGGTTTTGCAGGGAGAGAAATCCAGGCTTGTGGTCAGTGATTTCATTTTTTCACTGCATAAAAATAATTTGCATGAAACAGAACCAGTCATATAAGTCGTGAACGCTTCAAACATACTAAACAGTAATCCTACCAATGAATGTATTGATTTAACATTGAAATTGTAACTGTATTGCAACAGAGCTTTAAATGTGTCTATCGTATTATAAAACTGTTATGAATTATGACATTGTGTTTCCAGCTGCTGAGAAGGTGGAATCAGTGACGATGCATTTTCATCACAGGTTGAGTCAACTGGATTTAGATAATGGAATCCTCCATTTCACAGAGTGAGTATACTGATCCATTAAATATCTATCTAGCTATATATCTGTCTGCGGTATCTTTCTCTCTCTCTCTCTCTCTCTCTCTCTCTCTCTCTCTATCTTTCTACATATCCATCTATCTGACAATCTATCCGTCTCTCTTTCTTTCTCTCTATCTATCTCTATCTACATGTATGTATCCATCTATCTTTCTAGCCATCTGCCTATCTTTCTTTCTCTCTCTCTCTTTCTATCTATGTATCCCTCTATCTATGAAGGGTAATAAATGCACACTCTAAGCCTGCAAAAATGCAAATCAGAACAGTAAGTCAATGCAGATTGCACTATGAGAAAACATTTTATTTAAAAACTCTTGTTATCATGTGCACAGTAAGAATGACCATAAGGTGGAGGCCCATGCGGATCTGATCTTTGGATGCGACGGGGCCTATTCCTGCGTACGACGCCAGCTGATGAGGAAGACTTTGATAGACTTCAGTCAGGAATACATCCCTCACGGCTACATGGAGCTCTGTGTTCCCCCCGTGCCCGGTACCGATGGGCAGGTGGGTGCTCATGTTTGGAAATTAATTTGTATTTAATTATTTATAGCTGTCCTGTGAGAAAAAAAACAGCTTAGAGTGTCTTATATGAGTTGTTGTGACCCCGCAAAATAAAGTTTAGTTTAGTTTGTTTCTTTATTAAAAAATCACACCCGTCATCAGAAGGCCGGCCTAAAAAGGCCTATGAGTGATACATCCAACAACGACATAGTCATAAACAATTTGAAATGGTAACATAGTACAAGTATTACATAATCACACACATAGAAAAGGAGTATTCATGTATTACAATGTAATTGAAAGTTGGTTGACATGCACTAAAAACATACCAAAAACAAAAACAAAACAAACAAATTATTTATTTAAGTAGTATAAGAAATTCTTGGTGAGTTGTTAGGAATTGATTTGCAAGACTGGCTATTAAGCTGCTTAGTGAGTCGGCTGAAATCAGGTAAACAAATTGTTGGTAAGTGGATAGATCCGATGCAGAACAAATCATAAAACAGTGGAAAGCATACCAGTAACTCCCATTAACACATTTTGATTACATGTTGTTAAGTACACAAAAGTACGATATTCCTCTGGCACCCAAAGCAGAAAAACATGGAAATACAGGAATTTTTTTTTAATGCAAACAAATCTGGAAAACTTACATCCCCTTAAAAGAACTTACACAAAATCCTATTTGTGTAATTTGTTTATTTGTTTCCCTTTATGTGCTTGTATGTGGGTAATTCCATAAATTAGGGACCCACTTTGTGACATTTTTGGTGTCCCACTTACATAAGGAGTCCACATGGATTTGTGGCTCTGAGTAAAGACTTAAATAATGGATTGAGATTGTAAAGTGATTTCCAAGTATAATATTGCATCTTCATACCTAGAATCACTTAACAATCTCACTCCACTATTTAAGTCTTTACTCAGAACCACAAATACGTGTGGGCTCCTTATAAAGTGTGTCCCTAATTTATGGAATTATCCATGTTTTTGAGATCCAATTTATGAAGTTAATTGTGCTTTCGCTACTACGCTTTTGATTCTGCCATGAAACAGCACAACATGGAGATCAACTACCTCCACATATGGCCGCGGAACGAGTTCATGATGATTGCATTGCCTAACCAGGACGGCTCCTTCACGCTGACCCTCTTCATGCCTTTCAAGGAGTTTGAAGGCATCAAGGCCCAGGGGGACGAGGGCGTGCTGGCATTCTTTGAGAAGTACTTCCCTGACGCTATTGAGAAGATAGGGGTGCAGAGCCTCAAAGAAACCTACAACAGCAGCACACACCTCCCTCTGGTGTCCATTAAGGTGAGATGTGAATGCATGGTCTCTCAATTCATTTTCAGATCCCTACATACTTACTTCCTTGCAGGAATGATGTATTAGAAGCGAGACTAAAACAGAGCTAATAGTAATCCATAAGAATATAGGAAGTTAATCATATTTTAAAACTCTCAAAATGATGATAATTATTGTTATCTTTATGAACTTATTTGGGTTTTGGTTTGTTTTGAGCAGCATGAAAAGGGCTACAAGTTTAATGAGCAATCAGATGCAAAATAGTAATTGCATTGTAAATGCATTTGACTTTGATACCAAAATACTCACACAGTTTGATAGAATGACATAACCGCAACCTGAAAGGCCTGTAGCTAATCTAGTGCTCATGGCTGAGTGATCCCTGCAAATATTGATGGAACTGGGACCCGTTTCACAAAGCATTTTTCAATGACAAATGACAAAAATCAGTGACAAATCTGCTGATAACCAATCAGAAGCAAGGATTTCAGTAGCTTATAACAAAGAATGTCATTTGCCACTGATGACAAGTTTTGTGAAACAGGTCCCTTGTTGTTGGAAGAAGTCATATCTTTCTACAGGGTTACATTGTATACATGTAGATTTAGATGAAAAGTGTTGACTTCTATGAATATTGTTAATCTGTCTCTATCTTTGATCTGTCCAGTGCTCCCCGTACCACTATCAAGACAAGGCTGTTATCATGGGAGATGCCTCGCATGCCATGGTGCCTTTCTATGGACAAGGAATGAACTGCGTAAGTATATATTTGCTCCACATTCCTTGGCAAGTCAAAGGCATAGTCTGTCACTCATTTCCCAAGTTTTGTGCCAAATATTTTGTTTACAGTTGTCCTCATTGAGTGATTCTGAAGTCATTGGCCTTGATGAGGACTTCGCGGCGGAGACCAAGCCTTTACACTCGGTTTCCCAATATTAGAAGCAAACGATTTGCTAAATGTTAAAGTCATCGCTTAACAAAGTTAAATCTGGGATGCATGGCCCAACGTGTTATCAGTGTCTGTGATATGGTGTAATATTGATGCCCTAAAAAAAATTGCGCTTCAAAATGATCATGAAGTGCCTCAAAAAAGTAAAAATCTTTGAGTGATCGGTTTTTACCATACTCATTTTCCCCAATAGACTGTAATGTTATAAAAAACGTTAGGAAAACAAAAAATGAAATTTTGATTTCCAATCATAAATATCTTGATAATCAGACAGGCGATCGGCTTATAAAAGTCATGGGATTCCTGACTGACTGAATGATTGCAGCATGAGCTAAATCCAGGATTTTGTTTCAGAAACTGAGGCAATGTTACCAAGTCACTTCTTTATAACTTGGTAACTTGTGGGACACAATAATTAACAAATACTGTGGACATGACCAAACATAACTTATCTAGTTTGTCTGTTTTTTGTAAAGTGCTTGTCCAAATGCAGTGATGGTTTCTGAGCTATTGAGCAGAATTCCTCTGAAGCATATTGATGTTATGCAGGTATCATAGTGCATTAATTAACATTAATGAGCATTTGAGATTTCGTGGAGTCTCACAGTGGCCTTTCTTGTAAGTAAATCTTTATTATTTTTTAAGTTACCTGTATAAACTCTTATCTTGATTTCTTATCATTGGCTCATTGCAGGGTTTTGAAGATTGCTTAGTATTCAATGAAATCATGGATCAGTTTGATGGTGACTTTGGTAAGTATAACAGAAAACATTTTCAAAGTATAATCAATTAATTAATAATGTTCACCCCCTTTATTCCACAGTGAATGATCTCTAAGTGTTTTAGATGCATTGAAATCTTTTTTATGATAATGATACAAACATGTAGTAAAAGTTTATCTACAATTTTATTCTTTAGCCACTATTTTAAGAAGTCTGCTTCTTTTTGTTAGCCATGCTGCTTTCCTCTTTAATCTTTTTCAATTGTAACTCAAGACAATTCATTTTCTTTCTATTACAGCTAAAGTGCTTCCGCATTACTCCACATTCCGGGGCCCAGATGCAAAGGCCATTTGTGACCTGGCAATGTATAACTACGTGGAGGTGAGTGTGGCCTTCAAGGAATGTATGAAAACTATGTTTAATGTGAATTCTGATTGTAATTGATCTTTATTTTATTCACCATATAAACATTATAAAATACAAAACATAGCGTACAAGTTAAAGAGAAACATTTACAATAGAATACAACATCAACAAAAATATCATATGAATGTGGAGACAGCTAGGAAAGCCAAAGGCTTCATTGGAGCTGCCACCGAAACAGTAATACAGTAAAATGTTGTTGTTTAAAAAAGGTGATAAAAAAAATATTCCACCTTGTTTGCCCACAAAGAATCCATTTTCATAACTTTTTTAATGATGCACACCCATTGCCGATTGACACTTCAGTAATGGAGAAATGGAGTGGGATTATACTAACACTAGAACTTGTCATTGGTTTATTGCCTTTTGGTCTACAGCCAGTTTGTCTACTACCCAATTGGTCTATTCTCATATGGTCTGCACCCAGTCCTACTATCCACATGGTCTAATGATCATTCAGACAGGCTGGGTGTAGACCATATGGGAATAGACCAATTGGGTAGTAGACGAACTGGCTGTAGACCAAACAGCACTTTATCCTTTTCATTAACCCAGAAAATAAAGGTGACTGGTCACTGAGGTCAATAGAAAAAAATGATACTAGGAAGTAAGAGGAGAATGAGACACAAGTCCCATTACACAAAGCATTAGTTACACTGAATATTCACTCTCACAATAATAATAATAATTATATGTCTTGTTTACCCAGGGTAGCCTCATCAGTATTCACACTGTTCTCCCTGAGGGCCCTGCAATCATATCATTACCCCGGCTTTAACCGAGCTACCATGAAAGGGTGCTCAAGCATTCAAGGAATTTCTTCCTACCGCCTACCCATATTTAGCTCACCTGGATGGAGTATGACAAATGTAGATTATGTCTTGCCAGTGAGCTTTCTGCTCACTTCACTTATGATAATGTTAATCATAACTGCATTCATATTGTGTACGTATCCATTCCAGGGGATTCTAGGGGATGCTCAACGTACTTCAAAATAAAGTTGGTTTTCCCCCTGGCTTTAGCCTAGCTGCCTTAAAGCCCCACTGCACTATTTATAGCTACTTGCTTCCTCTATGTAGCAAACAATTCCTAATCGGTGACCATAGGTTCCCTTTTTCTTATGTTAATTGAGAGCTGATTTGATGAGATAACCACCTGTCAGTGACCTCACTGTGTGGTCTAATCCCTTCTGGCCAACTAGTACAGATAAGCTATAAGACACTTTGAACTTTTGGACTACTTTGTTGTGTATTTCTTGTTCCGATCAGATGAGGTCGTTGGTGAACTCTCGCTGGTTCCTCTTCCGTAAGAAGGTTGACTGGTTACTCAACTGGTTCCTGCCTTCCAAGTACATTCCTCTCTACTCCATGGTAACCTTCAGTCGGATCAGATACCACATGGTCATCAACAAGTGGAAGAAACAGGATAAGGTGAGTGGACAGTTCAATGACCCCACATAATGTGTGTGTGTGTGTGTGTGTGTGTGTATTGGGTTTTTACAGAGACGTGTATCTAAACAGACCTGCCAACCAGTACGATTTAGTCGTATTTCGTACAATTTTTAGAAGCAAATGCAATTTTTTTTTTTTTTTTTTTAAATTTTAATTTGTTCATTTATTAATTAATTTTCAATGGCAAAATGCCCATTCTGTCCTGTAAAGTATCCTTCAAGCCTCTCACATAGGCAATTTGGGGATGTTTATTGGTTCATCGAACAAAATCATGCATATTCAACCATAATCCATTTTTTAAAAATCTTCCTATATGAAGGAACTGCAAGAGGCATTAACCCGCGTAACAGTCCGTGTTTATTTTTTAAGAATACAACTTTGGGGATTAAAGAATACAGTTTTTGATCTCCAGAGGTTGGCAGGTTTGGTATCAATCAGATAAGATTATTTACGTCTGGGGACCGACCTTTAAACGTCACCATTCGAAAGACATGACTCAGTTTCGAACCTATGCCCTCTGCTGAATCAGTTTGTACTTCCATTATTAGCTGGATTACAGGTGCACGCCACAACGCCTAGTTACCATGATAATGATAGTGGGTTCTTATATAGCGCTCATATCGCACTTGACACTCCTGGCGCTCCGCAGTTATTACCCCTGCTTTAGCATGGTTGCCATTACGGCGCTCAAGCATTTCAAGGAATTGAATTCCTGCCAGGTACCTATTTACATCAACGAGTGTGGCAAACGTAGATTAATGTCTTGCCAAAGGACATTGGTGCCTCGTCGGGACTCGAACCAGGGACCTTGTGATCCACAGTCCGGTGATGTATCAACTCGACCATGCGGCTCTACATGTGCTCCAGATACCATTGTCAAAGATAGGCTTAGAGTAAGGGTTGCATTTGAGTTGGATTGACCTCGGAGTAATTGTTGAAGGAGCACATGTCATGCAACCAACAACAGTTCTAGGATAGATCAAGTTCAGTCTGCGGTTCATGTTCGAACATGGCCAAATTTTACAGCAGCAAACAATTCTTGCATTGTAGAAAAACGGTTCTCGAACAGACATTTTGGTGACAATCAATCCACAGTCTGTATCCTACACTAAGAGAATTCTGGCTGTAAACCCTGGACCTAAAAACATAAAAACCAATTGCAACCCTAACTTTTTATCTTGGACAAAATAAAGCACAGAGTAATTATCTTGAGATAGTAGCCTACTTGGCATCAATGTTGGCCTAAAGTTATTTTGAAGTCCTTGTTAAGTCTAGTCCCAATACAGACATTACTTTTTATAAAAAAGGAAAGCATTTGTATTGAAAATGTAACTTGTCACTTTCTTACAGAGATATTTTGACATAGTCAAAAGCTATGAGAGTGACATGGGAGAAAGTTTTAGTTGCTGTCCTCCTTGCTGTATGACTTACACAATAATACATGCAACAGAAATCATACATTTACTTTAAATGTAAGGCCATGGGTGTATTGAAAGTTACTGAAGAAGACAGCTTTTGTAGTCATGTCTACATTTGTGGAGGTGTCATGATATAGCGGTCCATTCACTTGACTCTCAATCAAAGGGTCAAGGGTTCAAATCCCATCCCAGCAGTAACACCCTTTGGCAAGACATTACTCCAAATTTGCCACTCTCCACCTAGGTGTAAATGGGTTCCTGGCAAATGCTGGGGTAATGATAATGGCAGGGCCTCGGGAAGAACAGCATTGATGCTGATGAGACTTCTCTGGATAATGAAAAATGTTGATGTGAATATTGTTAGTAGTGGTGGTAATAGTACAGTCGAAACCTGCTTTAGTGACCACCTGTCTACAAGGACCGCGTTTTTGTTTCCCTTGAAAATGGTTTCTCATTGAAACATGTACTAAAAGAACCTGTCTACAAAGACCACTTTTTGTGTTTCCCTTTTATTTGGCGGTTACTGTAGACAGGTTTGACTGTAGTATGAGTATGAGTATTACAATTTTAGATTTTATGGCTCCCTCCTGAACTTTCCTTGTTCTTTTTTATTTTACAGATTGTGAACAATGGTCTGATCCTGCTTGGTTTATCGTCGTTGGGCATGCTTGTGTGGCTCATCTCGAGAGGGCGCCAGATGCAAATTGGCAAGTTGACAGAGATGCTAACGGAAAGGATACAAGATTTCTTCTAATGGAATTAAAATGTGAAGGCGATTTCATCGTAAACATTGCTGTACAGTGCCTTTTATGTCTTGAGCCTGCTGCACACTACATTATCTGACTATGATCAGATTTTTGAAGAATTTGTGACAGCATTATAAATGAACATGTAAACATGTAAAATCTTAATGAAATCTGAATTTTAAAGGGATTTCATGCTCTCTTGGAGGGGGAAAGCTTGCTAAATTGGCTCAGAATCGTAGTGATGTCCGGTCTTTTGTGCGATTGTCTACGATTTGAAGCCAATTTGGCTTTTATTTTGAATAGGAGAGTTAAATGCACTAAAATACCAGTTGTTAATATTCTTATTATTTCTTAGAACCTTAATCAGGAGGACAGTGGTTGTTCAGATTTCTACCAAAGACAGAGTGATACTTTGTTTGCAGAATTAGAATTAGTTGAAAAATGATTATGTGGAGTTCATAAATACTTCTCTGTGCATAGGGTTGTTCGTATTTCTTTTCATTTAAGCTATAATTTACTTCTTTGATTTGAATCATTCTGCTCAAATAAGAAAGATTTAAATCCCTTGATTTTTTAGAATCTTGGTATATGTTTGAAACAATGTCGGTTTTAATCGCTGACCCTGATTTTATTTATGTTCTTATGACATATGATGTCACTTATATTTTGTTGTAAAATGTGTGTGTGTGGGGGGGGGGGGGTGACATCAAACCTTCACTTGACCCCACCCACACCACTCCAGACCCATTTCCACTTCAAACTCCTTTGCTGAGTGCAAGATTTATTACATACATGCTCTTTCTCAGGGAAAACATTGATGAAAAATGAATAAAATAAAAATTATCATAATTATAACTACCAGTAGGTACCAGTTCTACGTTTTCAAGCTCAAAATGGGAACAGGTTATTGGAGATGCAGCTTCTTACTCTTGACTTTTGATAGCAACCCTATTCATTGTTTATGAGTAACAGTAAAGTTTTAAGGGTTGACCCTGTGGGCAGTCCTAGGTTGAAAAAAGTTGATGAGCTTCCCATCCAAAGTGCTCTAGTCTCTTTTGCGAGCTCTTTGGCTCTGGCCACTTTGACTGACACAGTACAATCAATTTAAAGCCTGTCTGCACTAGTTTGGCCAGGAGGGATTAGACTTCCCAGCATGGTCACTGGCAGGTGGTTATCTCGTCAAATCAGCTCTCAATTAAAATAAGAAAAAGGGATCATGGAGGACCAACGGGTACCGCTTAGGCATTGTTTGCTATAAAGAGGGCGCAAGTAGGACAGTCCTGCTTTCAGACAAACAAATGGGTTGTTTTCAAGCACAGAGTATTCATGGAAAATAAAATGGTTGAAAGGAAGTGACCTTTGTTAGACATTCCTATTGTGTATGTACACATCATTATTTTCAGCGTCGGTATCTCATTTAGAACCAGTAATCTAGTCACCACAGTATTCTAGACACCACAGTATTCTATACATGAGTGTAATTGCTGCCTATAGAGAAGGCCATTTTCTTCTTGCAAAATCATGATGTATAATCAGTGATTTTGTTTTGTGTGTGCTTTACATAGTATGCACATATTCTGTAATAATGTATCATTAGGTTTTAAGTCTTGAAAGATAGAGGATTAAGTCTGAAGTTGCAATTGGGTGTTACGGTGGGGTTAGGGTTAGGTATACGGTAGCTTTGGGTCCAAGGTTAAAGGTTAAAGTTCCAAATATGTTAATGTGGTTATTGTGTTTTCTTTTTCAGCTGAGGTTAGCCTTAATCTACAATTCATTGAGTGATTGAATTAAATGTATTACTAAAAAAATGATTATTCCAGTGGCTGCGTATTTTAGCACCAATTGCCTGCTTTTGTAAATGTACATAGTCATATATTTTTGTAATATTAATAATGGAAAATTTATTGTATATTGTGCTTTTTTTTCTTCTTTTCTTCATGTGAGTCCATTTTAAATCCATTATAGGGCTGATGACAGCGTGCGTCAATAGCATTGATCCAACTAGCTTGAGGAATACAAACTAACTTGTCTTGCCAAACAATATTAGTTTCTGAAATGTTAGATTTTCAAGGTGAGATTCAAGCATTTTAATAGTATCCAATATCTTGTGTATTTTGTTTGGGTGTTGTAATTATAAGGTTGTAATGATGAAAAATGGGCCCCCAATCAAGTGATAAAATCAAAAGAATTGAAGAAAGAGATAAGGGAGGAGGGGGGAAACATTTTGTCGATGTTTTTTTTAACCGACGAATATGTACAGTAATGTATATGGCGGATTCGTCATTAAAAAAAAACACTGGCAAATATTAAATGAGGAATGGAATTAAGCCTGGACTATCTCCTGCACCCTCCTTCTAATCATTAGCCTTGTATATTTGCATTTCACTTTCCGAGTAAGACCAGTGCCCTGTCATGTGTGGGCTCGTGCTACGCCACTGAAAAGCAGCATGTCTGTATTAGTAAAGTACTGAGTAAAAACATTCCAGAGAAAGTCACTATTCTTTTGGGTAATTGTAGTACCGGTAATTCCATGATTATTGATGTAGTTTTTTCCAAGAATTTGATGAACTGGTGTAGTGAATTTTATTTTTCAATTGTTGAACATCACAAACTTTTATACTTGTACATAGATATATAATAAAGTGCTTTTTCCTCTCACTAAGTGGATGTTTGCAGTTGTTGATATACATGTATTCTGTCTGAACCAAACATAGTATTCTGTGAGTGTTATTAACGAAAACAGTAACATGTTGCATAGTTATTAGATGAAGCTTCAATTGACTTCAGGTAACAGGAAAACTGGGCGTGAGTACTTCTGAATTGGTTATTATTCAATCTATCTATCAAGGTATCTTCTCCCAACATTTTTCCACTCATCTCTGTTTTCTGCGATCATAGTAGACTCTTGCTGTGTCATTCCACTTCATGGTGTAATGTCCCCCTGCTAGTTAGTTCTTGGTTTTCTTTCCAATAAATATTTCCAGAGACTCGATTTATTTTAATGAGGCCTAAGTATTTTGCCTTTCTTTAAATATTTCCAACAGGATATTTTATTTAAGCCCTACCATATGCGGTATTTCTCTGTTAGTGTTCATATCTTTCCCTGATATTCTCATCAGTAGATCAGGAAAATATGAACATCATTACTAGAACTTTGTTTCATTGAATAGTACAAAGAGTACAACACACATCTCCATAACACATAATCACTATGGTCAAAGTTATGGTAGGAAATCTGACTAGACGTAGAAATTACATTGGGTAATTGATACCAGAGCAAACGAGATAAGAATTTGTCAATGAGGTGGTCTGTATATTTTGGAGGAAAACCAACCCCCCCCCCCCCTATGCCTGCTCGTCTGAATACAGTTTTCCCCCTCCCGCGCAAAGCGCGGAAGCTTTTATGTTTCATTAAATCATTAGAGAAAGAAGACGATTCATTGTACCGTTCTCGACTCTTAATCCTCGTCTGAATTCAGTTTTCCCCTCCCCCCTGTGCGAAGCGCGGAAGCTTTTACGTTTCATTAAATCATTAGAGAAAGAAGACGATTCGTTGTACCGTTCTCGACTCTTAATCCTCGTCCGAATTCAGTTCCCCCCTTCCCTCCTGCGCGAAGCGCGGAAGCTTTTACGTTTTATTAAATCATTAGGGAAAGAAGACAATTCGTTGTACCGTTCTCGACTTTTAATCCTCATCTGAATTCAGTTTTTCCCTTTCCCCCCTCCTGCGCGAAGCGCGGAAGCTTTTACGTTTCATAAAATCATTGGAGAAAGAAGACGATTAGTTGTACCGTTCTTGACTTTTAATCCTCATCTGAATTCAGTTTTCCCCTCCCCCCTGTGCGAAGCGCGGAAGCTTTTACGTTTCATTAAATCATTAGAGAAAGAAGACGATTCGTTGTACCGTTCTCGACTCTTAATCCTTGTATAAATTCAGTTACCCCACCTCTTGCGCAAAGCGTGGAAGCTTTGACATTTAATTTAATTATTAGAGAAACGACGATTCGTTGTACCGTTCTCGAAAATAATCCTTGTCTGAATACAGTGTTCCCCCTCCCGCGCGAAGCGCGGAAGCTTTTACGTTTCATTAAATCATTAGAGAAAAAAGATGATTCGTTGTACCGTTTTCGACTCTTAATCCTTGTCTGAGTTTCAAAAATGTTTTTTGTCTGCTCCTTTTTCTTCATACATCCTCTTCCTTTTCTCTCCTCCCTTTTTTTGGCCGGTGTTTTTTTTTTGGGGGGGGCTGCCCCCACTGCCCCCCTGGCTATGCGCCTTCGGTCAGATGAACATCTTTTGATACCTTGTCCGCCCCCGGAAACTCATGGGTTGAAGGCAAATTACGGTCAGATAAGCATTCAGGGGCCTGCCTCAGGGCCCCTGGTGGGGTCGTGGGTGCGGAAACCCCTGAATCTCGGGGGTTTCAGGCATTTGATTACGGTCAGATGAACATATTTTTATACCTTATTTGTGACACTGGCAGGACACTGATTAGCGTGAGGTCCAGCGGACGGAGCCCCCAGAAGCTCAGGGGTTTAAGGCACTAAATTGCGGTCAGATGAGTATCAAGGGGCCTGCCAAGGGCCCTTGGTTAGGTCCCGGGGGCAGAGCCCCCGGAAGCTCAGGGGTTTTAGGCGTTTAATTACGGTCAGAAGAGCAATTTTTGATACCTTATTTTGTTGTGACACTGGTAGTTAACAATTCTTTCTTTCTTGCTCTTTTTCTTTCTATTTCTCTTTAAAATGCTTTTCCAAAAAAGATTGGGGGGGGGGGGGGGGGCTGGAGGCTCCCAATCCCCGCCGTTCCGCGTGCCTTGACATGTAGGCATCTCAAGAAGCATATTTCTTGCCTGGCTGTTAATTTACAAACGCATAAAAAAGTATAATTTACTAAAGAATGAGGAAAAATCTCTGAAAATTATGTCATTTCAGCATTATGTGTAAACCACCGTTATGGAATTAGAAATAAACCACGTTTAAATTTTATTTCCCCCAAGCCCCCTCCCCGATCAATACGCCAGTGCCCCGCCCCCCCCCCCCCCCGATCTACACTTTGTTGGCGGAAAAATCGCAACTGATCTCCCCTACCTTTATTCTTTCTCTTTTTTTCTTTCCCTTTCTCTCCTCTTTCCCTTTCCCTTTCCTTCCTTCTCTCTCTTTTAGGTTTGATGGGGGAGGGGGGGGGGGGGGGAGGCAAGGTCATTTCGGCCCACACCCTTCTCCACACGTTGTTGGCGGGATGAACTGCAAATGATCTATTTCCCCTTCTTTTCACCTTTTTTTCGGTCCCTTTTAGCTCTCCTTTTTGCCTTTTCCTTCTTTCTCTCTTTTTTTAGCGGGGCGGGGGAGGCAAGGGCATATTGCCCCACCCCCACCCCGATCCACAACTTGTTGGCGGAAAAATTGCAACTGATACCCCCTTCTTTCTATTTCCTTCCTTCTCTCTTATTTTTTTGATTGGGGAAGGGAGAGGCGACAGCTTTGGAGGCGAGGCTCTTTCGCCCCCCCCCCCCCGACCACTTCTCCCTTTTCTTTTCTCCTTCCTCTTCTTTCTTTCCCTTTCTCTCCTATTTTCCTTATTTTCCTTCTCTCTCTCTCTCTCTCTCTCTCTCTCTCTCTTTCCCTTTTTTTTTCCTTCTTTTTTTCCCATGTCCAGATAACGTGATGAAATAAAGGTACTTTATGATTAAAAGTCAGTCATGTTTAATGCATGATCCCTGTGTATACACCTAAATACGAACTGCATAAACAAAATAAGTGATTCTCCATTTTGACTTGGGGTTTACGTTGTGATTGGGTTTAGATTATGCTATTGTTCTCGTGGATTTAGGGTTCTCTTGCTAATTCATTTGTTGCTAGCTTTGACAGCTTTGACAAGAATAATTGCAATTTGTATACGTTTTTAAATTGCAATGGAAATATGACTGTGTAATATTGATTCAAAACGATTAACAAAAACAATGTGAATACCAATGTTCCACTTTACCATTTACTTTATTACTAAGCATGATTGTATACGTTTCTTGTTGCGCACGATGATACAAGTGATAGTTACAGTTATATTCTAATTTTGCCTGCGTTGTATCGGCAGTATAAGAAATTCAATAAGCAATCCAACATTTGAACAAGCTACAATACAAGGTGTCTTTGAAAAAAGAAGCGCAAGCTTATATTCGTAAATTTCTAAATAATCCTAAATTATTTGTATCATTAATGTCCAGCTCGTTTTCCTTTCTATCATATAACAACAAGAATATGATCATTAGATCACATATGACTGATTTAAACGTGTCGATGATATATTTTTTGAAAGACAAATGATTTGGGAATATTAACTATCGAAACTCATCATGTAAAGCCTGGTATTCTCGTCTTTCGTGATTATTTTAAGGCTAGCCTAAATACCTACCGTTCACACAGTTAATTAAAACAATATATCTCAAGTTAATAATGTATAGGGTTTAGAGAAAATTTACCTTGAACGCTATATGAAGGTAAATTATATATATATATATATATATATATATATATATTATATATATATATATATATATATATTTATTTATTTATTTATTAGCTGTACTGTTATGAGCACATTGACCAAAAGTAATTCAGGATTATTGAGTCATTTTACGATAAACTTGGGTCTCCTTTTTCAGAGGCACCATGAACAATGAAGTTTATGCATGCTTTAATAAAATCGGTCAATGAATACAACCAAAATAATCAACAATAAAGTGCATTTTTCTGAGTAAAATATGGTGATATCAATTTCGACCTAGAAACTTTAAATTAAGAAGCACATGGAACTATATAGACAGTATAATCGTGGAACAACAATGTAACTTCAAGAACTGCATGTATTTGTCATTACTTGACAAAGGTTTAAAGCCCCAAATTCGTATATTTTGTATCTCGGTGTTTTTTCATTATTTCTTCTTCACTTGTCTATATTTCGTTTAAAAATATATTTTGTTTTAAATTCACATTTTTAGACAAGTATGCACAAATATTCTCATAATCAACTACCATCCCTATTTCACAATATTTACAGTTTAAACTCAAACATTCACACATTCCCCACCCGTTGTTCAACAACTTAAATTATCACTTAGAAAATCCTAAAATGCTTTTAGCCCACAAGTCAGTAAGACATCACAGATGTTTGGAACTCCTTACCAAATTCAATAAGGCATTGTTCATCTCTCTATTCTTTTAAAGCATCCCTCAAAAAGTCTAATATCGAAGTATCTACATAACTGATTTCAACGTGCAATAGGCAATTGTCAAATTTTAGTTGCAAATTTTGTATTCTATTTCGTATTCTTGGTTTCCTTTATTGAAAAGGCTATTTGTTTCCACTCCTGTATACCACACATAGCTACGTGCACTTCCACTATTCGTTACACACAAATACAAACACGCTCGCACACGGACACACAGACACACACCCACACACACACCCGAACACACACACCCACACACAGGGGCGTACGCAGGATTTTTTCAAGGGGGGGGGGTTTTAAAATATTTTGCTCCCGAAAATTTGAAAATCGCGCCGGCCGACAGGGGCGGATCTAGCTTTTTGCTAAGGGGGGGGGGGGTTGACCAATAATGACGATGCGGAGCATCGTCCACGAGCCGCAAAGCGGCGAGCCGATTT